TGATGGACACGTGCACACAACACACTTACTGGGTAGTGATGGAAACACGTGTACACAACACACTTACTGGGTAGTGATGGAAACACGTGTACACAACACACTTACTGGGTAGTGATGGACACATGTGTACACAACACACTTACGGGGTAGTGATGGAAACACGTATACACAGCAGACTTACAGTTTGATGATGGAAACACGTGTACACAGCACACTTACAGTTTGATGATGGAAACACGTGTACACAGCACACTTACAGTTTGATGATGGAAACACGTGTACACAGCACACTTACAGTTTGATGATGGAAACACGTGTACACAGCAGACTTACAGTTTGATGATGGAAACACGTGTACACAGCAGACTTACAGGGTGGTGATGGAAACACGTGTACACAGCAGACTTACGGGGTAGTGATGGAAACATGTGTACACAACACACTTACTGGGTAGTGATGGAAACACGTGTACACAACACACTTACAGTTTGATGAAGGAAACACGTGTACACAGCAGACTTACAGTTTGATGATGGAAACACGTGTACACAGCACACTTACAGTTTGATGATGGAAACACGTGTACACAGCACACTTACAGTTTGATGATGGAAACATGTGTACACAGCACACTTACAGTTTGATGATGGAAACATGTGTACACAGCAGACTTACAGTTTGATGATGGAAACATGTGTACACAGCACACTTACAGTTTGATGATGGAAACACGTGTACACAGCACACTTACAGTTTGATGATGGAAACACGTGTACACAACAGACTTACAGTTTGATGATGGAAACACGTGTACACAGCAGACTTACAGTTTGATGATGGAAACACGTGTACACAACAGACTTACAGTTTGATGATGGAAACACGTGTACACAGCAGACTTACAGTTTGATGATGGAAACATGTGTACACAGCAGACTTACAGTTTGATGATGGAAACACGTGTACACAGCAGCCTTACAGGGTGGTGATGGAAACACATGTACACAGCAGACTTACGGGGTAGTGATGGAAACATGTGTACACAACACACTTACTGGGTAGTGATGGAAACACGTGTACACAACAGACTTACGGGGTAGTGATTGAAACACGTGTACACAACACACTTACTGGGTAATGATGGAAACACGTGCACACAACACACTTACTGGGTAGTGATGGACACACGTGTACACAACACACTTACTGGGTGGTGATGGAAACATGTGTACACAACACACTTGCTGGATAGTGATGGACACGTGTATACACAGCACACTTACTGGGTAGTGATGGACACACGTGCACACTACACACTTACACAGTAGTGATGGAAACACGTCTACACAACACATTTACTGGGTAGTGATGGAAACACGTGTACACAACACACTTACTGGGTAGTGATGGACACGTGTGTACACAACACACGTACTGGGTAGTGATAGACACACGTGTACACAACACACTTACTGGATGGTGATGGAAACGTGTACACAACACACTTACTAGGTAGTGATGGGCACACGTGCATACAACACACTTACTGGGGGGTGATGGAAACGTGTACACAACACACTGGGTAGTGATGGACACGTGTGCACACAACACACTAACTGGGTAGTGATGGAAACACGTGTACACAACACACTGGGTAGTGATGGACACGTGTGCACACAACACACTAACTGGGTAGTGATGGAAACACGTGAACACAACACACGGGGTAGTGATGGACATGTGTGTACACAACACACTTACTGGGTAGTGATGGAAAATATGTACACAACAGACTGACAGTTTGGTGATGGAAACACGTGAACACAACACACATACGGGGTAGCGATGGAAACATGTACACAGCAGACTTACAGGGTGGTGATGGAAACACGTGTACACAACACACTTACGGGGTAGCGAGTGAAACGTGTACACAGCAGACTTACAGGGTGGTGATGGAAACACGTCTACACAACACACTTACGGGGTAGCGAGTGAAACGTGTACACAGCAGACTTACAGGGTGGTGATGGAAACACGTGTACACAACATACTTACGGGGAAGCGATGGAAACACGTGTACACAACACACTTACGGGGTAGTGATAGAAACACGTGTACACAACAGACTTACAGTTAATGATGGACACGTGTACACAACACACTTACTGGGTAGTGATGGAAACACGTGTACACAACACACTTACTGGGTAGTGATGGACACGTGTACACAACACACTTACGGGGTAGTGATGGAAACACGTGTACACAACACACTTACGGGGTAGTGATGGAAACACGTGTACACAACACACTTACTGGGTAGTGATGGAAACATGTGTACACAACACACTTACTGGGTAGTGATGGAAACACGTGTACACAACACACTTACTGGGTAGTGATGGAAACACGTGTACACAACACACTTACTGGGTAATGATGGACACGTGTACACAACACACTTACTGGGTAGTGATGGAAACACGTGTACACACACACACACGTACTGGGTATGTGATGGACACACGTGATGGAAACATGTGTACAACACACACTGGACTTGGATGATGGAAACATGTGTGTACACAACACACTTACTTAGTGATGGAAACACGTGTACACACACACACAGTTTGATGATGGAAACACGTTACACAACACACTTGGATGATAGTGATGTACACGTGTACACAACACACTTACAGTTTGATGATGGAAACATGTGTACACAACACACTTACAGTTTGATGATGGAAACACGTGTACACAGCACACTTACAGTTTGATGATGGTGATGGACAGCACACGTGATGGAAACACAACACACTTACTGGGATGGGTGTACACAGCACACACAGTGATGATGGAAACACGTGTACACAGCACACTTACAGTTTGATGATGTGTGTACACAACACACGGAAACACGTGTACACAACACACTTACAGTTTGTGATGGGGGTAGTGATGGAAACACGTGTACACAACACACTTACAGGGTGATTGGAAAGGTACAGTTTGGTGATGGAAACACGTGTACACAACACACTTAGATGATGGGTAGTGATGGAAACACGTGTACACAACACACTTACAGGGTATGATGGAAACACGTGTACACTTACAGGGTGGTGATGGAAACACACAAAGATGAAACATGTGTACACAACACAACACGTGTACACAGCAGACTTACAGTTTGATGATGGAAACACGTGTACACAGCACACTTACAGTTTGATGATGGAAACACGTGTACACAGCAGACTTACAGTTTGATGATGGAAACACGTGTACACAACACACTTACAGTTTGATGATGGAAACACGTGTACACAACAGACTTACTGATGTGTGATGGACACACGTGTACACAACTTACAGTTTGATGATGGAAACACGTATGGAAACACGTGGTTTGTGTACACAGCAACACAGTTTGATGATGGAAACACGTGTATACACACACTTACAGTTTGATGATGGAAACACGTGTACACAACAGACTTACAGTTTGATGATGGAACGTGTACACAGCACACTTACAGGGTGGTGACACACAGTGTACACAACACACTTACTTACTGGGTAATGAGGGTACTGGGTAGTGTGATGGAAACACGTGTACACATCAGAATTACTGGGTAGTGATGGAAACACGTGTACACAACACACTTATATGTAAAAACATTAGTGAATTTTAATGGAAACACGTGTACACACAACACACTTACAGTTTGGGAGTGATGGAAACACGCTGTACTTATGATGAACAACAGTAAACAGGAAGTTCAGACTCCACGCTGTAATAGTTGTGGATTTAACTATAACCTTGTTCTGCTGTTGGTGTATCCCCAGTGTCAGACATATTCCTCCCCTTTATTTAGTATTGGCTTGTTTCATACACTGCAGAATTTAAATTTCCAGGTATCTTTAACGCTAGATGCTAAGGTTGTACTGGAGCGAAAAGGCAACAGAATACTTCAAATCAATAATTTAAATTTGTGAAACATATAAACTTGTTATATAGTATCATACTTTCTTTTGAATAATAAACACAGCAATGCAAAGAACCATAAACAGACATTCCTATTTATGTTTGACAATACCACTTTGATAGCAGTCTATATATATTGGTTCCTATCTCAGTAAGTTTCAATATGAAACAGAAGAAACGCAAATCCAGTATTACTTGATGAACTACGGTAAATGACTTCCTGACAAAACGCCCCTTTATCTATTAGAATATGAAATGCAACTAGGCGAAGTTAACGTCGTTTTCAAAAGTATTACATGGTATAAATATGTTGTACACAACAGAGTATTTTGATCTTAGCTTTCTTTACTTCCATTTTTTTTGCATATGATGGTGGGCTATTCAAATCGCTCTGGTACGTCGTCCGTCCGTCCGTAAAACATTTTTGTTATCGATATTTCTTGTTAAGTACTTGATAGATTTGATTTTAGGTCTGATCAGAAAAACAAAAAGGCCGACAGAAGGACATCTTAGATTTTGATTTTGAAAGCTTGTTATCGCTATTTCCTGAGAACTGCAGCGTAGATCTTTCTCACATTTCATGTGTATGTTTTCCTTGATCCCTAGTTGTGCCTGTTTGATTTTGTACTGGTCAGAATAAACAAAATGGCCCGCAAGCAGCCATCTTGGATTTTGACGTCGAAAGTTTGTTATCCCCATTTTTTGAGAACTACTCTATAGATCTTTCTCAAACTTCTTGTATAGGTTCATTTAGGTCCCTTATTATGTCTGTTTGAATTTGGGACTGATCAGAGAAACAAAATGGCTGTCAGACAGCCATCTTGGATTTCGCCCACTAAAGATTGTTATTGCTAATTTTCAACAAGTACTGAATGGATATCTCTCAAATTTCATAGGCATGTTCCCTTTGGTATTTCCTTGTAATCTTTTGATTTTGGGCTGATCAGAAAAATCAAAATGGCATCCAGGCGGCCAGAGTCCATTTGACAGGTAAAGACTATCATTGTAATTTCTGCAAAGGAATATTCAAATGTCCAATCATCAAGAGCAAAAACAGAGAGGAGAAAAGAAGGGGAAATGATTTTCAATGAGCATATAAAGATCAAACAATGGTAGGTGCCAAGACCACTCTGGGATCTCTTGTTTCTGTCCCAATGCCTTCCTTGCGCAACTTCCCTAACCTCTGGTGGAGGTCCACCGAAGCGTGGAAGGTTAAGCCTCTATCTCTTGTCGAGCGTCCACCGAAGCGTGGAAGGTTACGTATGGTGAACTCGAACCAGCTGTCATTAAGCTACTAATATCTTACCTGTTCTGGGTCGGCTTGGGCCTGTATCCTTCCATGAAGGGAAGGTGTGTCCACGGTTCCTGTATCACAAAGTAACCATGTTCATGCGTCACTCATAGAGTCTGGTGCAGGGTTTACCAGCTTTTTAATTTGCATAATGCATTTCAAGTTGCTTTTTACTTGTGTGCCTTCTTAGTACAAGGATGTTTTCCCAATTAATTTTCCCTCTTTTCTTCATACATCAATAATATTACTTCTGTTTTTGACATTTTCTTTTCGATTTTGAGCTCCAATACATCCTGTTGGTACTTACCTATGATATTTTCTTTTTCTGTTTTATTTAACATATACCGACTCTGATCAACATTCATCATAATAAAAAAAGCCATGTACAAAATATTTAACAACTAAGAAATAAACTCTGGTGAGTGCCTTCATTTTTTGTTATCATACTTACCTGGGCAGACGGGGATACAACGAATACCGTCACCAATGAAGTCCCTGGCGATGGTTTTACTGAGACCGATCACAGCCGCCTTAGTGGCACTGTACACAAACCGATTCGGGGGTCCTGGAACAGCGAACGTTAGGCACAGAATAACACACTTGTCAAGAAGTTCCGCACTTCATTTTCGGTGTTTTACTTCAAATACTGCTTATGTAACAGTAAATATGATGTACGATGGAACTTCCATGTCTGGTCCCATCAAACTTTTTATACTGATTAGACAAAGACATGTCGGAGAGTTTATATAGGAAGTATTACAGGAATACATGTGGAGAATTCAGTTGTAATCAGAAGTATATATAGAGAGAGAGACTTACCGTGAATAGTTGATGCAACTGATGACATATTGATGATAGCGCCTCCTCCGTTTTTGATCATCTAAAACATACATCTGTATCAGTCGAAAGGACCATGACTCTAAAACATACATCTGTATCAGTCTGAAGGACCGTGACTCTAAAACATACATCTGTATCAGTCTGAAGGACCGTGACTCTAACAGTCTGAAGGACCGTGACTCTAAAACATACATCTGTGTCAGTCTGAAGGACCGTGACTCTAAAACATACATCTGTGTCAGTCTGAAGGACCATGACTCTAAAACATACATCTGTATCAGTCTGAAGGACCGTGACTCTAAAACATACATCTGTATCAGTCTGAAGGACCGTGACTCTAAAACATACATCTGTATCAGTCTGAAGGACCGTGACTCTAAAACATACATCTGCATCAGTCTGAAGGACCGTGACTCTAACAGTCTGAAGGACCATGACACTAAAACATACATCTGTGTCAGTCTGAAGGACCGCGACTCTAAAACATACATCTGTATCAGTCTGAAGGACCGTGACTCTAAAACATACATCTGTATCAGTCTGAAGGACCATGACTCTAAAACATACATCTGTATCAGTCGAAAGGACCGTGACTCTAAAACATACATCTGTGTCAGTCTGAAGGACCATGACTCTAAAACATACATCTGTGTCAGTCTGAAGGACCGTGACTCTAACAGTCTGAAGGACCATGACTCTAAAACATATATCTGTGTCAGTCTAAAGGACCGTGACTCTAACAGTCTGAAGGACCATGACTCTAAAACATACATCTGTGTCAGTCTAAAGGACCGTGACTCTAAAACATACATCTGTATCAGTCTGAAGGACCGTGACTCTAAAACATACATCTGTATCAGTCTGAAGGACCGTGACTCTAAAACATACATCTGTATCAGTCTGAAGGACCGTGACTCTAAAACATACATCTGTATCAGTCTGAAGGACCGTGACTCTAAAACATACATCTGTATCAGTCTGAAGGACCGTGACTCTAAAACATACATCTGTATCAGTCTGAAGGACCATGACTCTAAAACATACATCTGTATCAGTCGAAAGGACCGTGACTCTAAAACATACATCTGTGTCAGTCTGAAGGACCGTGACTCTAAAACATACATCTGTGTCAGTCTGAAGGACCATGACTCTAAAACATACATCTGTGTCAGTCTGAAGGACCGTGACTCTAACAGTCTGAAGGACCATGACTCTAAAACATATATCTGTGTCAGTCTAAAGGACCGTGACTCTAACAGTCTGAAGGACCATGACTCTAAAACATACATCTGTGTCAGTCTAAAGGACCGTGACTCTAAAACATATATCTGTGTCAGTCTGAAGGACCGTGACTCTAACAGTCTGAAGGACCATGACTCTAAAACATACATCTGTGTCAGTCTGAAGGACCGTGACTCTAATACATACATCTGTGTCAGTCTAAAGGACCATGACTCTAAAACATACACCTGTGTCATTCTGAAGGACCATGACTCTAAAACATACATCTGTGTCAGTCTGAAGGACCATGACTCTAAAACATACATCTGTGTCAGTCTGAAGGACCGTGACTCTAAAACATATATCTGTGTCAGTCTGAAGGACCATGACTCTAACAGTCTGAAGGACCATGACTCTAAAACATATATCTGTGTCAGTCTAAAGGACCGTGACTCTAACAGTCTGAAGGACCATGACTCTAAAACATACATCTGTGTCAGTCGAAAGGACCGTGACTCTAACAGTCTGAAGGACCATGACTCTAAAACATATATCTGTGTCAGTCTAAAGGACCGTGACTCTAACAGTCTGAAGGACCATGACTCTAAAACATACATCTGTGTCAGTCGAAAGGACCGTGACTCTAAAACATACATCTGTATCAGTCTGAAGGACCGTGACTCTAAAACATACATCTGTGTCAGTCTGAAGGACCGTGACTCTAAAACATACATCTGTGTCAGTCTGAAGGACCGTGACTCTAAAACATACATCTGTGTCAGTCTGAAGGACCATGACTCTAAAACATACATCTGTGTCAGTCTAAAGGACCGTGACTCTAAAACATACATCTGTGTCAGTCTGAAGGACCGTGACTCTAAAATATACATCTGTGTCAGTCTGAAGGACCATGACCCTAAAACATATATCTGTGTCAGTCTAAAGGACCGTGACTCTAACAGTCTGAAGGACCATGACTCTAAAACATACATCTGTGTCAGTCTAAAGGACCGTGACTCTAAAACATATATCTGTGTCAGTCTAAAGGACCGTGACTCTAACAGTCTGAAGGACCATGACTCTAAAACATACATCTGTGTCAGTCTGAAGGACCGTGACTCTAATACATACATCTGTGTCAGTCTGAAGGATCATGACTCTAAAACATACATCTGTATCAGTCTGAAGGACCGTGACTCTAAAACATACATCTGTGTCAGTCTGAAGGACCATGACTCTAAAACATACATCTGTATCAGTCTGAAGGACCGTGACTCTAAAACATACATCTGTGTCAGTCTGAAGGACCGTGACTCTAAAACATATATCTGTGTCAGTCTAAAGGACCGTGACTCTAACAGTCTGAAGGACCATGACTCTAAAACATACATCTGTGTCAGTCTGAAGGACCGTGACTCTTATACATACATCTGTGTCAGTCTGAAGGATCATGACTCTAAAACATACATCTGTATCAGTCTGAAGGACCGTGACTCTAAAACATACATCTGTGTCAGTCTGAAGGACCATGACTCTAAAACATACATCTGTATCAGTCTGAAGGACCGTGACTCTAAAACATACATCTGTGTCAGTCTGAAGGACCATGACTCTCTAAAACATACATCTGTGTCAGTCTGAAGGACCGTGACTCTAACAGTCTGAAGGACCATGACTCTAAAACATATATCTGTGTCAGTCTAAAGGACCGTGACTCTAACAGTCTGAAGGACCATGACTCTAAAACATACATCTGTGTCAGTCTAAAGGACCGTGACTCTAAAGCATACATCTGTATCAGTCTGAAGGACCATGACTCTAAAACATACATCTGTATCAGTCTGAAGGACCGTGACTCTAAAACATACATCTGTATCAGTCTGAAGGACCGTGACTCTAAAACATACATCTGTATCAGTCTGAAGGACCGTGACTCTAAAACATACATCTGTATCAGTCTGAAGGACCGTGACTCTAAAACATACATCTGTATCAGTCTGAAGGACCGTGACTCTAAAACATATATCTGTGTCAGTCTAAAGGACCGTGACTCTAACAGTCTGAAGGACCATGACTCTAAAACATACATCTGTGTCAGTCTGAAGGACCGTGACTCTAATACATACATCTGTGTCAGTCTGAAGGATCATGACTCTAAAACATACATCTGTATCAGTCTGAAGGACCGTGACTCTAAAACATACATCTGTGTCAGTCTGAAGGACCATGACTCTAAAACATACATCTGTATCAGTCTGAAGGACCGTGACTCTAAAACATACATCTGTGTCAGTCTGAAGGACCATGACTCTAAAACATACATCTGTGTCAGTCTGAAGGACCGTGACTCTAACAGTCTGAAGGACCATGACTCTAAAACATATATCTGTGTCAGTCTAAAGGACCGTGACTCTAACAGTCTGAAGGACCATGACTCTAAAACATACATCTGTGTCAGTCTAAAGGACCGTGACTCTAAAGCATACATCTGTATCAGTCTGAAGGACCGTGACTCTAAAACATACATCTGTATCAGTCTGAAGGACCGTGACTCTAAAACATACATCTGTATCAGTCTGAAGGACCGTGACTCTAAAACATACATCTGTATCAGTGAAGGAAGGACTCTAAAACATACATCTGTACCGTGACTCTAAAACATACATCTGTATCAGTCTGAAGGACCGTGACTCTAAAACATACATCTGTATCAGTCGAAAGGACCGTGACTCTAAAACATACATCTGTGTCAGTCTGAAGGACCATGACTCTAAAACATACATCTGTGTCAGTCTGAAGGACCGTGACTCTAACAGTCTGAAGGACCATGACTCTAAAACATATATCTGTGTCAGTCTAAAGGACCGTGACTCTAACAGTCTGAAGGACCATGACTCTAAAACATACATCTGTGTCAGTCTAAAGGACCGTGACTCTAAAACATATATCTGTGTCAGTCTAAAGGACCGTGACTCTAACAGTCTGAAGGACCATGACTCTAAAACATACATCTGTATCAGTCTGAAGGACCGTGACTCTAATACATACATCTGTGTCAGTCTAAAGGACCATGACTCTAAAACATACATATGAAGATATTTTAAGGAAAGTACTACGAGAAGGCATCCACATAAAAGTGCTAGCATACAGAAATATCGCTCTGGAAGTATCCATAGAAACATATCTGTGGAAGACATTCGGAGAAATAGCTCAGACGATGAGGAGTTACGAAAGTCTATAAAAGAAATAGCCTTGTATTAACACCCAGAAGCCAAATCTTACAATATGTGGAATAATGAAAGACATTTCTTTAGAGATTGTTTTTACCCATCGAAAATGTGGTATTTGCATAATAGGAAAGATAAATCATTCGAGCGTTAAAGAAACGTACACCAACCTTCGGAATTACACGTCGACAGGTTCTGTACATACTCTTCACATTAAGGTTAAAGCTGAAGTCCCAATCCTTTTCTTCCACGTCCAGAATAGTACCATGATGCACAAACCTTAAAAAAATCAAACGACAGTATTTCTCTTTCATCTATTCCACGGAATTTCATGTGTCGCCTGAACAGCAAGATTTCTGGAGACGAGTTTTACGGAACAATAGTCACAGATATAACGGCAGGAACATGGAAAAGCACCTAAAAAGCAATCTCAAACAAGCCCTTTTGTTAAGAAGAAATGTATGACGTTTATCTCAAATAATCACACAAGACAGTTATCTTTTTACAGCTACAATGACCTTGACCTTTTGGCTTGAAAAGCAATACCAAGTAAGCACTTTTGGTAAGGAATCACGGTATAAAGTGTGAGGTTGATTGGACAAAAGGAACTAAAGTTATCGTGAAAAATATCAATTCCCTATTCATTGTAAGAGTGACCTTAACCTTTGACCTCCGGACCTTAAATCCAAAGCAAGCACTCTTGGTAAGGAATCACGGTATAAAGTGTAAGGTTGATCGGTCAAAGGGAAAAAAACTAATTTTCTATCTATACTAACCGTGACCTTGGCCTTTGACCTTTGGACTTGAAATGCAATACCAAGCAAGTATTTTTGGTAAGGAAGCCTTGTATGAAGTTTGAGCTTGATCGGCCAAAGGAAACTAAAGTTATCGCGAAAACCCCTTTGTGCGGACGATGACGACATAGTAATACCTATATGTCGCATTTGGCAGGCGATACAAAAGCCCTCCATAAACGACTCAGTTTACGTCCGAGAGAAACATGCTCTGGAAACTCCTCCTACTTTCGATAACTAGTCAATGTATTGATGAACATTATGTTTGTTTTACATGTACAACTCAATATACTAAACTGAAATCGGTATAGGAAGGTATTTTATTAGTGTCCCACCCTGCGCAGTTAAACAGTACATCCACTTTGTCTAGAGTGTCCAAAAAACTGTCCACGGCCGCAGAATCTGTGACGTCAAGCACCTGAGTCCGGATACCTGTACAACAAGGAAGAGAAACTTGATAGCGTCTTCCTTAGAATGATATATGTAGCCCGAGCGTTTTCCTTTGATCATTACATAACTAACGATTAAACAGAGTATGTAGAAATGTTGATATAATCGTGGGAGGAAACTATAAACCAGTGATGATCATACTTTACATAATGGTTGTCATAAAAATCCTTCTGACAGACGTGAAACGGAGCGTACTTAATGGGGCCTTTCAAATACAGGATGCGAGCATTATATACATTTATATATACTGACACGCAAAAGAAACGTAACCGTTAAATGTTTGTAACAATTTTACTATTTAAACATATAAACATGTCTTCCAACTGATCACAGATTAATATTCATTTTACTGGATAACACATTCCATTAAGTGTTTAGTTATCACCAATGCGGCGAAACATCTCAAGGGGGGGGGGGGGGGGGGGGGGGAGTGCTTTTGTGGACATTCAGTACTCATTTGGAGTTTTCCGCCTAACAGTAACTGCACTTCTTTCTTACCAGATATCTGGAGGATGACATAGAGGTCTAATACTCATAAAATGCAACCTACCCGTATTTCCGTGCACGTGCAAATCGGGCAATTGAGGTATGTCTCGCGAACACGAGGACAAGTAGCATGACGGAGAACAATTAACCGTGAATTTCAAAGGAAACATGTAAAGTAGCAGTGTATTAAAATCACAATAATTCAACATAAAAATATTGACATTTAATTGTAGCTGCGTTTCTTTTGCGTGTCAGTATATTTACACATAGGCGATGTAGAAGGAAGCCTATTCGCATGAAGATGGCTGTTTGACCTGAAAACATTAGCAAAACACAATAATTGGATTTGACTCCGATGATCTTATCGATACACAAAGTATGTACAAGACTTAATTTACAGTTTGCGGTTTCGCTATAATACAGTATACGTGAGTGGGTATGCAATGCAATTTGAAATAAAATATTATCTTTTTCGAAAAGAAAGCCAGTTCCACAATCTGTACTTCCCAACATCTTGCTTTCTACAATACCTTTCGTTCCAGATAATTCGGCCAGCTTTTCTCCATTGATGTCGGTGGCAATAACAGTCGCACCTTCTTCAGCGAAGGCCTGTCGGACAAAAAAAGTTCATACAAAACTCAAAGTCATTCAGATAAAATAGGCAGACGTATTTAAAACTAAAATGTAGTTCTTGTATCATAACCAGGTCGACAATTATCTGTAACGTTTAGGTGACTACACTACCTTCGTCAGACAAGTGACCAGTGTGAAGTGTAATTGCACTGAAGTAAACAGTGTCCAAAATGGTAATGGCATCACAGGACTTTTCGGTAGTAGTATAAACTTATGTGTACCAAGGTAGAAAGTAGTGAGACGAGATTGCGAAAAGATTATAGAGAAAACAGTGATCCCCACAGTCTATGTCGTCCCCGTTCAGTGCCTTCCTTTACCTACCGCTTGAAATGGTTGTTTTTCCTAACCACAACTTCGGGATTGTCCAAATCAATGACACGATTTTACAGTGCTATATGATCTGTTAGTGCCGACTTTTTTTTTTTTATCTAGTATCGTTTCCGCTCCGATCTTGTAAAGGTCTGTCTTCTTGTGCTTCGTGCCTTTCTGATGGTCACGGAATCCCAAACCTTCTTAGTTCCACCGACGGAAGATACCTATCATTGCAGGTTTTACATTCGGTCTTATATACACACTCCACGACGTTCTCCTTGGGTATTTTATCGTTATAATGGACAAAGATATCACGAAGTCTACACTGAACCATGACCACCGTAAATTCTCTGGTTTCTGACAGGCCTTTAATGTAAGGAATGACTGTCCATCCTTCTATTCTTTTCTTCGATGATTATATTTTTCTTCTCTCCTTTCCAAATGTTGTTTATTAATTCTCTGATTGGCCCATCCAGATATCTACATGATATCACAGCGCTATGGATGTGATTCTGCTCTGGGTTTTGTCAGGTTGCTCCGCGACCATTGAATTCCATCTACTAAGTTTCGTACAACGCCCAAATTCTGGTGTGTAAGAGTAGGTGAGGCTGTAAATTGTGGATCTGATGTAATTAATTTCCATTTAGACCAATACTTTGACTCTACATTATTATTTTTTTTACAAATAGGGTATCAAGAAAGGGTATAGTGCCATCCCTCGTGTGTGAATCTGGTGCTGTTTGTGGTATCTCCTATTATGATATATGAAGTCATATCTTTTCATCTTCACTATCGACAATATTTCCTCAACATATCGTTCTCATACGCTAGACTTGTACTCTATGGGACAGTGGCTGGAATTATTTCTCCAAAAATTCCATGAACAAATTGACGACAATAGGAAACACTGGACTTCTGGTTGACAAGCCGACGAGTTGTCGGTAGATGGTATCGCGGAAAGTTCCACTAAGTCTTGTATATGGAAATTTGTGTTCTTTCACCAAGATATATCTAGCTCTGGGCGGCTGCGAATGACACAAAGTGTTTGTTAGTGGGTGTGCTGGTTAAAAGAGACAGCATCAAATGAAATGATTTCTTCGTCCTTTCGCGTCGGGACAGTGCATTGAGTTTTATTGGGGACGCTCTGACGTCATCACTCGTGGTCCTAGAATGTCTACAAGATACCTGAAGACATTGGAACCAGTATAGTCGACAATGGACCTCAATGATTACTAAAGTTTAAATCGACTGTCATGGTATAGAGCATTGTTACTGCGTGATGCCTGTATGGGTGATCAATCTAATTTTACTTTAATTTTATCATCGTCTCTATAAAATAATTTCCACCCTAATGTACATAAGATTATACTACAGTCGAAAGATCATGTAATTCCACTCGAAAGCTATTATAAGTATACTCAATACCTCAATGCGACAAAATACCAAGGCTTACAATTCTTCATTACCTACTGGTAATTAGTGTTAATTAACATTTCAGTGAGACTTTTGTAACAATCTAAAACTATATCAATATCTTCTACCTGTTAAAGTTTAACACATCTTCATATCATGGTTCGTCACCTTACCTGTATCTTCATATCATGGTTCGTCACCTTACCTGTATCTTCATATCATGGTTCGTCACCTTACCTGTATCTTCATATCATGGTTCGTCACCTTACCTGTATCTTCATATCATGGTTCGTCACCTTACCTGTATCTTCATATCATGGTTCGTCACCTTACCTGTATCTTCATATCATGGTTCGTCACCTTACCTGTATCTTTATATCATGGTTCGTCACCTTACCTGTATCTTTATATCATTGTATGTCACCTTACCTGTTTGACCTCTGACTACAATCAAGGGTTTTGGCTACCTACCAAGGCCGTGGCACGTCCTATTCCTTGTGCTGCCGCGGACAGTAGGACAACTTTCCCCTCAAATCGTGCAGGCATCGTTTTTTATACTACAAAAAGCCATTGAAAAGAATTAAAACATTTAAGCAGTGTAATTAAAGTTGACTGAACTTCTATTCAACTACAATCTGTTGGTTGAATTGTATCATTAGTTTCAATAAAAGTACGTGAATCTGCAGATAAGTTAAAGAAACAGGAATAAAGATATGTTGTAACTATGTTTCTGGATAAGATACTGGTAAATATGAAAGTAACTTCATGTATCTCTCTGATGAGGAAACCAGAAGTACATAGAAATCAAATCGTCAAATAAATGGTATCTCACGATACCAATATCTGTTGTTTTCTCCCGATACCATTATCTGGTGTTTTCTTCCGCTACCATTATCTGGTGTTTTCTCCCGCTACCAATACCTGGTGTTTTCTTCCGCTACCAATATCTGGTGTTTTCTCCCGCTACCAATATCTGGTGTTTTCTTCCGCTACCAATATCTGGTGTTTTCTCCCGATACCAATATCTGGTGTTTTCTCCCGATACCAATATCTGGTGTTTTCTTCCGATACCAATATCTTGTGTTTTCCCCCGATACCATTATCTGGTGTTTTCTCCCGCTACTAATATCTTGTGTTTTCTCCCGATACCAATATCTGGTGTTTTCTTCCTCTACCATTATCTGGTGTTTTCTCCCGCTACCAATATCTGGTGTTTTCTCCCGCTACCAATATCTGGTGTTTTCTTCCGCTACCAATATCTGGTGTTTTCTTCCGATACCAATATCTTGTGTTTTCCCCCGATACCAATATCTGGTGTTTTCTTCCGCTACCAATATCTGGTGTTTTCTTCCGCTACCAATATCTGGTGTTTTCTCCCGCTACCAATATCTGGTGTTTTCTCCCGCTACCAATATCTGGTGTTTTCTCCCGCTACCAATATCTGGTGTTTTCTCCCGCTACCAATATCTGGTGTTTTCTCCCGCTACCAATATCTGGTGTTTTCTCCCGATACCAATATCTGGTGTTTTCTCCCGATACCAATATCAATGATAAATTCGTAATCGTTTTGTAAAATCTGTTTTGATTTGATCTTCCTTTTCCACGCTGTAACTTCGGTTGTATGGCTTAGAATTAATCATAAACTTCTTGAGGGGGTCTCCTTAACCTGTAAAGTATCTTGAATACGATAACGACTGTTATGACCCAGTCACGACCTGATCTTGCATACTATAGTAACTGTGTACATACACACGATAATATCCTAACACCCGAGTAACACTACGCAAATACAGTACTTCTCAGATCCCTGTGTTAACTCGAGTATTCTCTGGTTCTAACGCTAGCCGCTAGATAGCGAACCAGAGATTGGGTTCGCTAAAATGGAAAGGAAAAGTAAAAAGCATAAAACTCATATGAAAATTAGTGTGAGATTCTTATAGCGTTTTTATTTCCTATATTTGCAAACGTTGTTGGAAAAAAATCTTTGATCAACTACCTAGGACTACCTTCCCTGATCACACCTGGCACTATCTTCCCTCGTTACACCTGGCACTACATTCCCTGATCACACCTGGCACTATCTTGCCTGATCACACCTGGCACTACCTCCCCTGATCACAACTGGCACTACCTTCCCTAATCACACCTGGCACTATCTTCCCTGATCACACCTGTCACTATCTTCCCTGGTAACACCTGGCACTATCTTTCCTGATCACACCTGGCACTACCTTCCCTGATCACACCTGGCACTATCTTCCCTGATCACATCTGGCACTATCTTCCCATATAAAACCTGACAATTGCTAGTTTCATGGACAATAAAACAATACGAATTAATAATCTCAGTTGTACAAGATACCTTTACCTATCAAAACGGATAGATTTTTTTCTTCAAATTTATGCATTAAATTATTTCTTGAATTATAACAGCCACAATGCAAGAAAAATACCCCCTATGCGTTCTACTGAAGTTGATTTAAAACGAATTAAACGGATACAGTATTATTCCCCAGGTGTCATTCCGAGGATGTAACATTGTTATGCTAATAAATTTATCGATTGATTTCCATTGTGCATTTTAAATGACTTAAAGATATCTTGCCATTTTTGCTTACATCAATCACTACTACACACCGTGTCCCATTGCCACATCGCGGTCTTAAAAATATATACACTGAGGAGTACAAATAGAAGCGTGTAAACACGACCCCAAATATGACCATTTTGAATTGTACTTATAATGTACGGACCGCAGCGATATTTCGGGTATCTTCTCGGTCCATACTTGAGGCTGAATTTTGTATGGTTAATCCAGAATGCTCGACATAGATCAGAAAAAAAATTTCATATTTCACTTTTGAAACTCGCTTTTCTTTCACTTTCGTACTGCGTGCGGTTCTGGGCTACGTATTGATAGGCTACTAACGAGAACGCATGCATTTGGACGCTTAATAACGGCGAAAGGATGTTAAGACTAAACAATCATCCGCTTCCTTGGACACAGTAACAGCTGTCAGCGTGCATGTACTTACCTTCTCTTGCGACAACCTAGTTCCGTCACAGTCAGAGTTCATCAACAAAGTACGCCCACTCACTCACATTGTTGACCCGGAAGTACATCGTATATGACCCCTCACACGTTGTTACGAGGTAGTCTTACTAAACGTGTGCTTTCATGTGATAATGTCCTTCCCTGATGACTGTCGTGTTTTGTCCATCCAGAGCTCAGTCGTCTCTGGATATGTTGGCAACAAGAGTGCCACTTTCCCCCTCCAGGTGAGCGAGATTAATCTGGAGACCAGTCCGACCCCATACCTTTTTCCCCCACGGTCACCTTCACTTGGAACATCACATCTTCTATGAAAATTAATTATGTAATTGGCCTATTAACGAATGCATACATGTAACTAGCTATGTGGAGATATTTTACGGTGGCCTTGTACCATGTATATTTTCTCATTCAAGTTTAAACTTCCTGTTTCTAAACTTTGCTACAATAAAAGTTAAGCTTGTCTTCAATGATCAGCTTTCTTCAGACCTACGATGTCGGACGGTATAAATACTGACAGTACCGTTTATTATAAAGGTTTACTGCCTATCCCGACCTCCATAAGATAGTTACCTTTTATGAATATTACGGCTGTTTTGATCATAACCAACTATTTTACGATATAATACTATTTATTTCCGTGTCATAATCACATTATGTTTAGGACCTAGAATTGTATAAGAATTATTTTTCACGTGTATTTGTTTGCTTTTAATAGATCCTGGGATTTGACGTGAGCACCGTGAATTCTGTTCAGTTCTCCAACCATACTGGTAAATTGATTTTGTAAAGAACATCTTTTGTAGTCTGAAAGGTTAAAATTGCAACTATCTATATCACAACTTTTTCCTTACACTGAATTTATTTTACAATAGTTGTGAAACAACCTGTCAGCTTATATAAATCACCCTTGTTGACTTAGATGAAAGTGCACAAGGAATTTTACTGTGGGAGGAAACATCGAGTACCAGGGGGAAACCCACATGGTCAGGCATGTGACCTCATACCTTTTCATGTCTGCTCGGGGAATGAAACCCTGGATGTCTAGGTGAAAGGAGAGTGTGTTACCACTGTCCCACCGAACCACTCAAACATCAATTTAGTTTTTTTTTCTTAAATCTTTGTTGGAGTTGATCTAGTAAAAACAGAATAAGATTCAGGATAAATAGTTAGAACCTTTCAGGCTAATCTCATGTCACTCAATAATACATGGATTAGTGTTAGGAGAGCATTAAGTTAGTAATGAGTAAGATAGATGAACAGTTACAGAGTATTATATTGTCACAACTTACAAGGTAGATGACACATGTCTGTCTATGTCAGGCTGTCATTTTTATAACAACCAGGAAACATATCAGCTATATCAAAAAAATGAAATAGAACTTTCCAGCTTGTAGCTCTCTTTATTTTAGCTCTGTAGACACAACAAAATCGTTATAAAGAGACCTATTTTGTCATAACAAAATGAGTGACAATTTGTTGCATACTAGATTGTTTCATCAGAAAAACCAGGCTTTCATCTTTGAAGGTAAATTTAGATTCAGTTTTTCATTGCCTGGAAATCTTAATAAGATTTTTGGTTGTATTGTTTTGTTTGGGAATGGTTCTATGTTTTTTGTTTACATTTTTTTCAAAAAGGTTATAAAGTGTTTAAAGGCCAAGTTTTGAATGCTGATGATATGTCCTGCTTATACGAAGGACTCAAACTCAACAAGATCCATCACTTCACACATCTACTCACAGGTATGTGATTTAATATACAACTTACCTGTAATTCACAACAAAGTCTTGAACCCCTTTAAACAACTGACCTATACTTCACAACAAAGTCTTGAACCCCTTTAAACAACTGACCTATACTTCATAACTGAACCCTTAAATTGACATCTTTGTTGGAAATAAGATTTTTGCACCTGTTTTACCACTTATTTTTGCACCTGTTTTACCACTTATTTTTGCACCTGTTTTACCACTTTTGTTTATAGTTTCAAAGTTGGTCCGTTGTTATCATTATATTGTATAAATTTCAGGTTACATAGGGTCCAAATCATTCTTGGAGAAAGTTGGAGAAATTGTTAAAGATTTACGGAAACAGAATCCTAACCTTACCTATGGTAATGATTTTTTTCAAAAATTTATTTTAAGATATGAGTTATTCTGATATAAACTGACAATGACTGTACATCATGTAACTCATTTTCTGTATTTATTCAATATCTTTAAAGACTCATCAGTTCAAATGTCTTTGTTGACAAGTTAACTGCTGTGGCTAGATATAAGTCTACATTGACCTGCAATATTTGCATATATTTTACACTCTTTATTGACATCAGTGACTTGTACAATACTTTGTATCTTGACTAGTGTCATGTGTAAATATATGAGACATTTTTACATTTCCTTTTTGTAGTGTGTGATCCAGTGATGGGAGATAATGGTAAAATGGTGAGTCTTATCCACAGAAATATTCAATAGATATTTATTTGTTTAAAATACATATACAGGCTTTATCACTATTCCAGTATACTCTGTCAGTTCCAATATCAACATATAAGAAGAAAAATCACCTATGTAATGGTTACAAGAACTTTGATACAAACTTTGATAAGATTAAGTTTTGAAATAAGTGTCATTGAAAATTCATTGTTCAATAATTGAACAAACACCACCATGTTCTAAGAACAAGATGTAACTCTTGAGTAAGTGGGAACAGAACAGAGACAGATATTGATGACAAATGTTGAAGTTGTTGTCTATTTTGACAAGGATTCTGTTATTAGGTTGGCTTGGAAGGCGATCTTTGGGTGAGTTATGTTAAATATTTACATGGTGAAAGAAACCTATGGTACCGTAACTAATACCGGTAAGGGTTCTGTAGATTTGTAACATTGCTAGAATTATATAGTCAATACCATTGTACACAGAATCATTTCCAAGGCAGACATTGTTGGTCGCACAATTGTAAAAAAAAAAAAGATGGTGGCTTTATGTTTGGGATTATGAGGCGAGCATTGGAGACTTATGGCTATGCCTTTGATGAGTTTTGTAGGTGAGGTCATGACTTAGATATATGCGTGGAAAAGTTCAGTCTTTAGAGAGGTGTGTGGGTAGGGTCTGATGGGAGAGGTCATGTGGGGGAGTATGTGAGGGAGAGGTAAGGTATGGGAGTGTGTGAAGGAGAGGTAAGAAAGGGGAGTTTTTGAGAGAGAGGTTAGATGGGAGTGGTGAATGAGGGAGAGGTTATGTGAGGGTGGTCAGTGTTGGAGAGGTCATGTAGGAGAGGTGTGTGTAGGAGAATTAAGGTGGGAGTGGTGAGTGCTGGGCAGGTCGGATGAGAAGTGTGTGTGAAAGATAGGTTAGGTAGGGGATAGGAAAGAGAGGTGTGAGGGAAAGGTGTGTGACTGAAAGGTCAGGTGGGAATGATGAATGTAAGAGAGATGTATGTGATGGAAAGATGAGGTGGGCAATTGGAGAAGTGTGTTCAGATGGGGGAGTTGAAAGTTAGATTGGGGAGTTGGGTGAGGGAAATGCAAGACAGATTTTAGAGGTGTGAATGGGAGAGGATTGATTGGAGAAGTGTGTTTGAAAAGGGTTAGCAGGCTTTGAAAAATTTTATTTAAGGCAATCGCCCAAAGGGCAAGTGACATTCAAAATCAACTCACCCAAACCAACTTTCTATTGGCCCAAAAATTATTTTTAGTTTAATGTATTTTATGAGAGATTTTGCCGTGAACTGTTTATTTGAAATAATTTGATAGTAGTAATAAATGGTATCATTGTGTGTAACTTTTTTTTATGATTGATCTGCTACAAATGTCTGCGTGATGCAACACATTGCAAAACTCATAATATTCGTAAATTCCACGAATGTTTTGTCAGGACACCATGACAATCTTTAGTTACAGAAAATTCGGGGGAACAAGGGTTCCGTTTATGATATCTAATAACAGGCCAGATATCGTCTGCTAAATTTCCACAAATTCTGGAAAGAAACGTTTTAGCTGTCAGTGTCATTTACCTCCAAGCCATTCAAACTCTTCAAACCAAGAGTTTACAACTTTTCTTTTCCTTTTTAGGCTAAACGTACTCCGTACGCATAGCCTATTGCAACGGCCTTTCAGACAAAATTTACCGATCCTGGCTTTCTCATCGGCTGAAATATCGAAAAGAGTTAGAGCCCTCTAGCGGCAATTTTCTGCATAAATAATGCAGCCATCTTTCACATCACTATTTTAAAAGCATCCACAATTAGTTTATTTTTTTCAATAATAGTACGATTACTATATATTTCAAAAAAAGAAGCACAGGGTGGTTGAACTATTGATAAATTTTGAACAATTATACGGAATTTGCTCACGGACGTCCCCGACCTCTGCTGCTGAAGAAGATCGAGCTGACGTGATTCATATCGCCTGCTGTGAATATTTTTAGAAAACAACCATATTTACCGTAAATAAGCAAAAAAATAGTTTCTTGTATCTTCAAAGTTTATTGTAACTCAATTCTTTTCTTTTTTTATTACCTTAGGCCTTCCGGCCTATCAGTCACAAAACAATATAAACAAATTACAGCATGGCGTGACATACATATATAGAGAATGACATATAATATCCCTGTATTTCATACTTAATGTTTTATGTTATTATTACTTAATATTTAATTATGTATTATTTCTTAACTTAGTTGCCTCATATATAAACTTTCCTGTAGAACAAAATTCCTTAATACTTTCAACTCTCAATAACTGAATTAATTTAAAAACAGATGGCCTATTCCAGTAATTACGTTTGATATACTTTTCCCTTAAATCTCTATACCTGTTGCATTCAAAAATAAAATGATGCTCATCCTCAACCTGTCCAATATTACACATATTACAAAAACGTCTTTGTCTTGGGGTGTTATCATATCGACCTGATTCAATAGCTAAACAATGTGCCGACAGACGTATCTTAATGAGACAAGTTCTAGATTTGTTTGGAATATATTTAGTAATATAAAAAGGTAAGGTGACACTATCCACAAGATGTTTATATATATGACACATCGACGATGGCTCTAATAAATATTTTAAGCATTGTTGGGCTTGATAAAAAATTCTCTGCTTTATTACTGGTAAAATATTGTCTGCATAATTTGCATACATTTCTTGGTTTACCCATACATATCCGAAACTAAGTGACAAAAGTTCATTTTTTCATAAAAGTAACCCAGTTAAAACATTTCTTTGTGTTACCATTTCTTAAAGAATCATATGCACGATTTAAAATACAATTTCGCGCATCAATTAATTTAAACCAGTACTTTATCATTCTGTATTTTCTGTAATATTCAAGTGGGAAACGACCTAGCTCGCAATATACCATTGAATTTGAGGTCGATTTTTTAACATGTAATATTCTTTTACTAAAATGACTGTGAACCTTTTCAATATCGTTTGCCTTGGATGCTCCCCATACTTCACAACCATGGCTTAAAATACTTCCAACATAGGTATCGAACAGATGAAGCATAGTTTTAACATTCAAGTTCATGTTATTATATTTTGTAAAAAGTGCAAACATTGCTTTATGTCCCTGGTTAATTCATACTTTGAATGATCTTTCCTTGGTTTTTCCTTATTCGCCTTTGTTGACATACCAAAGTATGCCCTCATGTTGAAGTTCGCAATCGTATTTTTGTCGTCAAGACGCTTAAGCAGTTTACAAGTGTCTGTGTGATCTATTACTTGAAGGGACAGACAAAATTCTGGATTTTTTCGATGATGACGAAATTGTTACTCGCCAGACGGGCGTGTGCGTGGCGAAAATTACTTGCCCAAATCGATGTTTTAGTCGCCATGGCGACTGGGCGAGTGGATTTTTCCAAGTCTGGTTAGATTATGGATTTGTATGGGAGATATAACAGTGGATAGTTTTGTGAGAGAGAGCTTATGTTGGAGAAGTGTGTGGAGAGGTAAGATTGTAGAAATGCCCCTGCATCCTTTGTGATTCTACACTACTCAGCGTCCCTCCATCCCTTGTGATTCTACACTACTCAGCGTCCCTCCATCCCTTGTGATTCTACACTACTCAGCGACCCTCCATCCCTTGTGATTCTACACTACTCAGCATCCCTCCATCCCTTGTGATTCTACACTACTCAGCGACCCTCCATTCCTTGTGATTCTACACTTCTGAGCATCCCTCCATCCCTTGTGATTCTACACTACTGAGCGTCCCTCCATCCCTTGTGATTCTACACTACTGAGCGTCCCTCCATCCCTTGTGATTCTACACTACTGAGCGTCTCTCCATCCCTTGTGATTCTACACTACTCAGCGTCCCTCCATCCCTTTTGATTCTACACTACTCAGCATCCCTCCATCCCTTGTGATTCTATACTACTCAGTGTCCCTCCATCCCTTGTGATTCTACACTACTCAGCATCCCTCCATCCCTTGTGATTCTACACTACTCAGCGTCCCTCCATCCCTTTTGATTCTACACTACTCAGCATCCCTCCATCCCTTGTGATTCTACACTACTCAGCATCCCTCCATCCCTTGTGATTCTACACTACTCAGCATCCCTCCATCCCTTGTGATTCTATACTACTCAGTGTCCCTCCATCCCTTGTCATTCTATACTACTCAGTGTCCCTCCATCCCTTGTGATTTTACACTACTTAGCGTCCCTCCATCCCTTGTGATTCTACACTACTCAGTGTCCCTCCATCCCATGTGATTCTACACTACTCACCGTCCCTCCATCCTTTGTAATTCTACACTACTCACCGTCCCTCCATCCTTTGTAATTCTACACTACTCACCGTCCCTCCATCCTTTGTAATTCTACACTACTCACCGTCCCTCCATCCTTTGTAATTCTACACTACTCACCGTCCCTCCATCCTTTGTAATTCTACACTACTATACTCAGGTCTGTCGTTGCCATTGCTGCCATTAAGGATTATGGCTTTGAATTGATTGAGCACCTGCTTATTTGCCTGATCACGCTCCCTCAGACTATCACCTATTTCCAAAATTGAAACGGCCATTTCTGGTACCAACTTTTGGTCAGATGATGAAGTCATACATGGAGTGGAGGACTTTCTGAACGGTCAAGAAAAGGACTTCTTTAAAAGTGGCATTTAGGCCCATAAACATTGCTCACAAAAGTGTATTGATACTGAAGGGGATTATGTTGAAAATAATGCAGTATGTCCTCTAAAAGTCAAACCCATAAATATGAGGCCCACAACTTATCAATGAGCCCTTGTACTAGAGGGAAAACTCATGCAGTGCTAAATGTGACAAAGAATATATGCTCCCACAAAACTTAACATCTTTATACTAATAATGGATATAGATTTATCAGGAAAAGTCTGGTAACTTTAATAGAAGGAAGAGAATTAATTTAAAGGTATCTGTTTCAGTATGTGCCCCAAGAACTACTAGAGGTATACCAGAAAGTCATGATTCCAATTGCCGATATCATCACACCAAACCAGTTTGAAGCTGAGTAAGTAAAGAGAGAAACATTATTAATATTGGATATTAGAATCATCTCCTAGGATACGTATTCTGTTGTTACTGAGTAAACAGCCAGAATTAAGACCTAGGACACATGTTCTGTTGTTACTGAGTAAACAGCCAGAATTAAGACCTAGGACACATGTTCTGTTGTAACTGAGTAAACAGCCAGAATTAAGACCTAGGACACATGTTCTGTTGTAACTGAGTGAACAACCAGAATCATCAGCTAGGATACATGTTCTGTTGTAACTGAGTAAACAGCCAGAATTAAGACCTAGGACACATGTTCTGTTGTTACTGAGTAAACAACCAGAATTAAGACCTAGGACACATGTTCTGTTGTAACTGAGTAAACAGCCAGAATTAAGACCTAGGATTCATGTTCTGTTGTTACTGAGTAAACAGCCAGAATTAAGACCTAGGACACATGTTCTGTTGTTACTGAGTAAACAACCAGAATTAAGACCTAGGACACATGTTCTGTTGTAACTGAGTAAACAGCCAGAATTAAGACCTAGGACACATGTTCTGTTGTAACTGAGTAAACAGCCAGAATTAAGACCTAGGACACATGTTCTGTTGTTACTGAGTAAACAGCCAGAATTAAGACCTAGGATACATGTTCTGTTGTAACTGAGTAAACAGCCAGAATCATCACCTAGGACACATGTTCTGTTGTTACTGAGTAAACAGCCAGAATCATCACCTAGGATACATGTTCTGTTGTTACTGAGTAAACAGCCAGAATTAAGACCTAGGACACATGTTCTGTTGTAACTGAGTAAACAGCCAGAATCATCACCTAGGACACATGTTCTGTTGTTACTGAGTAAACAGCCAGAATTAAGACCTAGGACACATGTTCTGTTGTTACTGAGTAAACAGCCAGAATTAAGACCTAGGATACATGTTCTGTTGTAACTGAGTAAACAGCCAGAATCATCACCTAGGATACATGTTCTGTTGTTACTGAGTAAACAGCCAGAATTAAGACCTAGGATACATGTTCTGTTGTTACTGAGTAAACAACCAGAATTATGACCTAGGATACATGTTCTGTTGTTACTGAGTAAACAACCAGAATCATCACCTAGGATACATGTTCTGTTGTTACTGAGTAAACAGCCAGAATTAAGACCTAGGATACATGTTCTGTTGTTACTGAGTAAACAACCAGAATCATCACCTAGGATACATGTTCTGTTGTTACTGAGTAAACAACCAGAATCATCACCTAGGATACATGTTCTGTTGTAACTGAGTAAACAGCCAGAATTAAGACCTAGGACACATGTTCTGTTGTTACTGAGTAAACAGCCAGAATTAAGACCTAGGATACATGTTCTGTTGTAACTGAGTAAACAGCCAGAATCATCACCTAGGACACATGTTCTGTTGTTACTGAGTAAACAGCCAGAATCATCACCTAGGATACATGTTCTGTTGTTACTGAGTAAACAGCCAGAATTAAGACCTAGGACACATGTTCTGTTGTAACTGAGTAAACAGCCAGAATCATCACCTAGGACACATGTTCTGTTGTTACTGAGTAAACAGCCAGAATTAAGACCTAGGACACATGTTCTGTTGTTACTGAGTAAACAGCCAGAATTAAGACCTAGGATACATGTTCTGTTGTAACTGAGTAAACAGCCAGAATCATCACCTAGGATACATGTTCTGTTGTTACTGAGTAAACAGCCAGAATTAAGACCTAGGATACATGTTCTGTTGTTACTGAGTAAACAACCAGAATTATGACCTAGGATACATGTTCTGTTGTTACTGAGTAAACAACCAGAATCATCACCTAGGATACATGTTCTGTTGTTACTGAGTAAACAGCCAGAATTAAGACCTAGGATACATGTTCTGTTGTTACTGAGTAAACAACCAGAATCATCACCTAGGATACATGTTCTGTTGTTACTGAGTAAACAACCAGAATCATCACCTAGGATACATGTTCTGTTGTAACTGAGTAAACAACCAGAATCATCACCTAGGATACATGTTCTGTTGTTACTGAGTAAACAGCCAGAATTAAGACCTAGGATACATGTTCTGTTGTAACTGAGTAAACAGCCAGAATTAAGACCTAGGACACATGTTCTGTTGTTACTGAGTAAACAGCCAGAATCATCACCTAGGATACATGTTCTGTTGTTACTGAGTAAACAGCCAGAATTAAGACCTAGGATACATGTCCTGTTGTTACTTAGTAAACAGCCAGAATTAAGACCTAGGACACATGTTCTGTTGTTACTGAGTGAACAACCAGAATCATCACCTAGGACACATGTTCTGTTGTAACTGAGTAAACAGCCAGAATTAAGACCTAGGATACATGTTCTGTTGTTACTGAGTAAACAACCAGAATCATCACCTAGGATACATGTTCTGTTGTTACTGAGTAAACAACCAGAATCATCACCTAGGATACATGTTCTGTTGTAACTGAGTAAACAACCAGAATCATCACCTAGGATACATGTTCTGTTGTTACTGAGTAAACAGCCAGAATTAAGACCTAGGATACATGTTCTGTTGTAACTGAGTAAACAGCCAGAATTAAGACCTAGGACACATGTTCTGTTGTTACTGAGTAAACAGCCAGAATCATCACCTAGGATACATGTTCTGTTGTTACTGAGTAAACAACCAGAATTAAGACCTAGGATACATGTCCTGTTGTTACTGAGTAAACAGCCAGAATTAAGACCAAGGACACATGTTCTGTTGTTACTGAGTGAACAACCAGAATCATCACCTAGGACACATGTTCTGTTGTAACTGAGTAAACAGCCAGAATTAAGACCTAGGATACATGTCCTGTTGTTACTTAGTAAACAGCCAGAATTAAGACCTAGGACACATGTTCTGTTGTTACTGAGTGAACAACCAGAATCATCACCTAGGACACATGTTCTGTTGTAACTGAGTAAACAGCCAGAATTAAGACCTAGGACACATGTTCTGTTGTTACTGAGTGAACAACCAGAATCATCACCTAGGACACATGTTCTGTTGTAACTGAGTAAACAGCCAGAATTAAGACCTAGGATACATGTCCTGTTGTTACTTAGTAAACAGCCAGAATTAAGACCTAGGATACATATATTACAGGTTGTTGACAGAGATGAAAATTGGAACGGAGAGCGATGCCTGGAAAGCCATGCAGATTCTTCATGATATGGGACCAAAGACAGTTGTTATCAGCAGCAGTGACCTGGGGTCGGAGGGCACCATTGTGGCACTAGCCAGCTCCATAAAGAGTAAATATGTACCCTTTATGATCTCAGGATTTTAACCTGAACATAATGTTAGATATCGTTCAGTGTGAATCTTAAAACCCAAACTTTCATATCAAAACTAAGGGATAGAGATGATGATACATTCACAAATACACCTGTGAAAGTGTACGGACATTTAAAGTGACTTTGAAATGTTTTACACAGATGGCTGTAAGGAACAGTACAGGATCAACATGCCCTACATCCCTCAGGTATTTGTAGGTACGGGGGATTTGTTTGCTGCCTGCCTCCTTGCCTGGATACAGAAAGACAAAAATCTCAAGGTAAGCATTCAGATTGTTCAGTAATTTAGCTCAACCTAATTCATAGCATGTCATCTGATGTTTGAGGACTTTTGCTTTTCATTTTCTCTTCTTGTCCATTCATAAATCTGGGAAAGAGGAAGTGTGTGTGTACATCTGTCCATCCTGGAAACACTATTTCTAAAGAACTAAAAAAGATCCCCTTCAAACTAAATGAACATGTTAAGTATTGGTCTTGTTTGTGTATACTGTTTTCTAGACAACAATTTGATATTAATGATGAAGATATCCACCAGCAAACATTTGAGCTTGATTAAATACTTGACACGACAGCCAGTGTTTACTTTGAATCTTGTAAATTTGTTAACATTTATGTTACATATTACTGTTCTAGATAATTTTTTAAATGATTAGAAAAAACAAGATGACTTACAGACAGCCATCTTGGATTTTGACATCTGAATATTGTAAACACAATAATGTATGGAGTCAGAAAGCACTTGAGAAATTATTCTTTAATTCTATAATAGGTTTTCCTCACCATTCATTCTCCTGTTATTACAACAAATATTCACACAAAAGACAAACGAGAGAAGAGAAAAAGAGGATGGAAGATCAATCTTACAAATAACCAATAAATATATGATGGAGGGCACCTGCTTTTATCTTGTACCGCTTTAAAACTAACATTGTACAGAAAGGCATTGTAATGTTTACACTTGTATATAAACCATTATCAGAATTTTGTGTATTCTCAATGCCATGATATCATATTTTGAAATGGAGCATTTTTAACAGGAATTTTGATTTGCTGTACTTATATTTGCCGTCGCTGTTTGTAAACCTATGAAAGTGAGAATATATATTTCATGTCATTTTCATTATATTGGAAATACCGGACTGATAACAACTGTTCTATAGTAATAGTTTACATGTTCAGACAGCCATCTTATCTTGTGATGGCGGTCATTCACTGTCTAGTGACTCTTTAAAGCTGTTAACTTCCCAGAGATGAAGCCTGACAATTGCTGTTTGTGTGTAATATGACCTTCACTAATTTTCTGTTTAGCTGTGGTCCAATATACTCAAATAGTCTTTCAACAAGATGTCTGTTGTTTGGATATCAATACAGTAGACATTCACCCACTTGGAGGCTCACAGCATAAAACAACAATTGACAAGTACAGGCCCATGGGGCCCCTTGCTGAAAATCTACCTTTGTCAATTACCGGTAGTTCTCAAAATCTGCAAAGGAGTTAAGATCAGGTGTTGATTCTATGTAAAGGTGCTCACCCCTTTAATCAGGAACATACTCTCACAACAGATTTACCTTTCTTTCAAAATTTGTCTGCAGTCCTTTATGTAATCATAGGACTTCTTGTGATCATAATGCAGTTTAATGCTTAAAGCTGGTTTTCTATGTTAATTTGTATCAAAGTGAAGAGTTTTAGCTTACTCTCAGCTTTATATTACAGGTTGCGTTGGAGAAGACTGTGTCAATTGTCCAAGCAGTAATACAGAGGACTGTTGGTCATGCACTTAGTGAGTAGTGACCTTGTTACAGTATTTTATACTTAGAGACGTTATAATTAATGGGGTTGTTAGTATGGTATTTAAGAACAGTTGTAATGATACAGTAAGGCTTCAGATTGTTGAATTTTGTCCCAATACAGGACTTTTTACAGGTGAATCTTCAATCTTCATTATTTTGAATTTCAAACTTTGTACATTTCAATAATCCTGTGAAAAATGAGAAAAATATGCAGCAAATTAAAGTTTGTGTTTAGTGACCAGTGACTACATGTGATAATTGACCAGTGACTACTTGTGTTTAGTGACCAGTGACTGCTTTTGTTTAGTGACCAGTGACTGCTTGTGTTTAGTGACAAGTGACTGCTTTTGTTTAGTGACCAGTGACTGCTTTTGTTTAGTGACCAGTGACTGCTTTTGTTTAGTGACCAGTGACTGCTTGTGTTTAGTGACAAGTGACTGCTTTTGTTTAGTGACCAGTGACTGCTTTTGTTTAGTGACCAGTGACTGCTTGTGTTTAGTGACCAGTGACTGCTTGTGTTTAGTGACCAGTGACTACTTGTGTTTAGTGACCAGTGACTGCTTGTGTTTAGTGACCAGTGACTGCTTGTGTTTAGTGATCAGTGACTGCTTGTGTATAGTGACCAGTGACTGCTTTTGTTTAGTGACCAGTGACTGCTTGTGTATAGTGACCAGTGACTGCTTTTGTTTAGTGACCAGTGACTACTTGTGTTTAGTGACAAGTGACTGCTTGTGTTTAGTGACCAGTGACTGCTTGTGTTTAGTGACCAGTGGCTACTTGTGTTTAGTGACCAGTGGCTACTTGTGTTTAGTGACCAGTGACTCTAGAGAAGTTTAAATAAATGATTTCTTAATAGGTAAGTATTGATATACAGTGGAATATTGAGGATGAGAAAATATTGGTCAGTAACATGTTTGAGGGCCTGTTGAGCCGATCAGAAGTTGACCAATCAGCCTACATATATAGTTACTATGTTCCTGAGTTTACACACATGATTCATTGTGAGTTTGTTTTATTGTATGCACTAGTTTGACTTATGGTGTTTGTTGTTATTACACATGCATTTGTAGTGGATTTTACATTGGACTCTGTCCAACCATCAGAGGGGCTTTTCTGGACTACAACTAGAAAAATGTTCAGCTCTTCAAAACAAAAATTATTGTGGAAAGTATCATATTTAGTTATAGTGCCTTTGTTAAGTCTTTTGCTATTGATGAGATTTCATTTTGAACATTTTCTCCATTATCATGGAAACAACATCAGAAATACAAAAGTTACTCTTTACAAGGTTTTCTACACTAAACTTGAAAGCCATTCACCACATCTCTCTAAAACTTTGTATTACACGTCAGGCCAGAGTTCCAGTTGTGCCGTTTGCTTTTGGTAATATTTCAAAAGGTGATAATTACATAATTTACTGTTTGCTAGTGAGCCTTTCTATGATACACCTCGGAAACTACATACCTGATACCTACACACATCAAATATCAGCCATGAAAAACACATATAATTTATATCTTGTTCTTCTAGGATAAGGTTTATATATGATGAGTGTGTTGATGTTCCCACCAACAGTAGGGCAGGGAGGATAATGTCAGGCTTGGCAGCACCTTGCTGCAGGTCTAGCAAAGCCAAGCCCATTGTTAGTGTACACACTAGTCTGAACTGTGGTGTTTTTGTAATGTAGGTCTCGCCGGTACAGGAAACAAACCCACCCCAGAACAGATGGAGCTGAGGCTGATACAGAGCAAGGCAGATATTGAGGACCCAAAGATCTTATTTGATGCTGTACCAGTTTGACCCGTGTAGAAGCCTAGTTTTAATTGTTATATATCATATATCAATGTTATAGAGTTAGGAAGAGTGCAGTGGGGAAAGCTTTATAATTTTAGGATTTGGAATATGTGAAAAGTGAGAGATAGTTGACTTGAGGATGGTTGTTTTTAAATGCGAGAGCTGATAGACAATTAACTTGGGGATGATTTCTTTTTTCTCGCACCTCATACATTGATATCCCACCTCATACAGGGATATCCCATGTAATACCCATCTTAGATTTTTCTATCTCACCCAATCTGTCTAGAACCCTTTAAACGCGTTTTCGCTGAATTTGTATAGGTTTCAGTGTATTTATTGACGTGTAGGTGTAGGTGGCACCTACCTACATGCATTTTAACAAAAACAGAGTTTATGTCATTAAAATTTCAATGATATTCTATTTAATTAATCATATTCAAAATGAAATAGAAAGTCTTCACTGTAAAATGTGCAATATTTTTTGTAAGTGTGGCCTACATTGTTTATGTGTCACTATCCAAACATTGTTTAAAAGTGAAGAGGCTTTGTGGGTAGTTTGAGGCTCCCACGGGATACACCAAACTCTGGTGAAATATTGAATCATTTTTAGAATTGTAGGTGCGAGAAAAAAATCTATAACCTGTAACTGAGCGCAATCAGGGTATCTCAGTCTGGTAACATAACAGATCCAAACCGAGGCATTATCCGAGGTTAAGATTTTACAGGATCTTGGCCCTCCACTGAGATACCCCGATCTTGCTCAGTTACAGGTAACAGATCTTATCAATCTCTGTCTTGTATTGCATTCCAAGAAATTATTATGAGTCACTAATATTTACTATCACTTGTGCTATGGTTTATTTACAAGGACATAAGCAACCTACCTTGACAACTATGTCATGAACAACAGGCATTTAGTAATTCAGAAATGAATGCTGTCACATTTCTACCATTGTATTATCAGAGATGCTTCTCATATTTGGTTCAGGTGTTTTTAGTTTGTGAGGAATAAGGCAGCCACATCTATCAAATATAAACAACAAATACAATGAAGTTGAACTGTCTCTATACGAACACTTGTTATGTTGAATGCCTAGATACACTGTGAATTAAGACATCCATTTGTTGGTTGAATCAGTATAAGCCAAAAGGAGCTTGAGCAGTTGAAAATTGGAAATAATAATGAACATGTTGGTAAATGAAGATATTGAAACATCTTATGATGGCTGTAAGAGGATAGGTTATTAAGGGTTTGACATTCTGGTGACGGTACATATAAAGCCAGATTCAGCTACATGACCCTGTGTGTTCTGTCTATACAATGTATTGAGGGTCTATAGACATAAAAGGCATAGTGATGTTATTAATTATTGCATCTCTTATAACTGTATGGCAACATTTACTAAATCATTTCTCGTTAGTATTCTAATTTATGTTCCAAATTACATATTTCAATTGAAAAAGTTTCACAGGTTTATACCAATGTAACTTACACAGGTGTAAATGGTTGGGCATCACAAAGTGTAATGTACACAGGTGTAAATGGTTGGGCATCACACCAGTGTAATGTACACAGGTGTAAATGGTAAGGCATCACACTAGTGTATTACACAGGTGTAAATGGTTAGGCATCACACCAGTTTACTACACAGGTGTAAATGGTTAGGCATCACACCAGTGTAATGTACACAGGTGTAAATGGTTAGGCATCACACCAGTGTAATGTACACAGGTGTAAATGGTTGGGCATCACACAGTGTAATGTACACAGGTGTAAATGGTTAGGCATCACACCAGTGTAATGTACACAGGTGTAAATGGTTAGGCATCACACCAGTGTAATGTAGACAAGTGAAACTTGTTTGGCCTCACACCAGTGTAATGGTTTGGCCTCACACCAGTGTAATGGTTTGGCCTCACACCAGTGTAATGGTTTGGCCTCACACCAGTGTAATGGTTTGGCCTCACACCAGTGTAATGGTTTGGCCTCACACCAGTGTAATGGTTTGGCCGCACACCAGTGTAATGGTTTGGCCTCACACCAGTGTAATGGTTTGGCCTCACACCAGTGTAATGTTTTGGCCTCACCACTTTGTTCAGCTCTATACAACTATGTGTATTATTTATTGTTATACTTTGGAAACATGTATTTATATTTACAGATTCTTATTTTTTATAATTACAGGTTTTTTTTTTACATCCATGTCAAAAGCATTTTACAATTCTTTATTATAAAGAACAATGTCATAAGCAGAATAGTGTATTATGTGTTGGCTAATTTTCAGTCGGTATCATCTATCCATTCTTTTTCAACTCAAAACGGGTAATGCATTCTTCCTTTTATTTATGATGATGAAACTTTAGAGTCACTTCATTTATGACATAAGCATCAGACGAGTCACTTCATATATGACAGTATGACATAAGCATCAGACGAGTCACTTCATATATGACATAAGCATCAGAAAACGAGTCACTTCATATATGACATAAGCATCAGACGAGTCACTTCATATATGACATAAACATCAGGAAACAATCCTTCTGTTGAATGAAGTTTTGTGTCAGTAGCTTCTTTAAAGTCGCTTTTAAAGACCAGGTCAGGGGATCATGTCTTGTCTTAAACTAGAGTTTTTGTTTAGTAAATCACATATGATGTCTCTTTTTATGACATCAGTTCTACTAGGTAAGTCAACACTTCAAAAAACAGTTTTAGACAATCTTAGACATAAGGCTGTTACGTGCTCCTTGGACCTGGTGCGTAATTATGGTACCATAATCAAACAAAGGAGCACATATAGATTTTAGAAATACGGGACTACTACAACACTATAGACTTATCATTAATATAATGTGACAAGAATAGTAGATTTTAGAAATAACAGGACTACTACAACACTATAGACTTATCATTAATATAATGTGACAAGAATAGTAGATTTTAGAAATAACAGGACTACTACAACACTATAGACTTATCATTAATATAATGTGACAAGAATAGTAGATTTTAGAAATAACAGGACTTCTACAACAAGAATAGTAGATTTTAGAAATAACAGGACTTCTACAACACTATAGACTTATCATTAATATAATGTGACAAGAATAGTAGATTTTAGAATTAACAGGACTTCTACAACACTATGGATTAATCAGTAATCAGAGCTAATTACACCATATGAAATGTTATAATGTATTATTTCATCAGTATGAAACCATACTATGTTGAAAATAAAAAAAAAAAAAAAAAATGGATGTTTGTTATTTTATTTTCATAGCAGCATATGGTTCCAAGAAGTTCAGTACCATTTAACTTAGGATTATAATTGAAGCCCTGTTTTAGTTATCTTGTCTAAAATTTGAGACTTTATGAATTTACTGATGGCTTTTGGATGATTTATGATTTTGGGACCTATAATAAGCAAAGATAAGTTATTCCTCACTCTAGATAGATTTTTGATAAAATATAATTGGGGCTTAATAGCAGGACATGGCCATCTTGGTGACTCAAGTCTTTTTTTAACAGTTTTGACATTGGGGCATACAACGTGTGATATGGTAAAGAAGGTCAAGACTATCTGAACAAATTTGAGTAGTTTGGTCCTGTGACCTTGAGAAGTTATCCAACAGTTTACTTCATTAAAAAAAGACAAGAGTTAAGAATGACTGAGGCATGCTACTTACCATGCAGGACACTTGATATCTGATTAACATAAATACAGTTTATATATATCAAATAGCAATCTAGTTTTATATTGAGGTAATTAATTCGTGTGTAAGTCTGTTAAATGACTTGGTGTATTAAGATAAACACCTGAACAGTCAGCATGGATGTATTACCACAGCAACAAGCCATTTAGCCTTTTTTACAGGCCAAGTAAAAAATCAACTGAAAGGCTTTAATGACTATTGAAAATATTTATTGAATTAAATACATTATCACAGTCTAGTGGCTGGTAACACAAAATAGTGAGTAAATGGTCCCACAATTATCTTAAAATGAAAAACATACAAAGCACTTTCTTCTTCTCGTATAATCAAACATACCTTCCAGATATTTACAATTACACATACCAGGACACTTTCAGTAGACATACAAATTATATTGTAACCATTTGCTTCAGTGTGTAAATATTAACAACATCATCGATGGCATCATAAGGATATTTTATTCCATCACTATTGGCGGTTAGGAAGCACTTTTATTATTGGTGTAGTCACTATTACACCATACTTCAGTAATGAAGGAGTCATGATTAGGAACAAATGTCTGAGATTTTGTGATGAAACATGGCTTCAATTTTTGCTACACAGGAAATGCGCCGAACAATTATTACAAGACATGAGAGCTGTGAACTGTGTATGAAGTTTCAATACCATAGGACAAAAACCTGGGTAGGAAGTGAAAATGTCATATGGTTACATGCCATTTTTTTTAGCAGTGAGGCTACCCAAGTCCATTGTTTTGCAGTTGAAAATATCAAGTGATACTATTTGATTGTCCTGTAATAAGCCTATCCCCTGTCTAAGTAAGACCTAATGTGTGAGCCCTAATGTGTGAGCCCTCTGCACTTTTAAAAGTTGAATACAGCATTTATGTATATAAATTTGTTTACTGATCTGTGTAACCTCTCACAACTTGAAGTAAAGGATAATGATAAGAAATTTTAGTTGGAGTCTCCAGCATCTGGTGACACATGAACTTGCTGAGCAATACTGGCATAATACACTTGTCCTTGGCTGAACGGTAAAGAACGCGATGTTACCAGGTTCTTCTCTGGATTAGACAAAGGAATGCCATCATCATTTTTGTTCTCTAGTTTGGTATCTCCTTGCTTGAACCAAACATCTATAAAAAAAACAATGCTACATTTTTAACACATTTATAAGACAGTAAATTGAATTGCAGGCCAATGTGGCTCATATCTGTCACCTGGCTTTGCTTGGTTGAATTGCTTCATCTACACTAGGATTCTAAAGGTTTAAATCTATTTAGACATTGTTAAAATCCACTCATTTATGACTACAGGAGTAATTTGTTGGAAAAGTTGAAGAAATGACAACTCATATAGATTAAAAGATTTTCAGTCTGAGTGAACATTTTTCACGAATGACTCAGGAATGAAACATCCTCTTTAACAGTATAGCATTTCATACAGGCAAAGTGTCTTGAAAGCATGTCGAGAAGATTGAACACTTACCATCTTGGTTCTTAAGAATTTGTACAAGTGGGTGTGGTACCAGCCCAGACACAAGTGGAATGACATTGAGATGAATCTCAGCTGTCATATCTTCACACAGCTGAACCACACCTACAACACAAACATTTGTATACATCTAGAAATACCACTTCTCTGTTACAGAAATGAGCATTAAAAGGAAACCAAATAAAATTTTAAGTAATATATATGTTTACAAGAAAAAAAATCACAAAGGAAAACAGTCGAACTAGAATTCAAATCTATTTTATAGGAAATCAATATCAAAGAAATGTGTTAAAAAGGTTTCAGCCACGATTATGCACGAGTGATCGGTCACGTGGCACGTGTGAAGCCAAAGTGTTACATAAACTGACATAGTGTGTGTGTGAAAGAAACATTTAACATCTGCAGTTAATTCTGAATATAAGCTTGATGGCATGTCAAACTAGGCAATCTCACCATCACCAACGTAACACTTTGATGTCATGTACATGTTACCTGACCTCCATCAAAATAAACATTTTCACCAGACTAAGCTATAGGGAAGAGGAGTAGCTATTCCTGTGGTCTGTGTGCCAAGTAATACAAAACTCTGTGAACTATAAACATCATTTTAGACTGGAGTACAGAATTATGAATTATGAATCGTAGCCAAATCTCTTAAAAGGAATACATCATCTTCCTCATTTTTTAAACTTTAATAAGTTCATTTCTTGTAGTATTCCAACATAAACACTGGTCCAGTTAAGTACATGAATGTTACACCTACCAGATGTTTTACCACTCAGGACCCATATACTACTGTCCTGTAGCACCTGGTAGGACGGTGAGGTACATAGTGTGTTACACCTACTAGATGTTTTACCATTCAGGATCCATATACTACTGTCCTGTAGGACAGTGAAGTACATGAATGTTACACCTACCAGATGTTTTACCATTCAGGACCCATATACTACTGTCTTGCAGCACCTGGTAGGACAGTGAGGTACATAGTGTGTTACACCTACTAAATGTTTTACCATTCAGGACCCATATACTACTGTCCTGTAGCACCTGGTAGGACAGTGAAGTACATGAATGTTACACCTACCAGATGTTTTACCATTCAGGACCCATATACTACTGTCCTGTAGGACAGTGAAGTACATAGTGTGTTACACCTACCAGATGTTTTACCACTCAGGACCCATATACTACTGTCCTGTAGGACAGTGAAGTACATAGTGTGTTACACCTACAAGATGTTTTACCATTCAGGATCCATATACTACTGTCCTGTAGGACAGTGAGGTACATAGTGTGTTACACCTACCAGATGTTTTACCATTCAGGACCCATATACTACTGTCCTGTAGGACAGTGAAGTACATAGTGTGTTACACCTACCAGATGTTTTACCATTCAGAACTCATATACTACTGTCCTGTAGCACCTGGTAGGACAGTGAAGTACATAGTGTGTTACACCTACCAGATGTTTTACCACTCAGGACCCATATACTACTGTCCTGTAGGACAGTGAAGTACATAGTGTGTTACACCTACCAGATGTTTTACCACTCAGGACCCATATACTACTGTCCTGTAGCACCTGGTAGGAAAGCGACGTATCAGCCTCGTCATCCTCCTTATCATGTGACCGGATATGGATTCTAAGAGTAGCAGTGGCCCCAACTTTACAAGTTCCCATCTCAGGCTGGGCCGATACAGTTGTCTTCACAGTGTACAGGGTCTGTGGACACAGGATCACAATACACAAGATCAGGTCAATTATTGCTCTGGCTGACAGCAACTTTTCATTTAACACTTTAACACTAAAACTTTAAGATTGATGTACCAAATTTTATGATATTCACAAAAGATGAAATACATACCAAGAAGTTTTCTACACTACAGTTATATGAGAGTTGTCTGCTCCTGTTTTCCTGGTCCAGCATGGAATGGAATGTGGCAGTGAAACTAATGTTAGTTCTGATGACGTGTCTGGTGTTAGATTTGAGCTGCCACATGTACGACACATTCATGTCACGGTTCACCACCTGATCAATAAAAAATTTACTGTTGCTGAACTCACCAGATATTTATATTACGAAGTATTCAAGAGGAGATACAGCTGAATCAAAGTGACATTTACAAAAACACAAGATTGTATTATGGTGTTTAAAAAATTGAAAAAGATCGGTTTGAAAACTTGGAGATGATAAAGATAAACTAATTAAATGAAAAATGCAGTTACATACACCTAATTCTAAAAGAACAGAAGGTTGATGCTACTAAAGTCAAAAGAAGTTAGAAGTGTCTTTGCTGTTAAAAGATACAAAATCTGCAAACTTAAACACAAGAAGGATGGACACCCTTGGTGCCAGTTACTGGGCAAGGCTTTCTTCTATCCTAAATTCATTGTGGATGGTAAGAAAATGTCTATATGCTATAATCACAAATATTTGATGTTCATGAATTCAATAAGTTTTCAACTTGTACTTTCATACTCATAATTTTCATACATGGCATGGTGAGTTATCTTTATTTGCTGGCTAGACATGGTAGATGATGATTGTAAAGGAGAAAGTGTTACCAATTCTTGATTGGGTTTGTTGAGAGACAGGAGCTCTATATCCGGTGAGTCGACAGTCAGGTTGGGTGTGACTAGTGTGAAGTCCTCCCTAGTGTTGCCATGGACCAGTATCTGTAGGTATTTCCTACAGAGAAAGTCAATATCAAAGTACATAGCCAAAAGGTCAGAGTTCATATTCTCACATCTAATCAAATGTTGCTTAAACAAATTTTACAACAAAAAAAAGTAAATTTGCTTTTTAAATATTCATGAAAAAAAGTTGCTATTATCAAATATCAAGTTAGTTTCTGGTGTAAACATTTCCAGAAAGTATAATAAAAATATCACACGTAATGTATATGGCAAAAATGAAAATTTTTCTTACTTTTCCACCTTAAACTTTCCATTGACAATGGAAAAACAACAGAAGCTGTGCCTTGGTATGGACTGTCAAGATGAGTTTGGCCTTATAAAGGGTGGCACAAGCAAAAGACGGTCATTTACTACATGGAGTTTTCTGATGCTTATTAAATAGTTTACCTTCCAACTTGCTACATGGATATGTATCGGTATACAAACCTATTTGAAGCTGTGTGTAGTTTGTGTGTAATGTGGAATGGACAGGAAAACACTAGAGAACAACAGACAGGATCAGGGAATACATCACACTCAAGACGTATCTACAAATAAATAAAAAAAAATAAAGAACAGAAAAAGGTAAATTTATTAACATGAATTATGAATATAAAGCCAGATATAACAATCTACTTAACTAAAAAATGTTTATAATGAGATATGAAATATTGTAACAGTTAACTCTTTCAAAAATAGATTAGATGAACACTGGGAAAATCGAGAACTGGTATATAATTATAAAGCCGAAATTCTGTAGTTCCTGGATCTAAACATTATCATTGTATCACTGAGACCGGTATAGAGGATCGTAACACCCTGCACTGGTAATAAACTAAACTAAACTATGAAATTCCATGCTCCGATCTGTTATGGTTTTGAGATATACTTTTAAAATAGTAACAGGTCAACATGACGGGCACGATTTCAATGACAACAATAAATGTCTTAACATTAGAGACTTCATGCAATCCTTCGTGCTGTGAATGTTAAAGACACAATTTGTAGCAGTTTTGCAATATGAAATTTCCTTTATGAAGGAAAGGTACCATTCTGCTACTGTATATAATCTCATAAGTACAAAACAAAAGATCCCACAGGGATGTTGGTGCACACTTTTGTACAATTGATTTAAGTTTTTCTTAAGTTGGATCTTTTCCCTTCTTTCCTAATATCTTCTCTTTTATAAATGCTGTGTTGACAGGTGAAGTAATCCATATTTTTGTGGTAATTCACGTTTAGAACATACAACTTACAGGGCAAGTCTATAATATGTTGTGAACATCAGGTGTAGTGTATGATCAGACTATAACAGTGAAAACATGTCTGTTTCTACAGCTTGACCAATGTACACCTTGCTGAGTTGTGTGACATAGTGTCACTCATCATCTTAGAGGTAGGTTGATATTAACAGTCAAAATAATGATGGCTGCCTCTCAGACTTTTTGTTTCACTGATCAAAATAGACAATGCTTAAGTAAAGGGACCAAAGTGAAGTTAGAAAAGAAATCTGAGAATGACCCTAATTCTCCAGAAATTGTTATAACAAATTCTAACTGTGAAAATCCAAGATGGCCATCTGTCAGCCATATTATTTCTGCCTTAATGAACATAAAGTAAAAGCAGAATTTCATGTCATAATGAGAGCTACATTTGGACTTTTTGAAGTTAGTGGTACAGTGATATGTTTCCCCTCCAAATCAGTATTTCATGGGCTATGTTTAATCATCTTTGACAGTTTAACAAGTGGCTACAGCAACATCAAAATCACTGATAAATTATTCTTGAGACCTCAGCGTTGCGGTCAACTGTGTAGATGTCATGGAACATAAGGATCCTGAAGACTGCATGTCCAAGCTCTGTAATCTTTGACACCTGAAGAGTTGTCTCCTCTTCTTCCTGACATAAAGTCAGACCATCCGAGGTGAGGTAGGTCAGTTCGTCCCCTTCCTTCAGTACAAAACTACCTGGGTCCAGTGTGAGCTCTACCCACTGTTGTATACCTGATACCAGCTTTTCTGTAGGAAGATCAATATAGAACTTTACTGTCTGCATCACAAGGAAGTTTCAAAACAAATATTTAGAATTTGATGTATGAGCTGTAACTTTAGTCTTTGGAGAATGGTCATAAAAGTGAAACATATCACACATTATCTTAAATTTCAAAGGCAAATTTTGAAATGAAGTAAATGTCACTAGCTTGATAAAGCATTCATGGGTAGACGAACACTTACACGTATGGATGTTAATGATTGGTGGCACAAAGATGAATATAAAAATTGGCAGCTAGATACCTCAGATCTCCCATTTACCTATACCTTCTATTTTATGTGAGAGATGTGCATATCAGCTGATGAAAGAGTCCATTAAATATTTCCATACCCCTCCTACCTACCTCTGTCAATATAAACTTCATGTGATTTGCAACTATTAGGAAACAAGTTAAATTGAAAATTTACTAATCGTTATTGTTAGCATGGATGGAAGGGCATGAGGAGACTTACCTGATTGAGCCAGTGACCCCCTGCCCTTTCATGTCTATTTGGGGAATCAAATCCTGATGGCTAGGTAAAAGGGGTATATTACCACAGTGCCACCTGACCATCCAACCTACCTCCATTTACAGGGATCACATCACAGCTGGGATCATCGTGTTGAACAAGGAAGAACTGATCTGCCTCCAAATACTTAATGAAGTCCATACCTTTGATTTTCACCCACAGTTGTCCCAGTTTGTAGTGACCATCACTTGTATTCTGATAAATATCAATGATTCATAAGCTAGTCATGTACTAAATAACAGAAATTTATATCCTTATTACAATATACAACACACTCAGGTAATTTACAAACTGTATTCTATTCTCCCTGGATTTTAACTACTGTAAAATCAGTTCTGTTTTCTATTTTTCTTAAATCAAGTAGACAAATTTACCCCAATATTTTTTTTGTTATTTTGCAAGTGTTTGAATTAATTTGATAACAGTCATGACAGTTTGCTTGAATGATAGAAATTATAGCAAATTAATGACTACAAAGTGTATTTATGATAGAAAAAAGTTGTCTGATGATATTAGGAAATGAATATATCAGGTACTAGAGGTACTATATATATACAATAAAGAAATTACTTACCTTTTGTTCAAATATCAATCTGTTTTCTCCGGGTTTGATAACAACATCAACACAACTTGCGTAGTTGGTGAAATCATCATAGTCCTTTGATGAATCAGTAGGGTTTGTTGCTCGCCCTGAACTGTCTGCCCGGCGTAACACCTCATGAGTGTTAATACACACAATGCCAGCTGCATTTGGCCGTTGTGGAGCTCCCTCATAATGCGCTTGAACGTTTAATATACTAGTGATTTGCTGTGCTACAGGGTTAAAGTTAGGCACAGCCTCTTTAGCACTACTATTACTGGCCGTTCTGAACACTGCTGTCTTCTGAGACAATAGCTTAGGAGACTTATTCGTCTTCTTTAAAGAAATTTTTAAACTGTCACACTGAATATCACTTGGTGTGTTGTTGATGAGAATCACTTCTACCTGGAACGCCTGGTCTACTATGATCTTTGGGGTCAATACTGTCACTTCAGCAATGTGGAATAATGATGATAACTTCAACGTAAATGATGTGTCTGCAATTCAAATAATTATTTGATGGCTGTTGTAACACAATGATGTTAATTAGAATTAAATAAATTGCTGTGATGCTAATGTTATCAAACTTTGCTAATTACAATATATATTTGGCAACTTGTAGATGTTTTTTAACAATGGTTAAAGTAACATTTAGTGACATGCCCACGATATCTCCTTCCATTTATTCATTTTATGATAATGTCAATATTCTGTATAAATAACAGATTGTAACTATCCTTTACCTTGGCTTTTGGAAGCAGTTTCCATGATATCAAGCAGGTGGGTCTGTCGGACATCTGCAGGCAAGTTTGTACTGCTGGCTATGCTACAGCAGGTTTTAATGTATCTTGTATATAGGTCAAGGATATATCAAGAATTTAATCAAACACAAACAGAAAACCAGATGTATAATCTAGACTGACTCTGTCTAACCCCTGGGATTTTCTTTCTTTAAGTAAACCAACCTTATCAATTAAGAACTTAGTTTTATCTAGAAAGCAGTGCATTGATGATTCAATATTGCTATATGGTTTATGAATTTTCAATGCTAACCAATAGATATGTACAAAGATACTTATGATCGATGTCTTGCAGCTTCTGACACTTGGCAAGTTCTAACAGAGCCCCATCAGCTAAAGCATGCCATCCTTCACGCTGGTAGCTCTTCATAGCATCCACCAAAAAGCTCTCAGCTTTCTGAGCCTCTCCAAGGCGCCTATTACAGTCAGGAATAATTGCATGATTGAAAATGATAAAGAATGAGACTTATACATTGGAATCACAGCCAGTGTTGAACTTCTTTAATATACTGGCCTATTCATTATGAAGAACATATATATCATAGATTTATAATAATAGGGTGAGCTGAAATAATATTTTTTCATCAGCAATGAGGATGTCCCATTATTTAAAGTTTCAAATGACATCAATTTAGAAATATTTCATAAATGTATATGCTAAACAGGAGGAAATTTGAAATTAAAGACTTAGTGAACTAACATATAGAAATCAGCCAGGTCCTTGCCGATGAGTCTTGCTGATCTAAACCTTCCTATATGTTTAAAGGTTCCCATGGTCAATTCAGACAGCTCCTAAAATTGATAGGGTGATCATAAATCAATTAACAAAATTAACGACATTTGCCACAATATTTTACAGCAGTAAACATGAATTTCCAGATAAATATTTTCATTATAGCATGCCATTGCATTTATAGAGAATTCTTTATCTGTTCTTAATATTTTTACTTTTCCTAGTTAGGATATAAAAGTAACATACTCTAATATATCTTAAACTAAGCAAAGCTTATTGAACAATAAACAGTTACCACCCTCAGGTAACCTTGGTATATGTGATTCATTGTACATAATGCAATTATTAGTGAATCAAGAATCAGGGCTTTGTCTGGGTGAATATGAGAGATAATACTTGCATATTACTCTCTGTAATCCCACAAGATACTAACAAATTGACAACAGATCGACTATCTGACCTGCAGCAAGTAAACACTGGACGAGACTAATAGAATTAGTTATAGACTAAAGTTTAAACTAAATTAATGATTTCACTTTAAATCTGATGCTGTTGAAGATGCAAAGTATGTCATACCAGAAATATTTTTTGGAATGTGTCATTAGATGATAATGCTTCCCTCAGCTTGTCCCTGGGGCGGGGTGAGTCAGATCTGTTTGATCCAGAGTAATTTTCCTCTGTTGAAATGAAAATCAAAAACATACAAATCAATATCACTACATCTGGTATTTCAATTGATAATAGTTTTGTCTGTGTTCTATTCTTTGTATTGATCACTTCTATCAAAAAAAAGAAAAAGAAAAAAGAATTACACAACAAAGTGTACTGTATAAAAACAAACTTGTAACACAACATGTTTTTTTTTCCTTTTTTCAAATCCTATCTTCCATGTTCTTCTGATATTAAAGTATTTGGAGTGTAAATTATTACTTTTGGTAAAAATCATGATGTTTACCCAAGTTTCTAATCTCGGCAACTTTTGGTTTATGTTACGATCAGGCGTTGTTGACTATAAACCCTAGAGCAAGATGGACACACAAATGTATGGGTGCTTTGCATCAAATATTGTCACTAGCTATTCCAGACAAAAGAACAAAAAACAAAAACAAAACAAAAAGTACAAATGGCTATGGTTACATTGGTATTGAAATAAGTAGACATAAGTATAAATTTAGCCAAATATGTGTTGATGACAACTTCCATAAATTAAAAAATAAAGTTCACACCCGCCAAAAGGCGCCCAGTAGGAAAACCCATTGATATAGGAGAAACAGAATGCTATACTTTGTAAAGAATGCAAAACCTAGTAGGTATATTAAAAATTGCATTGATTAAGACTAATCCACACAATGTATGAAATATAAAACTACATCCCAGTCAGTTACAATTCTTGTCGCATGCATATCTAATGCAATATGTCACCGTGGTAGAACCAGGCCACTCTCATGAAAATGATTTCAAACCAAGTAAGCAGCACCCCAAATGCACAAAGGACACATTTTCCTCCGCTGTTGCCTAGGCTTCAATTGTCCTTCACCAGATTTAAGCAATACACCTTGTATCTATATTTTAAATCCTGTGGACAGAAACTCATATAACTTTGTGAAGAGGTAAAGGATCTCCAATACTCATGTTGTATCAATGTTTAAATTTCTTCACATTGCACCCCTAATACCTGAAGATCACACAATACGTATGATACAATATGTCCTACAAGGTGAATCTAAACAGCATCAAGCTCAAAACAAATTTATTTTTAAAGTTGTATGAAGCCAAATGTTTCAGAGTTCTGACTTTGACATTGATAAGACCTGATTTTCGGCCTGTAATTGGTACCCTCTACAAATACACAATACGTTAATTGGTGTTTCCTCTCTGATATAAACTAACCTGTGTCTTCCTCTATACCCATGCCTGATGTCAGATCTAGCACCATGGTCAGCTGCTCTGAGGAAGGTGTGTCATCTGGTGTCAGTCCACACATCTCACCTATACTGTAAAGCTAACACCACAACATCGGTTACCATCAATCAATTTTTAGAATTACATAGGCAATCCACCTTGGTATTACAACTTCAATCTATGTTATCTAATCTAAAAAATTACAAAAATCTTCATACCTTCATTTTAATTTTGATTCTTCTATCACACTTATACCATGTATGTAATGAAAATAAGATTTCTAACATCACTAAAACCAGGTTACCTTTCGCCTTGTATAGTCACGAAGATTAGCAGTGTATAAGGAGTAGGCTTCCATCTGTGAAGAATCAGTGTGTTTTTCACATGTCTGTAGGATTTCCATACAGCTGAGGAATACCCAACAGTCCAGAGCTGCCTCTGGCATCACCACCTATCACCAACAATAACATGACTAATAAGAGTCAACATAATAATTATAATAAAATTCTGTTAAAAGAATACCCACTTCTGTAATCACTATGTTTGTAAATGAAATCACGTCTTTACACTTTATCAAGTCTCAAGTGAGCATCAAATATTCTGGACACTCCCGCATCAAATATTTCTTAAACAGTAGGGCCTAATAAAATGGAGGCAGCATGTTTTATCAGAGTGTTTTTCTCAAAAACACATTCTAATCCTGAAAGCTTTTTATGCTTCTTAGAATACGTTATTAATTCAAATGTAACTTTACAAATAGGGATCTAAACAAACAAAACAGTGAGGTGTTCATTAGTATGTATCCACCTTGAGAGTGTTGACTTCCTGTATGGTCTGGTGGAGGAAGTTGACAGCCCGTTGTGCTACCTCCCAAGGTTTTCCCAACAGGAAGAGAAGAGCACACTGCCGGGAGAACAAATAGTTACGGAAATCAAGCAGAGTGGCCTCGTTATGTTTGACCTTGTCCCTTTTGTCATGGTTTATAGCTTTCCTTAATGACAGCCCTGCCCATGAGTTACAGTCCTTTGTGAATTTAGACATCCATGCTGCTTTTTCTGTAATAGAAAATATTCTTTTCTTGATAAGTGTAGATACTGTTTATTAGCAGTTCACATGAAATCTAGTATTTATATGTCTGTATGATAATCAGAATAAGAAAAACAGCAGTGGAATAATTAGGCTGGAAAGTGTCAGTGTCCTGTTTATTTTTCTCCCAAATTCAATTTCTGATTGTTTCCTTTCACTAACATATGCTAAACTGTATGAGCATCGATTAAATATATCACACACCTATAAACTTAAAGAAAACAGAATTTCTGAGTTTGAGATATTATTTTCATCATTTTCATCTTAGTCTTGTTTGTAATATGTTGTTAAGTTGAAATTTTGATAAAACATTAGTACTTTTTGTTTTCTGAATTTTTTAAAAATTAAATGGAACTTTTAAATAACATGATAATCAAATACAAACAGAACTGTATGGAGTCTATGGACAATGCCTTTATTTCTTATTGTTTTATCATTATTTATCAAAAAAAGGACACTATTTAATGTGATCTCTGGGGGAACCATATATCTCCTCTATAGATACTGTCAAGTTATAAATCAAACAAAGATATAACACTTACTTCCAGTGGTAGCTTGTGTCAGGACAAACTGTGAGAACAAGGCATCTAACTCATCATACTGGATCAGAGCATCGTCATACAGACCAAGCATCTCGAACATAAACCCCAACTCCTCCTGTAACACAACATAATTAAAACATTCTATCATCATACACAAACAAGCATCTCAAACATAAACCCCAACTCCTCCTGTAACACAACATAAATAGAACATCCTATATAACATATTGACCAAACATTCAATACTAAAGTATTATTGTGCAGACCCATATCACATAAAACCTATTAACTTCTGATGGTATTAACACATCATTCAATCAAGGTGTACATAAAGTTGTGATCTAACAATAACTTTATATCATTTTAGTATTCTTTTAGTCCAGCTGCAGGACTGTGAAGTAGGTCAACAGTTAACCGTAGATGTAAGTGTCAAAGATGAAAAAAATTTTATGATGCAAACTGACAGTTCATGCATAAGTGATTTTGTTTACCAACAATAAATCTATGATCACCAATAAGACCCCCTCCAAATAATGCCTGGTTTAGCACACTAGCTTTTTAGACTCTGCCAAATACATGTTTATATAGGTTTCACTTGATATTTCTATTTCAATAAAATCACATCCATTGTGAAATGAAAGTAAACAATGGGAAGAACAGATCATTGACAGAATCTTCTAAAACTGAATTAACAGGCAAATTAACCTTCACATTAGTGTAGTATTGGAAAAGACATCATCAAAAATGTTATCATTTTGTCACCTGAACAAGGAAAAAGGTAACAAAGTCCCAGCCAGGTTCGTTTCGTTTTTCTCTCAGGCTCCTCATGTTTTCCTCATACTTGCTGAGGTGTCTACTAAATGCCTGTAACATCAGTCCTCTCATGCGACCTAGAAAGCCATTCCATGATTCCTGACTCTTAGAGTCCAGTTTAAGAGGCTCATTCAAGACGATACATCTGAAAACAGAAACATATTGTTCCACAGACAGCTGAATGGCTAGAGTATCCAATTCTACATCATTATAAGAAATATTTTAATGTATTCAGAGATTCATTATGTATTGGTGGAATGTGTGACCACTCAGAACTGGCTTACAGTGGAATGTGTGACCATTTAGAACTGGCTTACGGTGAAATGTGTGACCACTTAGAACTGGCTTACAGTGGAATGTGTGACCACTTAGAACTGGCTTACGGTGGAATGTGTGACCATTTAGAACTGGCTTACGGTGGAATGTGTGACCATTTAGAACTGGCTTACGGTGGAATGTGTGACCACTTAGAACTGGCTTACGATGGTATGTGTGACCACTCAGAACTGGCTTACAATGGAATGTGTGACCACTTAGAACTGACTTTACAGTGAAATGTGTGACCACTTAGAACTAGCTTACGGTGGAATGTGTGACCACTTAGAACTAGCTTACGGTGGAATGTGTGACCACTTAGAACTAGCTTACGGTGGAATGTGTGACCACTAAGAACTGGCTTACAGTGAAATGTGTGACCACTTAGAACTGGCTTACAGTGAAATGTGTGACCACTTAGAACTAGCTTACGGTGAAATGTGTGACCACTTAGAACTGGCTTACGGTGAAATGTGTGACCACTTAGAACTGACTTACAGTGGAATGTGTGACCACTTAGAACTGGCTTACGGTGGAATGTGTGACCACTTAGAACTGGCTTACAGTGGAATGTGTGACCACTTAGAACTTGCTTACAGTGAAATGTGTGACCACTTAGAACTGGCTTACGATGGAATGTGTGACCACTTAGAACTGGCTTACAGTGAAATGTGTGACCACTTAGAACTAGCTTACGGTGAAATGTGTGACCACCTAGAACTAGCTTACGGTGAAATGTGTGACCACTTAGAACTAGCTTACGGTGAAATGTGTGACCACTTAGAACTAGCTTACGGTGGAATGTGTGACCACTTAGAACTGGCTTACGGTGGAATGTGTGACCATTTAGAACTGGCTTACGGTGAAATGTGTGACCACTTAGAACTGGCTTACGGTGGAATGTGTGACCATTTAGAACTGGCTTGCGATGAAATGTGTGACCATTTAGAACTAGCTTACGGTGAAATGTGTGACCACTTAGAACTGGCTTACGGTGAAATGTGTGACCACTTAGAACTGGCTTACGGTGAAATGTGTGACCACTTATAACTTATAACAGTCATACGTCTGTTTGTTGATACCATTAATAATTCAGGATGTCCACTGATACTTCCCCTCGCCTTTGTTGTCATTTATCTATTGGTTCAATAAATACCACATTAATATAATTTTGTTGATATCAATGGACCGATCTTGATTATATCTGTAACAATGATAAGCTCTGAAAATGATACCTGTCTGGGTGTTTGCTACAGAAGTCATTCTTGACTTTATCAATGACAGAGGATCGCGGCAGTAGTTTGGACTTGATTTTGCTTTCATCATTAACGACAACTGCAATCAACCAGTCTGGGTTGTTCTTGTTCTTAAGTGCAGTGTGCCATTCCATCAACTCTTCCTTCACAGACTGTTTGTATGTGTCAAGGTCCTGAGAACAAAACAGAAGTTATCAGACTGAATGTAATGTACCATTTGTAAGGATATCAACATTGATAAGAATTAAATATTCAGAAGTAAAGTCTATCCAGCAATATTGCATTACTTAAAATTCTTTATACAAAAAGTTTGCTTCTGCTTTGTCAATAAGCCTTATTACATTTGTAAACTTTGACATAAGATGTATGTGTTATCACCTCTTTATTTTTAAATCAGAACAGCACAGTTGACTATTATTGTACATGTATTGTATATCATTGTTATTTCAATAACAATGTGCATCTTAGAGCAGAACTTGTTTAAAGGGACAGACATTAACACTACAATCATGGATGTTTGGGACTCAGATATGTGAGTTCTGGACACATGACTTTCCTGTTGGATTCACTCAATTTGTGAGTAAAGGGACTCATCTAAATTTTGGACACAGTGTTCTGCACTTACCAGAAAAATTCCTACAAAAATTACTGCAGTACAAAATTATAGAGTAGAACCTCAAAAAAACAGAACACTACAAATTTTTTGGAAATTAGCTCCAAAGAAGCCAATCAGTTTCCTCTAACTTGAACTTGGAACGGTGAAATGCACCAAATATAACAAGATATTGAAACTCTGAAAGGGAACAAATCCTCAACCCTGGCCAACGAGTCAGCCCTCTACCAATGGAGCAAGGGAAATTCCCTCAAGACAATGATTTTATCAAGTATTATGTGGATTTGGATTTATCTTTCAATGATCAGTGGAACTTTCATTTTACAGTTCTTATACATGTATATCCTTAAAAGGACCTATATCTTACACAATCTGTCCAAAATATGTGAAAGTAAGGTCGGCTAACAAGTGTCTTGTCCTTCTCATGGGGGAGAATATCTTCATCAAAAGGAACAAAGCTGGCCTCCAGCTGGACAGTTTTCGGAGGTCGACCATAGGATCTGCACACAAAATACATACATGTCAACTTGTTTAAAACAAATTGCTAAATTCAGTGTAATAACTAAATCATGCATGCACATTAAAACAACTCAAATTTACAATTACTTTGCACTTGTTGAACAAGATGTAAAGAGGTAAGAGATCTCAGAGGGCTTTCGCATTTCCCTTCTTTTATCTTCTTTCTCTTTGCTCCTAGGTATATGAAATTTGAAAACTCTTTTTAAGAAATAGTGATGATAATCTTTAACTACCAAATCCAAGACTGTCAGCCACTTTGTTTTTCTGATCAGTCCCAAAATCAGGAGGCACAACATGGGCCCAAGCCAGAACCTATGTGTGAAGTTTGAAAAATATTTTTCCAGTACTTCTCAGTAATAAATAACAAGAATTGCTTACTGACAGACAGTGGTGGACAACAGACATAGGACATTTGAATGGTTAGAAGCAATGTCTTGGGGAAACTTTTTTTTGAAAGATATTTCCTTGAACAGCTTACCTGCCAATTAGTACTTGTGAATATATAGATGTGTGCTTTTTATATTATGAAGAAAATTTGTTCATATGCATCTTACACATTATATATAATTTGCTTTTTAACAGATTATATTGTAACAAGCTGAAATAATATAGACAAATCAGTATAAAAATACCTCCTCCATTCTGTAGGCTCCCTTGGTAATCCTTGCAGGAGAGCAGAATGTAATGAAGAGAACAGAACCTGATTTCCATGACCTGTGAACAAAAGTTGAAAACTGTTTAAAAAATATAAAGATTTTGTTTGTATGTCCAGTACATAGTGTGAGCTATGAAAAAATTGTTGTTCTTACACATAAAAAGTCAAATTACTTTGCCAATGAGAGAAATTGCTAATGTATGGATTGAGGCTCCCATTTTGTTTTATTATCACGTCTGAAATCCAGTCAATTTTTACTATTTTCTTTCATTTCATATTTCTAATTTGAAAAAGCATTTTCAAGATTTAGTCTATTGATTTTATCATCTGGGTTTAGTTTACCAATTGAGATCTAGTGCAGCTTGCAAGGTGGGTAATGTGACATGCTTAATGAATCCTGAAAGTTTTTACAATCATGTCCTGCTCCAAAAATGCCAGCAGTTTTAAATACATGGCAAGAGACTTGTGGCAGGCATTGCTCTTTGCTCAATAGCATCAAATACTAAATATCAAATGGCAGATAAGCAGCCTCCTAAACCTCATGTTATGGTTCAAATACAGTACAGTACTTGTATTGCTCAATAATATCACTTCGTGTTCTTTTTTTTTATTCAGAAACATCCTTGAATTTAAGAGTATGTTTCAAACCGGTTTAATTACCGTAGTACATAAAAACTATTTTCAGCGTTTATCTTAAGGATACACCTTTATATTACGCAGTTTTTTAAGTCTTCGGATGAAAAATAAAATAGGCTTAGAGATGCTCACAGGCAAACTGGCAAATGCTGATGAAGTTGTTTACATTATTGATCACAATCAAAAACATACAGATAACAATTTGCATTACGATATGTCGTTTTCTTATGATAGTAAATGTATTGTCTTGTTAAATAATCACTTGTAACGATGGGTTTTGTCTCCATGATGGAACACGGCACCCTGATAACATTCAAGTGGTTCTTCAGTCCGCCTCCATTTTTTTCGTCTGCTTTCGAGGAGAATTAGCCGCAGTTTCGTTTTTTTAACCACGAAACAAAAATGACTCACTTAATCATAATATCTAGACCTACATGCACCAAACAAAATTTTCTTATCACATTGTTTATCCAATGTTTCCTTTATTTCCAAAATGGGAGTTTCAATCCGCGTTAATACGAAGCTAAATACATACCACTGTAACAAATCTGAGTTATTTGTATGTTTATCTCTCACCATAAGAAAGACTCAATAACTAAGAAACTCAACTACGTTGACGTTGTTTATTATTGGCCATGTGGGATCCGATCGTTTGTATATTTTGTGGATAGATTCGTTATTCATTCCATTGTCATGGCAGACGACTTAGATGATGAGTGGTGGACAAGCGGCCAAAAGGACGATGAAAGTTCCGAATCCGATAGTGACCCTTCAATGGAGGCTTCAGGTTCAATTAGCTTACTACTGTGCTGTAGTGATATTACCCCGACGATAGTTACGACTGATCTAACTATTTTATAAACATACTGATATGAGATAAGAGTTGAAACACAGAATCAGGATTCCTACCATTTTGTAGCATTACAGCAATTTTCACATTCATGTGTTAGGAAAAGTTAGATGTAACAGTTGTAATTACAACTTGTTTATATCCATACTGGCATGCTGATGTAAAATCACTTTTTTTTTAATTACATGTTCCATGTGATAAGAAATAAAGCTTCACTTTAGATACTAATTTTGTTTTTCTTCTCAGAAAATGTTGTACCAACGAAAAGGAAGGCCGAATCCATTGATGATGACAAAGAGACAAATGGTGATCAAGATGATGGTGCAGACAAAGAGAAGAAAAAAAAGAAAGCCAAGAGGAAAAGAAATGTATGTTATTATATAGTGTTTTAAGTTACTTATTTAGTACAGTACTAGTCTTACATATGGTCCTGACGAAAAACACGGAAACAAAAATAATAACGATAAGGAAAGGAAAAAAATAGAAAATGAAAAAACACAATCTTTACAGACAAGAGCATCATATGTTATCTCCTTTTAAGACTTGAAGGTTAATATGTAAAATATTGTGAACTTAACCTTCAAAACTGTCTATATGTAATCATACTTAAATGTTTAAGTAATCCAAATATACATACTTAAACAATGATTTACTAGTCAGATATTATTGAAACATAAATTTGTTTAAAATCAGTCATATATACCGGGTATATATACATATATATCTGACATTTATTACAATTGAATAATGAAATTGAAAGAAAGATATCTGGTCACAGTTGAATAAGGCTTTAATAAATAGATAGTGACACAGAGCTCATGCTGCCTAGATATTTATGGCATCCAAATCTTTAGGTCTATCTAAAAATGATCAATAAATTTAGAGAAACTTCAAAAGATATGTTGTTAATATGACCTATGTACCATTTTTTATGATGATATTTGGAAAATTGGTTGAATTAGAGCAGTTGAATTTCCCTTGATCTTTGATCTTACATGTGTGTATTGTGTATCACACTTGCAAGCAACATCTTCAAACATATCTTAAAATACTAAGTGAAGTTACGGACATCATATAAAGGACTTAAGCAATTTTTCAAAATCAACTTTTTTTGGTTGCTATGGAGATTTACGATTGTCAAATAAAATAGAAATTTAGTATTTTGAGATAATTTTTAGCTTATAAACTTATTATTCGGGTATTATTCTATTGCATTTGAACAAAAAAGAAATTTGCTGAAAATAAAGTCCAACATGGAAATAACCAAAGTTTTTTATTCATAAATAATATTGAAGAAATAAGCTAAAATGCATATTTTCTCTTACAAATATTCTGTGGCTGTAAATGAAGTGCAGTGATACATCTTTTTTTCCCCTTTACTTTTAAACTACTTTTGGTCTCAAACCTTCAAACAATCATCACCAGAACAAAAGTTTAATTTTTAAATTTTCAGTGTCTGAGATTCCTACATTGTTAATCAATGGACAAAGGTTTTACACCTCTCTATCCATATCATATGTAAGTGTATGGTCACATAAATATGTAAATGAATTTTAAGGTTAAATCTATGAAATTTAATCTAGTTACCCTAGTTATCACCTTTTTCCAATGTTCATCAAATAAAATTTCAAATTGTTTATCAGTATGACATGTTGAGGTTAATTGTTCCGCAAGTCGATAATTTTTTGACTGAAAAAAACATATACACAGAACGCTGTAACTGTTTTCTACCATGGCAGTGTAAATAGTCATTAAAGCCCCTTCCCTTCACAGTTGTTATCTCATTTTATCTTCATGAATCATACAAAGTATGTTGTCTTTCAGACCCTGGTATACCAACACATGTTAACACCATTAAAATCTGCCAAGATCTTCTGAGAAAGTTGTCGAGTTCCCTATTTTGTCGACAAAAAAAGAAAATGTAAACATGCATTTTGTTTCAAAAGTATTAAAAGTCAACAGAGATTCTTGCTTACAAGAGCATTTGAAAGTTATTTAGCTTTTTACTATGGTTCACTTAGAAAAGACTGGTTTTGTCCTTTTGCAGAAATTATGTTAGACAAAATAGTAAGGCTAGTTAACTCAAATTATAGCTTCACAATGAGATAGACTTTCTTCTAAACATTCTTTTATACATCCCTGGTGATATTTATCTGTGACATGGGGTTGTGCACATTGTTCCGACCCAAAGTACTCTTGTTAAATGACTTAGTGACTTAGCATCTGCTCCTTGATTCTTTTGATTGATAAAGGTTGATTACTATTTGCAGACAATAACTGTGGAGTTAAAAGCAAAGGGCAGCAAGTCAGGAACAGCTGAGGATCTGGTCCAAGTTATCTCAAAACACTACAAAGACAAGCTCTCTACAGTGGAATGGGATAACATTCAACTGGACACTGGTCAGTCACTTATTTAACATGTATAATTAAAATGGTATTCCAGTAATGTAAATCTTAAATTAATTTATGCTGGACTTCATTTACATAATTTTTGTTATCTTAAGTATCATATTTACATTCTAAGGTTTTGAAATTTGATATTTCTTGATGTTGCCACCACTTGGCAAAGAATGGCAGAGACTTGAAACAGCTTAAAACTACTAGTCCTGTAAAAAGTTGTTCGACATGCTGTACAAGTATGATCTCCGCCCAGTCAGTAAAAGTTTCATGACTTCTTTTCAACATCTGTACAATATTTCATGTGTGATGTTGGATATTTCCTTGTCTTCGAGTTATGGAATGTTGTAATGATTCTGTTAGGGAATGTCTAATGGCCAATTCCCTTGGGCAGAGGGTTAGGTGCTAGATAGAAAAAAGTTGCTTCAGAACGAGAGGCTAAATTTTTTTCTCTAGTTTACTGAGGTAGGTGGGCTACAAATTTAATGTGGCATCAAAACGTTTACCAAAGTCACATCTGTTACATTTCTCATATCTTAATCCTCACACATCTGCTTGTTGCTAGACTAGGCTTGTCTGAACTTTCCCTGGAAATGTCTTTGATTGTGACAGGATTATCCTACACCTTGTACAGATGTTACCTAAACTTCTGATAAAAAGAAAATTATTGTACGATGGTTGTCTCAAAATCAAAGATACACAACTAAGCAGTTGTCACTCTAAACAGTATCACCAAAACATTGTGGAAATTGTTATTTTAAAGGACTTGAATGTTAAATTTGGTAATGAAATTATAAACAAAACATTACTATTCCAACAGAGAGTAACTTCTTTGTGAGTGCTGACAGGGACCATACAGCTGTGTCCTACCTACGTACCATCCTACCAAAATGGAAGAAGATGCTGAAGACAGAGCTAAAGCCAGGGTCTCCGCTTGTGTTACTGATATCAGCCTCTGCCATCAGGAGTGTGCAGCTTAATAGGTAGGGCCTCAATCATTTCTTCACTATAGACATCCTCATCATTCCAGCAGATACAGTCGTTCATGCAGAGATCATAAGTAACTGTAACCCTTAGAAAATCATCATTTTGTCACTGTAAACATCCTCGAAATTCCAGCAATTTTCTTTGCCCTGTTTTAGAGTCAAAAACAGGCTGGTCTGACTCTGTTAGGAGTAATGCTCTTCTGTGGAGACTCTTGTGGGACTACACACTTCTCACTCTGTGAGGAGTTAGTGCTCCTCAGTGGAGTCACTTGTGGGACTACACTCTTCTCACTCTGTGAGGAGTTAGTGCTCCTCTGTAGAGTCTCTTGTGGGACTACACTTTTCTCACTCTGTGAGGAGTTAGTGCTCCTCTGTAGAGTCTCTTGTGGGACTACACTCTTCTCACTCTGTGAGGAGTTAGTGCTCCTCTGTAGAGTCTCTTGTGGGACTACACTTCTCACTCTGTGAGGAGTTAGTGCTCCTCTGTAGAGTCTCTTGTGGGACTACACACTTTTCACTCTGTGTGGAGTTAGTGCTCCTCAGTGGAGTCACTTGTGGGACTACACACTTCTGACTCTGTGAGGAGTTAGTGCTCCTCTGTAGAGTCTCTTGTGGGACTTCACTTTTCTCACTCTGTGAGGAGTTAGTGCTCCTCTGTAGAGTCACTTGTGGGACTACACACTTCTGACTCTGTGAGGAGTTAGTGCTCCTCTGTAGAGTCTCTTGTGGGACTACACTCTTCTCACTCTGTGAGGAGTTAGTGCTCCTCTGTAGAGTCTCTTGTGGGACTACACTCTTCTGACTCTGTGAGGAGTTAGTGCTCCTCTGTAGAGTCACTTGTGGGACTACACTCTTCTCACTCTGTGAGGAGTTAGTGCTCCTCTTTGGAGTCACTTGTGGGACTACTCTTCTCACTCTGTGAGGAGTTAGTGCTCCTCTTTGGAGTCACTTGTGGGACTACTCTCAACTAAGTCTGTGAGGAGTTAGTGCTCCTCTGTAGAGTCTCTTGTGGGACTACACACTTCTCACTCTGTGAGGAGTTAGTGCTCCTCTGTAGAGTCTCTTGTGGGACTACACACTTCTGACTCTGTGAGGAGTTAGTGCTCCTCAGTGGAGTCACTTGTGGGACTACACACTTCTCACTCTGTGAGGAGTTAGTGCTCCTCTGTAGAGTCTCTTGTGGGACTACACACTTCTCACTCTGTGAGGAGTTAGTGCTCCTCTGTAGAGTCTCTTGTGGGACTACACTTCTCACTCTGTGAGGAGTTAGTGCTCCTCTGTAGAGTCTCTTGTGGGACTACACACTTTTCACTCTGTGAGGAGTTAGTGCTCCTCAGTGGAGTCACTTGTGGGACTACACACTTCTGACTCTGTGAGGAGTTAGTGCTCCTCTGTAGAGTCTCTTGTGGGACTACACTTTTCTCACTCTGTGAGGAGTTAGTGCTCCTCTGTAGAGTCACTTGTGGGACTACACACTTCTGACTCTGTGAGGAGTTAGTGCTCCTCTGTAGAGTCTCTTGTGGGACTACACTCTTCTCACTCTGTGAGGAGTTAGTGCTCCTCTGTAGAGTCTCTTGTGGGACTACACTCTTCTGACTCTGTGAGGAGTTAGTGCTCCTCTGTAGAGTCACTTGTGGGACTACACTCTTCTCACTCTGTGAGGAGTTAGTGCTCCTCTGTAGAGTCACTTGTGGGACTACACTCTTCTCACTCTGTGAGGAGTTAGTGCTCCTCTGTAGAGTCACTTGTGGGACTACACACTTCTCACTCTGTGAGGAGTTAGTGCTCCTCAGTGGAGTCACTTGTGGGACTACACTCTTCTCACTCTGTGAGGAGTTAGTGCTCCTCTGTAGAGTCACTTGTGGGACTACACTCTTCTCACTCTGTGAGGAGTTAGTGCTCCTCTTTGGAGTCACTTGTGGGACTACTCTTCTCACTCTGTGAGGAGTTAGTGCTCCTCTGTAGAGTCTCTTGTGGGACTACACTCTTCTCACTCTGTGAGGAGTTAGTGCTCCTCTGTAGAGTCTCTTGTGGGACTACACACTTCTCACTCTGTGAGGAGTTAGTGCTCCTCTGTAGAGTCACTTGTGGGACTACACACTTCTGACTCTGTGAGGAGTTAGTGCTCCTCAGTGGAGTCACTTGTGGGACTACACTCTTCTCACTCTGTGAGGAGTTAGTGCTCCTCAGTGGAGTCACTTGTGGGACTACACACTTCTCACTCTGTGAGGAGTTAGTGCTCCTCTGTAGAGTCTCTTGTGGGACTACACTTCTCACTCTGTGAGGAGTTAGTGCTCCTCTGTAGAGTCTCTTGTGGGACTACACACTTTTCACTCTGTGAGGAGTTAGTGCTCCTCAGTGGAGTCACTTGAGGGACTACACACTTCTGACTCTGTGAGGAGTTAGTGCTCCTCAGTGGAGTCACTTGTGGGACTACACTCTTCTCACTCTGTGAGGAGTTAGTGCTCCTCTGTAGAGTCACTTGTGGGACTACACTCTTCTGACTCTGTGAGGAGTTAGTGCTCCTCTGTAGAGTCACTTGTGGGACTACACTCTTCTCACTCTGTGAGGAGTTAGTGCTCCTCTGTAGAGTCTCTTGTGGGACTACACTCTTCTGACTCTGTGAGGAGTTAGTGCTCCTCTGTAGAGTCTCTTGTGGGACTACACACTTCTCACTCTGTGAGGAGTTAGTGCTCCTCTGTAGAGTCACTTGTGGGACTACACACTTCTGACTCTGTGAGGAGTTAGTGCTCCTCAGTGTCACTTGTGGGACTACACTCTTCTCACTCTGTGAGGAGTTAGTGCTCCTCAGTGGAGTCACTTGTGGGACTACACACTTCTCACTCTGTGAGGAGTTAGTGCTCCTCTGTAGAGTCTCTTGTGGGACTACACTTCTCACTCTGTGAGGAGTTAGTGCTCCTCTGTAGAGTCTCTTGTGGGACTACACACTTTTCACTCTGTGAGGAGTTAGTGCTCCTCAGTGGAGTCACTTGTGGGACTACACACTTCTCACTCTGTGAGGAGTTAGTGCTCCTCTGTAGAGTCTCTTGTGGGACTACACTTCTCACTCTGTGAGGAGTTAGTGCTCCTCTGTAGAGTCACTTGTGGGACTACACACTTCTGACTCTGTGAGGAGTTAGTGCTCCTCTGTAGAGTCACTTGTGGGACTACACTCTTCTCACTCTGTGAGGAGTTAGTGCTCCTCTGTAGAGTCTCTTGTGGGACTACACTCTTCTGACTCTGTGAGGAGTTAGTGCTCCTCTGTAGAGTCACTTGTGGGACTACACACTTCTGACTCTGTGAGGAGTTAGTGCTCCTCTGTAGAGTCTCTTGTGGGACTACACTCTTCTCACTCTGTGAGGAGTTAGTGCTCCTCTGTAGAGTCTCTTGTGGGACTACACTCTTCTCACTCTGTGAGGAGTTAGTGCTCCTCTGTAGAGTCACTTGTGGGACTACACTCTTCTCACTCTGTGAGGAGTTAGTGCTCCTCTGTAGAGTCACTTGTGGGACTACACACTTCTCACTCTGTGAGGAGTTAGTGCTCCTCTGTAGAGTCACTTGTGGGACTACACTCTTCTCACTCTGTGAGGAGTTAGTGCTCCTCTGTAGAGTCTCTTGTGGGACTACACACTTCTCACTCTGTGAGGAGTTAGTGCTCCTCTGTAGAGTCTCTTGTGGGACTACACACTTCTCACTCTGTGAGGAGTTAGTGCTCCTCTGTAGAGTCTCTTGTGGGACTACACTCTTCTGACTCTGTGAGGAGTTAGTGCTCCTCTGTAGAGTCACTTGTGGGACTACACTCTTCTCACTCTGTGAGGAGTTAGTGCTCCTCTGTAGAGTCACTTGTGGGACTACACACTTCTCACTCTGTGAGGAGTTAGTGCTCCTCTGTAGAGTCACTTGTGGGACTACACACTTCTCACTCTGTGAGGAGTTAGTGCTCCTCAGTGGAGTCACTTGTGGGACTACACTCTTCTCACTCTGTGAGGAGTTAGTGCTCCTCTGTAGAGTCACTTGTGGGACTACACACTTCTGACTCTGTGAGGAGTTAGTGCTCCTCAGTGGAGTCACTTGTGGGACTACACTCTTCTCACTCTGTGAGGAGTTAGTGCTCCTCTGTAGAGTCACTTGTGGGACTACACACTTCCCACTCTGTGAGGAGTTAGTGCTCCTCTGTGGAGTCACTTGTGGGACTACACACTTCTGACTCTGTGAGGAGTTAGTGCTCCTCAGTGGAGTCACTTGTGGGACTACACTCTTCTCACTCTGTGAGGAGTTAGTGCTCCTCTGTAGAGTCACTTGTGGGACTACACTCTTCTGACTCTGTGAGGAGTTAGTGCTCCTCTGTGGAGTCACTTGTGGGACTACTCTTCTCACTCTGTGAGGAGTTAGTGCTCCTCTGTAGAGTCTCTTGTGGGACTACACTCTTCTGACTCTGTGAGGAGTTAGTGCTCCTCTGTAGAGTCTCTTGTGGGACTACACACTTCTCACTCTGTGAGGAGTTAGTGCTCCTCTGTAGAGTCACTTGTGGGACTACACACTTCTGACTCTGTGAGGAGTTAGTGCTCCTCAGTGGAGTCACTTGTGGGACTACACACTTCTGACTCTGTGAGGAGTTAGTGCTCCTCAGTGGAGTCACTTGTGGGACTACACACTTCTCACTCTGTGAGGAGTTAGTGCTCCTCTGTAGAGTCTCTTGTGGGACTACACTTCTCACTCTGTGAGGAGTTAGTGCTCCTCTGTAGAGTCTCTTGTGGGACTACACACTTTTCACTCTGTGAGGAGTTAGTGCTCCTCAGTGGAGTCACTTGTGGGACTACACACTTCTGACTCTGTGAGGAGTTAGTGCTCCTCTGTAGAGTCTCTTGTGGGACTACACTTTTCTCACTCTGTGAGGAGTTAGTGCTCCTCTGTAGAGTCACTTGTGGGACTACACACTTCTGACTCTGTGAGGAGTTAGTGCTCCTCTGTAGAGTCTCTTGTGGGACTACACTCTTCTCACTCTGTGAGGAGTTAGTGCTCCTCTGTAGAGTCTCTTGTGGGACTACACTCTTCTGACTCTGTGAGGAGTTAGTGCTCCTCTGTAGAGTCACTTGTGGGACTACACTCTTCTCACTCTGTGAGGAGTTAGTGCTCCTCTGTAGAGTCACTTGTGGGACTACACTCTTCTCACTCTGTGAGGAGTTAGTGCTCCTCTGTAGAGTCTCTTGTGGGACTACACTCTTCTCACTCTGTGAGGAGTTAGTGCTCCTCTGTAGAGTCACTTGTGGGACTACACTCTTCTCACTCTGTGAGGAGTTAGTGCTCCTCTGTAGAGTCACTTGTGGGACTACACACTTCTCACTCTGTGAGGAGTTAGTGCTCCTCTGTAGAGTCACTTGTGGGACTACACTCTTCTCACTCTGTGAGGAGTTAGTGCTCCTCTGTAGAGTCTCTTGTGGGACTACACACTTCTCACTCTGTGAGGAGTTAGTGCTCCTCTGTAGAGTCTCTTGTGGGACTACACTCTTCTCACTCTGTGAGGAGTTAGTGCTCCTCTGTAGAGTCTCTTGTGGGACTACACTCTTCTGACTCTGTGAGGAGTTAGTGCTCCTCTGTAGAGTCACTTGTGGGACTACACTCTTCTCACTCTGTGAGGAGTTAGTGCTCCTCTGTAGAGTCACTTGTGGGACTACACTCTTCTCACTCTGTGAGGAGTTAGTGCTCCTCTGTAGAGTCACTTGTGGGACTACACACTTCTCACTCTGTGAGGAGTTAGTGCTCCTCAGTGGAGTCACTTGTGGGACTACACACTTCCCACTCTGTGAGGAGTTAGTGCTCCTCTGTAGAGTCACTTGTGGGACTACACACTTCTGACTCTGTGAGGAGTTAGTGCTCCTCAGTGGAGTCTCTTGTGGGACTACACTTTTCACTCTGTGAGGAGTCAGTGATTCTTTCAGGAGACTGTTGTTGGATGTAGGTGCCCCACTTTGGTGTGGTGCTATGAGTTGTTGTTGACCCTATGTAGACTTTGTTGTTGGACTGACCATACTTGTCTGGCTCTGAGAGGGGTTGGTGCTCCTCTGTGAAGACTATTGTTGGACCAACTATACTCTCCCTGTTCTGTGTGGAGTCGGTGATTCTTCGGTGAGACTGTTGTTGGATGTCGGTGCCCCACTTTGGAGAGACCATACTGGTGTGGTGCTATGAGTTGTTAGTGACCCTATGTTTACACTTTTTCTAGTTGAAAGAAATATACATAAGATAATATTCATGTTTATATGTTTAACATGTTGTATAGTATATCAGGATATCAGTCTGTCATAGGTAACACATGTACTGTTCACATTACAGCTGCAGGACATACATTATTTATAACTTTGTATGATTTATAACAGTGTCACAATATCAAAAAATCAAATACTTGTCAACAGATGAATAATGTCAATCAATATCTCCTGTTATCACTTAGGTACAGTAATAGTCTAGTATTCTTTATAAGAATTATTCCGCTTTGTAACTTTACATTGTGACCTCTGCACACAACATTAAACTGTACTGGATTTTAAGCTTTGTAACTTTACATTGTGACCTCTGCACACAACATTAAACTGTACTGGATTTTAAGCTTTGTAACTTTACATTGTGACCTCTGCACACAACATTAAACTGTACTGGATTTTAAGCTTTGTAACTTTACATTGTGACCTCTGCACACAACATTAAACTGTACTGGATTTTAAGCTTTGTAACTTTACATTGTGACCTCTGCACACAACATTAAACTGTACTGGATTTTAAGCTTTGTAACTTTACATTGTGACCTCTGCACACAACATTAAACTGTACTGGATTTTAAGCTTTGTTACTTTACATTGTGACCTCTGCACACAACATTAAACTGTACTGGATTTTAAGCTTTGTAACTTTACATTGTGACCTCTGCACACAACATTAAACTGTACTGGATTTTAAGCTTTGTAACTTTACATTGTGACCTCTGCACACAACATTAAACTGTACTGGATTTTAAGCTTTGTAACTTTACATTGTGACCTCTGCACACAACATTAAACTGTACTGGATTTTAAGCTTTGTAACTTTACATTGTGACCTCTGCACACAACATTAAACTGTACTGGATTTTAAGCTTTGTAACTTTACATTGTGACCTCTGCACACAACATTAAACTGTACTGGATTTTAAGCTTTGTAACTTTACATTGTGACCTCTGCACACAACATTAAACTGTACTGGATTTTAAGCTTTGTAACTTTACATTGTGACCTCTGCACACAACATTAAACTGTACTGGATTTTAAGCTTTGTAACTTTACATTGTGACCTCTGCACACAACATTAAACTGTACTGGATTTTAAGCTTTGTAACTTTACATTGTGACCTCTGCACACAACATTAAACTGTACTGGATTTTAAGCTTTGTAACTTTACATTGTGACCTCTGCACACAACATTAAACTGTACTGGATTTTAAGCTTTGTAACTTTACATTGTGACCTCTGCACACAACATTAAACTGTACTGGATTTTAAGCTTTGTAACTTTACATTGTGACCTCTGCACACAACATTAAACTGTACTGGATTTTAAGCTTTGTAACTTTACATTGTGACCTCTGCACACAACATTAAACTGTACTGGATTTTAAGCTTTGTACTCTTTTTACAGGGAGATATTGGATTTCAAGAGTGATGAGTGTAAAATTGCCAAATTGTTTGCAAAGCACTTTAAGGCGAGTAATATACACTTGTAGTTAAATATATGACCATGTGGTTTAAACTTTGTCCATAAACTTCTTTGCTAATTTGAATTCTTTGTTCTCGTGCATATTGTATGACAACTTAATTACTTACTGATGAATTTAATTATCAGTGCTCACTCTAACTTATAAAAGGAAGGAGATTATCACTGCTGAGCTTTTTATTTATAAGTAATTAAGACTTTTAAGTTCGCAACCAAATGATTAACATTCTCATAACCTTGGTAACTCGCCACAAGGCTATATAGGCCTTTTCAACAGAAATCGCTAAGCACTACTTTCTGTTACAGCTGGAGGAGCAGCAGAAGTTTCTGACCAAGAGGGTGTGTCACATAGGTGTGGGAACACCCAACAGACTACATGCTCTGATGAAATCAGGTGAGGTAGATATAGAAGTTTGTGACTAAGAGGGTGTCAATGGTCTGGTAATACCTTACAGCCTACATGCTCTGATAAAGTCAGGTAAGGTAGATATAGAAGTTTGTGACTAAGAGGGTGTGTCATATTGATGTGGGAACACCTAAATACACACTGTGGTGAATTCAGATAAGGTAAGAGAAAAAGTTTCTAGCTAACAAGATAAAGGAAGGTGTTTATTGGAATTAGGTTATTCTTACGTATCTGACTTTAAGGATTTTATGCTAAACTTCAGCCATCATGTTTCATCTGTTGCTGTGTGCTCTTCATTTTGCATAAACCTTTCACAATTTCTCAAGTTCCAACATTCAGTTTCAGCTGACACTTGAAATTATCTTGATATGGTCCTAAGATGTATTGTTATCTTTCAAGTCGGTACAAAATCCAGTATGGCTGCAATTGTGAAAACTTTTTTTTTACCTCGTCTCTAGATCTACTGGTGCCATTGCACCGAGTGTGGGAATGGTGGGAATGTTGAGAAGGTGGCATGTAAAGTGTTTACCGAAACCTTGACTGCTACAATATTCAGATTTATTTTAATTGTTCACACTATCACTACTGTTGGTCTCTACAGTCTGAGGATCATTAAGGCCTGTTGTTCTGTAGACACACTCACTCAGTCATTGCTATTACTTGGATCACATGACTTGCATCAGGAGTAATTCACTGTGATTTTGTTTTGTTTCAGTCGTTATCAGTTATAACATTTTAATGACCCTTTATATCAGTTTTCCCGGGTGATGCCCTTTAAATGATCTTCACTTGAATTGATTAATAATGGAACAGGGGGTGTATATTTTTACTAGTGACTTACAATTCGAGTTGGTACTGCGATCCTCTGTATTAAATTCTGGAATGTAGCTGCTTATTATTCGTTGGACATTTTTTTACTACTATTCCTTTACCCAATTCATTTATTTTCTGTTTGGATGGGTTTTCTGATCATTATTTTTTCTTACAGGGTCACTACATCTAGACAATATTGTAGCTGTGGTGCTGGACTGGAACTGGCGTGATGTCAAATCTAAACGCATGGTGGATATCCCCGAGATAAGAGACCACTTAATGGACTTGATGAAGGACTATCTCATACCACATATATCTAAAAATCACTGCAAGATTGGAATGTTATGACGCTCTGGTTCAGCCATAGTGAATCAAGTTCTTTGTATTTAGGAACATTTGCTGATATAAGGGAGATAAGTCTGTTCCATATAACATTTGTGTCTTGTTGATTGAGATCAACAAAACAATACAGATAAATGGAACATATATGATTATAAAATATAGATATACCATTTGGGAGATAAGGTCTGCTCCCTGTATGAAGCTGTTTCAGAATGTTGTAAAGGTGTATGTGAAGTGCTGAGATGAAATGAAGGGCTGATATTGTTAACAATATTATACAAATAGTATTAGTCTGTTTCATTCATGTGTAGAATTGTCAGACTCTATTTAACATGAATACATTATGTCTAAACATAAGTGAGGACAGCAATAAACCATGTCTGTAATATACATGGTAATGTCAACGGTTTACAAATGAGACATATTTTTGCAGTGCGTTGTCCAAGATATTTTTGTCTATATCATGTATACAGATCCAAACTGTACATAAAAATACCAACAAGATTCTGACAAAGTTGTAGTTTTAATGTAATAACACCTGATTCAGACAAACTAAATGATTTGAACGTTCACGACATAAACTGTTTTTGTAATTATTGTAGAAGCCTTGGGCGAAATATGTACTATACTAAATCATTATGGTAATACATTTTGAGGAGATACAACATCACACAATATATATCATTAGGTATGATCTTTTAATTAACAATGCTCATGGAATACTTCATCTTCATTGCTTGTTATACAAACAAAATAAACAAAGATCATTTTATCTTTCAATGAAAAATGTTAGAAACATACACCCAGAAACTGAATTATTTTGTTGTTATGTTTTATCATAACCCATATTCTTATATCACAGATCAAAGAATTTGTGTGAACATCTGTATTACAGCCATCACATCCTAACATCTTCCATCCAATAAACATGCCCACCAGCTAGTCTAGTTTTAGAAGGTTCCTTTGTACCATCCATCTGATGTGATACATCTCTTGACATCTGTTTTAATTATAATCACAAGACTAATGGAACCAGTAGTATGATCATTACTTCCTCTGAATGTTTTGTGATGTACTATGGGTGTTGGTTACTGACCACATTATTTTTTTAATAAAGTAAAGTTACTGTCCTTTGTGGTGTTTTTGTATCACTTCCCTATTGCAAGTGCAATGCAGTCACATGATCCTCTCTACATCCCCTGTGATTTGCAGAGGTCTGACGTTACTGGTTAAGTTAAACCATTCGTTGTTTGGTATTTACGATGTATTGTCTTCCTCTTCCATCAACATAGATCTACCAGTGCTATGATGGTTGGACTGGCATGGTTATTGTTAAAATCTAGAAAGAGAAGTGATGTATATAAATTATAAATTACAAGAAGACAAACCAATCTGTGTATAAAGTACTTCTGCATTCTGTGTTACCAGATATAATTTAATCAGTTATATAAACAAAATACTGAACTTATATATACCAACACAATAATAGAAAACAGATGGTATGCATCAAAATCCAACTGTACTATGGAAGTATCTGAAAATTGTTATTTGTAAGTATTGTTTGAGGTGTAACTAATCATTGTGCAAATGTGTTAAAATTAGACCCTGAAATTTAAGAATGCCAAATTATATTCACAATAAACTGAAATGTAGATTCTATCTAGATATATAACAATGCAATGTACACTTTACCCTAGTTTTCCTATTAAATTGAGCGCCACATTCGTCCTGCAGTAGGAAGAACGGCAGATAGATATCTAGGTAATACACATTAGATCTTGTCTCCAGAAGGATACGGTCCTCCCCAATGTCAAGTGTCACACTGTTCACGGTTTTCTAATGAAATCAGAAATATAAACAAAATCAAAATTCTTGTTTACGGAAAAAAAAAATCACACAAATCATTTCAGTCAAAGCTTTACTGCTTTGCCTCAGTTTGGATTTTTTCCATAATACTGACTGAGAGGTACTGTATACTGGGATATTTTCACCTCTGGTTATTTTTGCCCTGTATACAACAGTAATTAGCTTGAGTGAGCCTATATATGCCCCATGTGTGTTCCAGTGATAAGTAGTGTAGGAGACTGAGCAAAGACAAGCTGAAGTTTGGATGGACATATAGACAGACACAACACACACCTACAGTCCTCAAATTTCCAAGTGGGGGACTTATAATCAGTCTAGATACTTTAGAGGCACAGACTTCTTCTGGCCATATGAAATGTGAAATTGTTAAATTGTAGCAAGATCAACGATACCAATATTTGACATACCTATTTTCTGTGTTGTTTTGAACCTTAATCCTTATTTTGTACTTACTTAGCCACAGACAACTGGTGTATACATATTTATTCCTCTTATTTCTAAATTAAAAAAATAATGTAAGAAAAACCCACTTACCACTTTAGGTAAGTTGATTTCTGCAACCAAATATTCTGGGTGGCCTTCAGCAGGGTCCTGGACTATTCTATACTCTGGTGTCTGGCCCCTTCAAAATAAATGTTACCAAATTATCACTTTGACAGTAAAAATATGCTAGTAATGAAACATAGCATTTTATGTGAAATATATTTAGTAGAGAATCATCCAACCTTGACATTAGCTATGTAAGCTGATGACCTTGACCTTTGTACTGATGTCTTCCTTTAAACATATACTTCAGCCTGATGAATTAGGTTGGTGACAGGTTGAGAATACTGATATCATGAATGAGAAGCAAGATTGATGAGATCAGAATTCTACTTTACCTGGCTTTCAGATCCTCTGCATCCAATTTTGGGGCTTTTGGTAACGTTGATGGTGAACTGAAAATATCAGAACATTTAATTATCAAACAAATCACTAACTGTTCACTTACTAATACATACAGTACATTTATCACATAATCAGACTGTTATCAGGGCAGTTCACCGATGTTAAATCTTTTGTATATGTCACTAGTGTAATATATCCAGGAAAGTTTCTCATTGGCTGTACCAGATAGAAATTGATTGTGACCCACCCCTTAATACAAACACATTGGCTGTACCAGATAGAATTTGATTGTGACCCACCCCTTAATACAAACAATGATGCTATATCAGGAACATTTCTCATTGGCTGTACCAAATAGAAATTGATTGTGACCCACCCCTTAATACAAACAACGATGCTACATCACGAACATTTCTCATTGGCTGTACCAGATAGAAATTGATTGTGACCCACCCCTTAATACAAACACATTGGCTGTACCAGATAGAAATTGATTGTGACCCACCCCTTAATACAAACACATTGGCTGTACCAGATAGAAATTGATTGTGACCCACCCCTTAATACAAACAATGATGCTAGATCATGAACATTTCTCATTGGCTGTACCAGACAGAAATTGATTGTGACCTACCCCTTAATACAAACACTGATGCTACATCACGAACATTTCTCATTGGCTGTACCAGACAGAAATTGATTGTGACCAACCCCTTAATACAAACACATTGGCTGTACCAGATAGAAATTGATTGTGACCCACCCCTTAATACAAACACATTGGCTGTACCAGATAGAAATTGATTGTGACCCACCCCTTAATACAAACAATGATGCTATATCAGGAACAGAAAATGCTGCAACAAAATGTCTGCCTCCATTTCAGTTTGTCATCGTCATATTGACTTTAAAACATGTCAAAATGTAACTTTCCTGAGTAATGTGATCTGATATCAGTTTTCATTTCATTTGAAATTTATATTAAGCAGATCCAACAAATAAAAGATCAAACAATGATGGGGGCCAAATCCCCTAAAGATCTCTCACACAGAACAATGATGGGGCAAAATCCCCTCAAGATCTCTCACACAGAACAATGATGGGTGAAAAAATTCCCTCAAGATCTCTCACAGAGAACAATGATGGGTGAAAAAATTCCCTCAAGATCTCTCACAGAGAACAATGATGGGTGAAAAAATTCCCTCAAGATCTCTCACAGAGAACAATGATGGGTGAAAAAATCCCCTCAAGATTTCTCACAGAGAACAATGATGGGTGAAAAAATCCCCTCGAGATCTCTCACACAGAACAATGATGGGGGCAAAAATCCCCTCAAGATCTCTCACAGAGAACACATGGGCCTTATCTCAGAACTTAGACTTGTTTGAGGTTTTTGGTTCTCACAACTGAAGGCTGTCATTTCCAGAAGTCATCAATTGTTAAAAAAGTAATCTCAATGTATGCACAACAACATGTCATGTTTGAAAATCTTGTAGATAAAGAACAGACCTTTCCATCCATGTGCGATATGCATATGAAAATGACAATTTCTTTCTACAATTTTCATTTGAATGTCAATCCATGCTGACCCGGGCATGAGTTGCTTATTTCCCTCACTTTATAGAGGGCCTGAGTTCTGACGTTCATAGGCTCCAAGCTGATATATAACAGGTGACAGAATGTCAGAATAATTTAAACTAAGGTTACACTTACTTATCCATCTCCATAATAAGTGGTTTTGATTTGGATCTGATCTTTTGTTCCGGCAAAGTACCAACAAACTTCCTGTTCTTAAGCAAAACCCAATCTGCAAAATAAAATATAAACAACTCAAAAATTCCACCAATTCCTTATCATTATACACAAGTTCATTGTACATTTACTGCATTTTATTACTTAACATGTTAATTACAGATCTGTGTGACCTCTATGTCAGTTGGTTGGTTCCTTACTGACTTCCTATCTATGTGACTCTTCCAATCATTAGACATTATCTCACTGACAAAATTCTGGTGATATGAAAAATAGTGACACCTATACATATATATGGCCCATGATATCTATTTACAGGTCATGTGACCCCTATGGGGCCTCATATATCGTTTGTGTAACCCCTATAAATGCACAGACTTCTATGGTTTATGTGACACTAATATACTCACCCCGGCTGAGTGTCTGGTTGTACTTGTCTTCAATACCCTCCAATGTAACAGACAGAAAAAATGCCCTGAATATCTCACTTTTCTGCATCTTTTCTAGGAAGCCTGGATTTACAACTACATCATAGGCTGTACAGCCACTTCCACCTGTTATAACACAGAATGTGGCATTACCGTCGTGTGTACTACGCCAATACCAGTACATATACCACTATGTATTGTATTGTCAAGAAGATAGTCACCTAGATTAATTGTTGATAATTTATCATAACTAGAATTCAAAACTTTAACCAAGCTATTTTATGTGATATCTAATGCCAATTATCATGAGCCAACTCATTCTAATATCATTCCATTAATGTATTTCTTTAAAACAATATTTTGAAATACTTGATCAGCTCCAGCATTCAGCGATAAGATATTGTGTCTATACATGTGTAATTACTGTTGGATAAATACTCTTTAATGACAGGGTTTTGATGAATATGACCTGCAGTTTCACCAATGACATTATCAGGATGAGAATATACTGACTTTTGTCCAGTTCAGCATGAGGTTCACCAAGACTCATTGGAATACGATATCCAAAAGGATCTTCAGAATCCAGTAATTTCAACAGTTCATCATCCGTCATATCCTTAGGAGCTGGAACCTATTGAAACAAATCAATTAAATTTTTCCTTAAATAATATTTTTTTCACTGTTATCATTGTTAACTTCTCAATGGTCTCTTTGTTTCCAACCCAATATCATAATGAAATAAAAAGTCCATGAAATAAACTTGACACTTTGAAAAATATAACCAGTTTACAGGATTACAATCCAGAAATTCAAAGTCAATCAAAACAATGATCACCATTTTACGGTAGTCAGTCACCCTGTAATCACATATCTTATGTTTTATATATTTAACAAATCATTAAAATCTGTTGAGCTATATGTATTGTGAACTAAGACATTGGACTTAGAAGTCTGGGCTGTTACATACATTGTCAGCATGACACACATTGATGAAAGCTTTCTTTCCTTCAGCGTCTTTGGTCTTAAGACAGAATCCTGTAAATAGAAGTAAAGGAATCATTTTTTAGTTTTAAATCATTAGAACTGTCAGATACTTTAGGTATTAAAATTTATGCCTATATATTCATTTAAACCTTTACTCGAGTAAACTTACCAGGTTTTGGTATAACCTGCAGAACACTTTGTTTATCTGCATCAGAAGGCATTGGAAACCCCTCCCTGGATGCCTATAACATATAATAATAATAAAGGTGGCATATTTATCATATTATATGTGTATTTACAATATTCCCAGACAATGCTGAATTATCTCCCTTGCTCCATAAGTTTGAACAAACTCATATATACATTTAACAAAAGGAAAAGATAACAATAATTTTTTTGATAAAGAATAAATCTAGAAAAAAAATAATACACCTTTAATTGATATTAACAAGTAGGCATGTATCAATAATTTTAATTTTTCTTCCATTCAGAATGTAGATTTTGAAACAAGAGTATGGAATATTTCTCCTGAAAGCATACCAATAATATGTACATGCGTAAAGTTTTCTTTTTTTCTTAATGTAATTCATACAATTGACAGACGGTCAGCTGTACAAAAACTTATGGGTAAGTATAGAAACTAAATTGCTTTTGAAAAATAAGAATCTTTAACAATTATAAAATGTAAACTTTGTTTCTTTTACAACAACCACAAAACAAGTTATTGTAATTATTTCCACTCTTCATGTCTGTTCATTGAATAAAATTCTAGGCAAAAAGTTGAATGGTATCACCTATCTACCCTCTATGACAGTCATCAGTATATGTGCAGGTGTAAGTACATGGAAGTTTTCGATAGTTTAGATTTCGATAGTTTATGTTTACTGTTTATGAAAGCATAATTTGGGAAACCGTGTTATTCTTGTGTGTGATCCTATGTGGTCTTATTGTCTGCTTTTCACTGGATCTGTTAAACATAATGTGTTTATTTCGGTCTTAAGTATAAAGGCAAGTGATGCATAATGTGAAACAAAAGGGAGCCTTAAATAGTATAATCAATTTAATATCAAATTAAGACAATTATTCAATTTATGAAGAAATGTAAATCATTTCTCATTGATAATTATCTATAATAATTAACTGTTGATATAAAATCATTCACTCATATTATTATTTCACGTGATTTACATGTACTATACATACTTAAAACCACATAATTATTTTTTAAAAAAAAGAGTAAAATATCATGGTATTGATAATTATCAATGACGTACTGCGTCCAGTAGAAGTTGGTTGTACATGGCTTCTGTATCCGTCGTTTCTGGATCAAGCATACGATCCATGATTAGAATATAGAAGATTCCAGCTAATCAGAGATTTGGCTACAGGTCTGCAATTTGGAGATTCTCAAAATCAACAAACTAAGTAAATGCAGGTACTACAACATGTTTCTCCCGTATATTTTCCTATATAAGATTTTTTGTATTTCCTTCCTCTGTCGAATATTTTCTTCTGATATATTGTGAAAAGCACACTGACTAAAATTAGATGTGTTTATTCACGTTGTTTACAATTTCTAAGCGGAAGCACATTGATAAGTTTAATCAAGAAACCTTATCCGGAACATGTAATCCTGATCACTGTAATGTTTGCATGGTTCGTGATCACAGCCCAAGCTTTCGTATGAGTCTGATTGTGCCTGTCCAGTCCTTATAAGGAAGTATTCGTATTACACACATTTTCCAGATTAGATGACTAAACGTAGATTGAGAAGTGACAGCATCGAACAAAATAGATCTATATATATTTAGAAGTATTTAAAGCAGAAATACCCTACGACTCACACAGAATAATACTCAGGATGCAGGTAATTAGAAACTCACAGTAGATTTGTGGTAATCGGTAGAGTGGTAGAGCACGTTGATATGTAGTTTCCATGAATGTGTAATAGCATAGTACGATCAGCACATTTCTTCATGTTTCAGTGAAATATCCTTAACTTAATCGCTATACTTGCAGCAAAAATGGGTAATTGTTAAAGGACAAAACGTTTCATTTAACAGGGCGATTCCCTTAAAATCAAATCACAGGAAAATTATATTGAAGATAACTTTTGAAAGATTTTCATTCAAGTTTTAATTTAATTACAGAGCAGGATGGTGTCACTTTCTTTTTCAAAGATCATGGGAATATCAATCTGTAATGATGCAGATATCACTATTAGCTTAACAAGCATACAATATATATATGTTGGTATTAATATTGATTCATTACTTATATGCTTTATTTTCCAATGACAATTAGATTTAATCACTAGCTATAATGTTGCAGTTAATTGCACACTCTTCAACAAAATTTTCCGAAAAGGATACATGTGTAACTTAAATTTAGTAAATGAAAGGGATGTATTCCTGTAACTATGCAGATCTATATCATAGATATTGTTAACACTTTTCTGCTAATTAAATTACCTCATTTCCTTACTGAATTGATACTAATGACATGTAAGTTTTTTTTACCTGTTTGTGATCAGACAGTTTTCAATTGATCTGATAACTTCACAGTATTGATGCAAATAGATGTATAGCTGATATTCATCAGATTTGATCAGGTTCTTTGGTATTGAATAATTCAGTAACTTTCTTAACACAGGACCCAAATGCAGATACAGAATGGAATGACATATTGCGAGCAAAAGGGATTATTCCAGAGAAGGAAAAAGAGGTAACAGAAGATGATGTTGTCCATCTACTGGAACAGACTATCCAGGATAAATCTAGAGGTAGTGATATATGATTGTGAGAGAGAGAATGTTGTGAATTGGAGGTTTTTCATATCGTTGATGTATTTTATTGTTTCAGGATGTCGCGAAGTATATCTGTAATCTTGATTAGTTACTGAAGTTATTCAATGTAATGTATATGTCATGTCTTTGATAGGTAAAGATTTAGGTGATATGTCACTAAAAGAACTAGAAGAGAAGGAAGATGACATAGATGAGGAAGAAGAAAGAATATTTGAAGCTTACAGGTAAAATTCTCTTGTACATGTAAAAGAGTCAACATCATTTTGATAAGCTCCATTCTGGAAAAATTCTGTCTCAATATTTTAATGAAATACTGATATATGTGTATATGGTTACTTTAAAGCAAAATGAGCTATGAAAAACATGGTGTAAAAATTGAAGTATATAATAAAGTTTTGTCAGATTGCAGTTGTTATATATCAAGTTACCATATCTTAAAATGAAGTAACTAGCTGATATATAAATTTCTGCCGTTGGAAAAGCTACCAGCAAATATAAATTACTCCTACGGATGTAGGAGATACATTTCCAAAAAGAAAATAATCTTGATATTAATAATGCTGATATTGTAGGAGACAAAGAATGGCAGAAATGAAAGCAGCAGCAGCTAAATCCAAGTTTGGGAGTGTGCTGGAGATCACAAAGGAAGACTGGGTCAGGGAAATCAACAAGGCTGGAGATGGAATCTGGGTAGTCCTTCATGTCTACAAACCAGGGTGGGTTATCTCCCCTTAGTTAGTGTAACGTATGGTGAGACTTGAAACACTGATAAGCTCTCATTCATGTACATAGAGAGCTGACATCTTTGAAATTTGATGGAGTTGATAATATTACAATGATTTTTATTGTAGGGTTTTTATGAATTGATGTGGAGTTATTTGATGTTTTTTATTTATAACATTACATTTGTAACTAATCTGTTTTTCTGTTGTTTTTTTCTTCAGAATTCCATTGTGTACACTATTAAATCAACATATGGCCGAATTAGCAAGAAAATTCCCAGATGTTAAATTTGTGAAAAGTGTATCGAGTGTATGCATTCCTAATTATCCAGACAAAAACTTACCTACTGTTTTTGTGTACCATGAAAGTGATATGAAGAAACAATGGGTGGGACCACATAATTTTGGAGGAATGAACTTTAAGAGAGATGGTAAGTACAGTTGCCAAATGTTCAGCTCTCTTTCCTTAATGTCATTGATTCAGGTTATCTGTATTAGATTATCCAAAAGTAAAGTTGAAGTCATTATGACTATGTCTACAAACAATGACCTTTTTTGACGTCTGTTTTTGTTTCCATTGAAAATAAAGGACATATTTTGCTGGAATCTTTGTCTTTGGGCAGGTTAGTCGGTATAGTTTGTAATGTCTATGTCTGTCCAGAACTCATGATATAATCACAGTACAGGTACCCCCAAGGTGTCATTGTGTCCTCCTTCAGATTAATGTATTAAGCTGGTTCTTCTATTAATCATTTCCTGATCATGTCATCTAAACAATAAAGATTCTTCTTGAAACGTTAAGTATTCTCCTGTTGCCTTGGAAACAATATGAATTGCAGTGTACAAAAGTCAGTATTTCAAATACGGCCAGAGTAACCTGCACTTGAAGGTCAAAACTTAAAAAGGTAAAATAAAGAGATTCTGCTGGTTCTGTCACTTTTGAAAGATCAAAATCAGTTCTCTCACCCCTTCAGATGTACAACGTGCTGTGGTTATGTCATTGTATACACCAGGTCAGATAGGGGATTGGTTATAAATAAGATGTACAATGTGCTGTGGTTATGTCACTGTATACACCAGGTCAGATAGGGGATTGGTTATTAATAAGATGTACATTGTGCTGTGGTTATGTCACTGTATACACCAGGTCAGATAGGGGATTGGTTATAAATAAAATATACAATGTGCTGTGGTTATGTCACTGTATACACCAGGTCAGATAGGGGATTGGTTATAAATAAAATATACAATGTGCTGTGGTTATGTCACTGTATACACCAGGTCAGATAGGGGATTGGTTATAAATAAGATGTACATTGTGCTGTGGTTATGTCACTGTATACACCAGGTCAGATAGGGGATTGGTTATAAATAAGATATACATTGTGCTGTGGTTATGTCACTGTATACACCAGGTCAGATTGGAGATTGGTTATAAATAAAATATACAATGTGCTGTGGTTATGTCACTGTGTGTTCACACATTAAGGACTTGCATGGAGATTTGTAATCCTATTAAGAAAAAGTGGTAATAAATGTTTCAATTATAATCTAAAATGATCAAGCTCGATGTAAATGCCCAGCTAGGACCATGTTCATAAAGAACCAAGAATATTACTTCTGTGTTCTGAAGAAACTGTTCACAGGAGAGACAGCTGAAAATTGATTTGAAAAGACGACTAGTGGATGATGATTGGTTAATTTTTAACTTAACAGATGTGATAGAGGTTGATATTTTATCTTAAGTTTTGGCGAAATATTTTGTTTGGTTTTCATATGTTCACTTTTAAATTATATCATTGTGTTTGCTTTTTCTTCAGAATTTGAATGGATGTTATCACAAAATGGAGTATTAAAAACAGAGCTTGAAGGGCCCCCCAGACAGGGGGTGGATGATGTGATGAGTCGTGCCATGAGGGAGAGTGCAATAGACAGTGACGATGAAAACGATTGGTAGAACATATATGCAGCATAGATTTTTTAAATAAATTTTATATTAATCACAATCTTGATGTCAGTGAAGTTTCTGTTTGATTTTCTTTCTCCAAATTAAGGTTGGTGTTTGTTGACATATGGCACCTGTTCACGTACACAAGTAGGCTTTGTGAAATGATTTTCTCTTCCCTGTTACATTGATGAAGGAAAATTATAAAGTTTACAACTGTTTCTGGAAATGCTTAGTTCCTGTTCAGATATTTTAAACTTGCTATTTGATAGTTCTCTTCCCACTAAACTTTGTCTTAGGTGCCATAGGTGTAGTTAAAAATGAACAATTGATATGACGTTAGGAAGATATTTCGTTTGTGGACTACATTACTTGACAGCGTGATTCGGTTTATACCATCAACAATTTTAACATTTTCTGGTTGCTAAGATACTTCTCTCAAGTATAACTCTGGAAGTCTTGCCTAGATTTCAACTAAATCTTGCATGAATTATCACCATGAATCAAAGATTTCGAATTCCTGAGTTCCGACTCGACGGATCACTTTCCCGGATTTTCAGCACCGAAAAATAAATATTGCAGATGGTTTCTTGATCATAGAAAAACTATTTAGGTGAAAATTGAAAAAAAAAAGAAGCACACAAACCCCCTCTTTTTCAATAACGAAAAGTTTAATACTAGAAGATCATCTAATGAAAGATTTATGTTATTTTGGAAAATTTTCATTTTTTGGTTGCTATAGAGATTAAAGCTCATTAAATCAAATGAAAATTGAGCATTTTCATATAACTGTATTCTCAATATCCAAGTATCGTACCCTAACTTGGTAATGAAAGACGAAAATTATTTCAAATAGGTTGTCATGAAAATATTGATTTTTTTGCTTTTAATATACTTTCTAAAATCAAAGCCTTAAAAAAATCATGCCAGAAAAAAATTTAATACTGGAATTTTTTTACTTCTCAGAGAAGTACATCATTAAGTAAACAAATGGTGTGTTGATAGGAAGATGTGTTTGGAATGTAAGTCACATTACATTGCATTACAGAGACAAAACTATGAATCTTCAGGATAAAGTATTTAAGATACAGCAGTGAACAAGTCCAGTATATGGCACTTTACAAGAATTTATAATTACTCCTCAAGACAATTAAAAAAAAATAACAGCAATAATAAAAACAAAACAATGCTCCAACATTTTATTAATATAATGTCCAAAACACAAATACTTGAATCAAACTTACATTTAATGAAATATGATTTCACTTACAAGCATTTATACCTCATACATGTACATACTTATAAAATTTTATTTTCTTTGGCAAATATTGACTTCGATGAATTATCATACCAAATGTACATATGAAATGGGGCATGTGATATGTCCAAAAGTTTGCCTTGGGACAGAATCCTCTGCTTCTGTTTATTGATTGTATTATATCCTTGTGTGATACAGAGTATTTCTGGACTGATTCTCTGCTGATTCCCCTCTTTTCTCTGATGTCAATCACCAAGCTTCAGTATGGTATCTTGTCATTGATTTGACAAACTTATGGTTTCCCTGTAATCTCTATGTTATAGACTACCATGACATTGTGATGTGCCACTGTTACCATCTGGCCCAGACCCCAGTTTCATGATCTTCCTTAACTTACCTAATGCTTTTCTATGATGGGCAAGATTTCCATAAGTTTGATGAAACTGGACCCTGGTTGTTCAGAGACTGGTTATAGATAACTGGTGGTGAGTGAAAATTTTTACATGTGAATCAAACAAAACTGTGAAAATTCTTTATCATTTTTCAGCATAAGATCTGTTGAGCCAGGTCAGATCGATATTTAATAGCATAAATTCTGCTTTGAAAGTCTTTGTTTCATCATTTGCAACAATTACTTTTTTTCACTAACCACTACTCAAGTCTTAATCTTCTGGTCTGGTCTAAACATTTCTGAAAGTATTTAACACAGATATATATCACAGAGTTGATGAAAATTTCAGAACATTTGACCTTTTTCCACAAACAGAAAGAATCAGCATTACAGCAGTTGTGTAATTGTCACATGATCTACAGGGTGATCTCCCTTGTTGGCAGATATTGTAACATGTTCATGTCACAGATCCATATACTTGGTCAGTTCATATTGTACAGTGCTCACCAGTGGACTTTTGTATTGAGTAGTAGACAATAACAGGAGATATACAGGCCCATTATTGTACAGTGCTCACCAGTGGACTTTTGTATCGAGTAGTAGACAATAACAGGAGATATACAGGCCCATTATTGTACAGTGCTCACCAGTGGACTTTTGTATCCAGTCAATAGTAGACAATAACAGGAGATATACAGGCCCATTATTGTACAGTGCTCACGCATTGGACTTTTGTATCCAGTCAATAGTAGAGAATAACAGGAGATATACAGGCCCATTATTGTACAGTGCTCACCAGTGGACTTTTGTATCCATTCAATAGTAGACAATAACAGGAGATATACAGGCCCATTATTGTACAGTGCTCACCAGTGGACTTTTGTATCCAGTCAATAGTAGACAATAACAGGAGATATACAGGCCCATTATTGTACAGTGCTCACCAGTGGACTTTTGTATCCAGTCAATAGTAGACAATAACAGGAGATATACAGGCCCAGTCAATAGTAGACAATAACAGGAGATATACAGGCCCATTATTGGTCTACATTCTTCTATGTTATATCTTACATAATCTTTCACTCCCTTGGGGGTAAGATGGGGGATCCTATCCCAGAGGAAAGGTGATTAAGTTAGCAATCAGGTGACTTGCCAAGTGTTTTCACCCGAAACATCTTTTCCTGAGGGTTGAGATCACCCTACCTCACCATCAAGGGAGTGAATGATGTGTTTCCTCTTACCTAGCTGGCATTATTAGGTAATTGTATGTGTTTTTCTTGTCCCAATGCCTCATATTGTTGATATTATGTCAGTGAATTGTTACTGTAGCTTCATACTATTATTTTATAGGGAAATCCCCATCTCTAAAGGTGCATGGATTTTTTTCTAGGGTAAGAAAAAAACTTATAAATTCAGAACTTGGCGAGGGCATCTAATTTGCTTTGTTAAGCTTTTGCTTGGAATGTTACAAAGTCCATTTTGTAAAACAAGTGATGTGTGTCCGAGATATATTTAGTGACATTAAGACAATCAGAGAATGACAAACAAGATAAGCACAAATAACATCAGTGGGCTGATGGTCATGTGGTTAATCATACCAGCTGAACATACAGTGTGTGTCACGTATGTAGAATTTGTGAACTGGAAACGTCTTTCAAGACCAATCGTTACTGGGTTGTACTTCTTCAAGTACTGTGAAATTACTTCAATGTCCAGTATATCTGTAACACAAATGAGGGCTTCATTATAATTCTTTAATATATACCAGCATTAGCATGAATCTTGTTAATTCCTGTAGGTCCTGATAAATTTCTCATTGGCTGTTAAGTTTTTGTCCTTATTGTATAGATCTATACACTGTACTAACAATACTGGGTTTTACACAACTTACCTAGGCTCATTTACCATAAATTAAAATTGTTTTGTTAGAGTATGTAATAGAATCATCAAAACATATATCTTGAAAATGCAATGAGAACCATAGTCCATATTATGTGTTCTGTAAAAAAATTCTACCTGTTTGACTTAAAACTTTTCAAGCTTTGGTTAAACTGGAAATATCTGAGAATGACAAAAAGGACTTACAGTATTCTGGATTCATTAATCTACATGTAAGTTAATTTCTTGATATCTATTATTGGATTGTGTATTTGCATCACATTAGTTTGAGTTTTTGGCATTTTTGAAGTGGTTTTATAGAACAACACAACCAGGTATAAGATTCACACATTTACTGTATTAGTATAATCTTTTATGATTAAATGGAAGAACAGAGTTATAATACACAGCAGTCAGATGTATACTGTACAGGTACCATCTGTTGTGGTGGTCCTGAATGAAAATCTGATTAATTGTCCCTAGTAGATACACATTTAATGTACTGGTACCACCTGCCATATTGGTCCCGAAAACCAGAGTAACTGTCTCTATCACTCACATACTTACTGTATCGGTACCACATGTCATGTTGGTCCTGAAGACCAGATTAACTGTCCCTATCAGTCACTTAAGTACTGTATTGGTACCACATGTCATGTTGGTCCCGAAGACCAGATTAACTGTCCCTATCAGTCACTTAAGTACTGTATCGGTACCACCTGTCATGTTGGTCCCGAAGACCAGAGTAACTGTCTCTATCAGTCACATACTTACTGTATTGGTATCACCTGTCGTGTTGGTCCTGAAGACCAGAGTTACTGTCCCTATCAGTCACATATTTACTGTATTGGTACCACCTGTCATGTTGGTCCCGAAGACCAGAGTAACTGTCTCTATCAGTCACTTAAGTACTGTACTGGTACCACCCTACCACCTGTCATGTTGGTTCCGAAGACCAGAGTAACTGTCCCTATCAGTCACTTAAGAACTGTACTGGTACTACCCTACCACCTGTCATGTTGGTTCCGAAGACCAGAGTAACTGTCCCTATCAGTCACTTAAGAACTGTACTGGTACTACCCTACCACCTGTCATGTTGGTCCCGAAGACCAGAGTAACTATCTCTGTCCGTCACTTAAGTACTGTATCGGTACCACCTGTCATGTTGGTCCCGAAGACCAGAGTAACTGTCCCTATCAGTCACATACTTACTGTATTGGTACCACTTGTCGTGATGGTCCCGAAGAACGGAGTAACCATCCCCGCCTTTGATGACGAAATTAAGAGTTGCGATTCTGTATACTTCAGTGTCCTCCAGTGGACTGTATGCTGGAACCATACACTTCCTACATCTCGCATCCACTGACACGACTCGGTGACCTTTAGGCTTGGAGAGGTCATAATTTACGAAGAGACCTATAAAGAGGGGATGCAAGATTCTGTCATAGGTATTTGAATGTGTTTAAACAAGTAGATCTATTGGTTTCTCCTATCATCACGCAACATTTCAGTGGTCTTTCTAGGTGACAGACTATTTGATAACCGAGGTGATTCCAGTGAATATCACAGGTCTCGTTTACTTAACAGTATACAATAAACAAGATAATTCGGCCAATTAAAATTCTCCACTGACATTCTGCCTCATCAAGGTGAACTCATACATCAAGCATGGAGTTCCATTGACTAGCATTGTAGGGGATAGAGCACAGAAAAAACTTTGATAAAGGTCAAAAGTCAAAATTAAGGCCAGACTGATCTACCTCAATTTATGGCGTGCCTTAGATTAGTAGTATAGGAGATAGGGTGGCGACCAGCTTACCCTTTGAAGAAGGTAAAGGTCAAAATGAAGGTCAGAGTGACCTCCTTTTGATATGTGACATCTTCTCTTTCCAAGGTTTAGTTATACGACAAATATTAAGTTCCCATGACTAGCTTTGTAGAAGATAAGGCCCGGATGGGATAGCAGAACTAAGGATGGACGGACAAAACACAAACCACAGCTCCCTCTAGTTCCCGGTGGGGGAGTAATAATGAAATGAACTGTGTCAGTAAGTTGCCTGTGATTAATAGCCGTATCAGAAAAAATGATTTGTTCACGAGTTCAGACCGGACATTTGGGTGATGTGTTTAATAGCAGTTTTGTAATTTATTCGGTCCTTGTTTAAAGTCAATGCACCAGGCAATGTATTACTAGATTCAGGTGTGTTTGTGAAGTTTGTGGTGTCATGTCTGACAAGTTGTGATAAATGTTTTACCCGACATCTGAAGTAAGGCACCAGGTTTATCAATAGGATCATAGTTTTCTACCGAGTGTTCCAATGCTTGGCGTAGATATTTCCCTTTGATATCAATGATGTCAATACTGTTTCCGAACGGCATCAAGGTCAATAGGTCACCACGTGTAATATTGCCTGGAACAAGAGAGCATCCAGTAGGATCACAGGTACATTACATCGGCCTGTAGTCTTTTACTTTTCCTGTGAACGATATCTGGTAACACCAGAGATGATATCACATATACATTTTTTTATCTCATGGGTTCACCTAGTCCGAAAGGGTCCTGACAATCAGTCCGCGATTTTATGACCTGAATCGTTCGGACTTTGGTGTATCAACATACGAAAATACCCTATGAATGACGAGTAAGACACAGAAGAACAGAAGAAATTTTCTTGATAATACTAAAAATATAAAATTCCCTGATCACAAAAAAGACACGTCTACGTTTTCCTCCGTGCTACGTGAATAACACCTACCTTGTTCAATAGGTGCCCTGATTCCACCCGAGTTCATGATAGCTATAGCAGCCTCTGTCCATGATGTGTTGTCTGTCTGACGTCCGACGAAATAATCCACGATGCCATCAGTTATCAGATTTCCTGATCAGAAAATGTTAGACGAAATTAGGAGAAACGACAGCGACAAAGACAAAACATTAAATTATAGTGTTCTTGGTATTGTAGAAATAGCTTATAACTTTATACTCAAAACATTTTTGCCTCTCTGTGTTGAGAAGATCTACAGGTATAAGTGGATAATTATATGAGATTGATTGTATTTTGTTTCCCAGGTAATAGACAACTCCGTATCAAGCAGTCGCTGGAACTGAGGAGAGTAGGACTCGGCTTGATTTATTATAGGATCCAATGTGTTCATGATCTTTGTTAGTATCCCCTAAACTCGCACTAATAACATCCTTGGTACTCCAGGGGTTATGGTCACTATCGCTCTCTGTACCCATGGAACCATCCTCGATACTCCAGGGGTTATGGTCACTATCACTCTCTGTACCCATGGAACCATCCTCGATACTCCAGGGGTTATGGTCACTATCACTCTCTGTACCCATGCAACCATCCTCGATACTCCAGGGGTTATGGTCACTATCGCTCTCTGTACCCATGGAACCATCCTCGATACTCCAGGGGTTATGGTCACTATCACTCTCTGTACCCATGCAACCATCCTCGATACTCCAGGGGTTATGGTCACTATCACTCTCTGTACCCATGGAACCATCCTCGATACTCCAGGGGTTATGGTCACTATCACTCTCTGTACCCATGCAACCATCCTCGATACTCCAGGGGTTATGGTCACTATCACTCTCTGTATCCATGGAACCATCCTCGATACTCCAGTGGTTACACTCACTATCACTCTCTGTACCCTTGAAACTCTGCATGGAAAAATGCAGTTCCATATGTGGCAAATTGTGGATAAGACGAGAAGACTAGTTTAATCCTTTGATGGACATCAAACAATCTAGAGGTCGTATAACGGTTTATCGTACTGACTTTTAAGTTGGATGTCGCTTCAGTCTATGACTGGTTAACCAGGAACCTGCTCTACAATAATCACAATAATCAAATTGCATTGCTTGTGCCTTCAAATAAACCAGGGCTGCAGAAAGTGATCGTAACCCTGGCGTATCGGGTATGAACTAATAAATGCGGATAAAAATTGAATAAAAACGATTCGAATTCCACACATTGGCCTTGCTGTATGTATGAATAAAGCCCTACGTGTCGGGATGGTATCACGGCAGTAGTGATCGTAAACCAGATATATGGTTATCGAAAGGCGTCCTTGTTGGATTGAAACTGTAAATTGTACATGTTGAAACATTACAATAACATCATTGATCGCGCATTTAAACTGATGAAGGTGTTTGTAAGTCTGACTTGATAATCATCACGTGTTCCAGCAACTTAAACCTATACTGCAATATGTACAACCATGCTAGGGCTAAAAGACTCGTTAACACTGAATAAAACGCCCAAGGTTGTTGTTATTAAAAGCGTAGAAAAGTGTATGTTTAAACATCAAAGTTTGTCGTGTCATCATAATTGGGATTATTAAGTTGAACTGAAATATAAATCTACTTAACCACATATTGCAATGCGTTCGCTCAGCGTCCCATCACCAGTCGTGTTTTTAAAATTATAACAAAAAGTTTCAAAAGATACAGGTTGACGACCATTATGATGAATTTTTATGGTCGCCATAGTGATTGGGAAATATTCCATTTCTCTGTGCGATATGGAGCTGGACGTGTCTGATGCTCGTAAGTTTGCTCGTTGGTTCCGTTGCTGTATAACTTGTTCTCATTTGAGAACGTGACATTACTTGGATTGACCCAGATTTACATGGCGGGTGTCGTCGATGAAGCAGAAGACGTTTACTCCTCCAGAACACCTGGTCTTATTCTCCTTGTACTTTTTGTTTCTAGTTTGCTCTAATTTTATTAAATTTGAATTTGGATTATGATACAGTTGACATGTTGATATTTTCTTGGTGTGTTTTGTAAGTCTAGGGTTGATAAGGTATAAAAAAGCTCGTCATTGTAGTATGGTTAGTACTAGAGATTTTCACACGATTCAGCTATCTCTTTTCTACATCCCAATGTAAGATAAATAAGAATGTTTAACAGCAGGACTTCTGTCAGAATGTGATGTTTTAAGCCCGTATATCCTGCCAGGAGTTTTAGGCTTGGTAGCTTAGGTTGCCCGGCATTATTATCTTCACAAATTATCGAAGCTGTCTGACAACTATTTTACACTGGATTTGTCCACTTTAAATCATGTGCATGTCACATAGGAACAAAGGAAAGTGAATTCTCGCCATCGTACACAAATTCCACTAGTACTATGAACTGATGGATGAATTCGTTTGGTACAGGAACAGGCAGTGTTCGCCGATACGTATCCGGGTATACTTGGTTTCCACATCTAGAGTTGTTTCATTCTATTGTCATACTATGGTTTCACCTTTCTTTCAGCTCTTTCTTTACCGCCCGGGCCCATATTCTCTTTCCTATAAGCTACTTCTAGAAATCAATATTAGTTACATCAGATCTATTGCTACTTCAAAAAATCGAATTAAGTTCGATCAGATCTATCGTCTTCCTCTAGAAATGGATATTAGTTTCATCAGATCTATCGTCTTCCTCTAGAAATGTATATTAGTTTCATCAGATCTATCGTCTTCCTCTAGAAATGTATATTAGTTTCATCAGATCTATCGTCTCCATCTAGAAATGGATATTAGTTTCATCAGATCTATCGTCTTCCTCTAGAAATGTATATTAGTTTCATCAGATCTATCGTCTTACTCTAGAAATGTATATTAGTTACATCAGATCTATCGTCTTACTCTAGAAATGTATATTTGTTACATCAGGTCTATCGTCTACCTCTAGAAATGTATATTTGTTACATCAGATCTATCGTCTACCTCTAGAAATGTATATTTGTTACATCAGATCTATCGTCTACCTCTAGAAATGTATATTAGTTACATCAGATCTATCGTCTACCTCTAGAAATCAATATTAGTTACATCAGATCTATCGTCTACCTCTAGAAATGTATATTAGTTACATCAGATCTATCGTCTACCTCTAGAAATGTATATTTGTTACATCAGATCTATCGTCTTCCTCTAGAAATGTATATTAGTTTCATCAGATCTATCGTCTCCATCTAGAAATGTATATTAGTTACATCAGATCTATCGTCTACCTCTAGAAATGTATATTAGTTACATCAGATCTATCGTCTACCTCTAGAAATGTATATTAGTTACATCAGATCTAGATATTAGTTACACCTCTAGAAATGTATATTAGTTACATCAGATCTATCGTCTACCTCTAGAAATCAATATTAGTTACATCAGATCTATCGTCTACCTCTAGAAATGTATATTTGTTACATCAGATCTATCGTCTACCTCTAGAAATCAATATTAGTTACATCAGATCTATCGTCTACCTCTAGAAATCAATATTAGTTACATCAGATCTATCGTCTACCTCTAGAAATGTATATTAGTTACATCAGATCTATCGTCTACCTCTAGAAATGTATATTTGTTACATCAGATCTATCGTCTACCTCTAGAAATGGATATTAGTTACATCAGATCTATCGTCTACCTCTAGAAATGTATATTTGTTACATCAGATCTATCGTCTACCTCTAGAAATGTATATTAGTTACATCAGATCTATCGTCTACCTCTAGAAATGTATATTTATTACATCAGATCTATCGTCTACCTCTAGAAATGTATATTAGTTACATCAGATCTATCGTCTACCTCTAGAAATGTATATTAGTTACATCAGATCTATCGTCTACCTCTAGAAATGTATATTAGTTACATCAGATCTATCGTCTACCTCTAGAAATGTATATTAGTTACATCAGATCTATCGTCTACCTCTAGAAATGGGTATTAGTTACATCAGATCTATCGTCTACCTCTAGAAATCAATATTAGTTACATCAGATCTATCGTCTACCTCTAGAAATGTATATTAGTTACATCAGATCTATCGTCTACCTCTAGAAATGTATATTAGTTACATCAGATCTATCGTCTACCTCTAGAAATGTATATTAGTTACATCAGATCTATCGTCTACCTCTAGAAATGTATATTAGTTACATCAGATCTATCGTCTACCTCTAGAAATGTATATTAGTTACATCAGATCTATCGTCTACCTCTAGAAATCAATATTAGTTACATCAGATCTATCGTTACTCTAGAAATGTATATTAGTTACATCAGACCTATCGTCTACCTCTAGAAATCTAGAAATATTAGTTACATCAGTCTATCTATCGTCTACGTACCCTAGAAATGTATATTAGTTACATCAGATCTATCGTCTACCTCTAGAAATCAATATTAGTTACATCAGATCTATCGTCTTACTCTAGAAATGTATATTAGTTACATCAGACCTATCGTCTACCTCTAGAAATCAATATTAGTTACATCAGATCTATCGTCTACCTCTAGAAATGTATATTAGTTACATCAGATCTATCGTCTACCTCTAGAAATGGGTATTAGTTACATCAGATCTATCGTCTACCTCTAGAAATGTATATTTATTACATCAGATCTATCGTCTACCTCTAGAAATCAATATTAGTTACATCAGATCTATCGTCTACCTCTAGAAATCAATATTTGTTACATCAGATCTATCGTCTACCTCTAGAAATGTATATTAGTTACATCAGATCTATCGTCTACCTCTAGAAATGTATATTAGTTACATCAGATCTATCGTCTACCTCTAGAAATGTATATTAGTTACATCAGATCTATCGTCTACCTCTAGAAATGTATATACCTCTAGAAATGTATATTAGTTACATCAGATCTACCTCTAGAAAATATTAGTTACATCAGATCTATCGTCTACCTCTAGAAATGTATATTAGTTACATCAGATCTATCGTCTACCTCTAGAAATGTATATTAGTTACATCAGATCTATCGTCTTACTCTAGAAATGGATATTAGTTACAACAGATCTATCGTCTTCCTCTAGAAATGTATATTAGTTACATCAGATCTATCGTCTACCTCTAGAAATGTATATTAGTTACATCAGATCTATCGTCTACCTCTAGAAATGTATATTAGTTACATCAGATCTATCGTCTACCTCTAGAAATGGGTATTAGTTACATCAGATCTATCGTCTACCTCTAGAAATGGGTATTAGTTACATCAGATCTATCGTCTTACTCTAGAAATGTATATTAGTTACATCAGATCTATCGTCTACCTCTAGAAATGTATATTAGTTACATCAGATCTATCGTCTACCTCTACAAATGGGTATTAGTTACATCAGGTCTATCGTCTACCTCTAGAAATGGGTATTAGTTACATCAGATCTATCGTCTACCTCTAGAAATGGATATTAGTTACATCAGATCTATCGTCTACCTCTAGAAATGGATATTAGTTACATCAGATCTATCGTCTACCTCTAGAAATGGATATTTGTTACATCAGATCTATCGTCTACCTCTAGAAATCAATATTAGTTACATCAGATCTATCGTCTTACTCTAGAAATGTATATTAGTTACATCAGATCTATCGTCTACCTCTAGAAATGGGTATTAGTTACAACAGATCTATCGTCTACCTCTAGAAATGGATATTAGTTACATCAGATCTATCGTCTACCTCTAGAAATCAATATTAGTTACAACAGATCTGTCGTCTACCTCTCGCCTCCCTCTAGAAATCAATACTAGCTGGATCAGAACTGTGCACGATCTCTCATTTCGCCTCATTAGTTCATACCATGAACACACAACTAACAGTGGTCTTACTCCCCAAGACAGTGATGTCAAAACAATGATATATCTAATTAAACATGTTACTCATATACCAGGATAGTTACCCATGTTACACTCCTGTAATCGACACACATTACTGCTTCCGTCAAGGTATACTGCAGATTTTCCCATCACCACACTCTTCTCACGTATCAGAGGTACCAACAGGTCTGCAACTTCTGCCTCAGTGGTTGGGTCTGTAAAGGAAAAGTTGTAGATGTATGTATGTGTAAATAGAAGTAAATATGTATGTATGTATGTATGTATTGATAAATTATCTTTGACATTTTGACGACGAAATCGACAACATTCGCTAATATACTTTATTCGTTGTGTTGCTCGCAGATGTAACATGATACCCCTTTGTTTTGAATATTGAAATTAAGTTAAACGTGATCTATTGACAACCGATTGTAAAACAAAAGACACGTATTCTGCTCCAATCTCGTAATACCGAAGTGAAAGCCAGAATGTCAGTAGTCAAAGGTACAAAAGCTACATTTATAACTGGATGTGATTTAATCTTATACTTGTGATATATCGTTCCCAATAGTTTACCTTTTGACACTGTACTGTCCAGCAGTATCGGGGCACCTTCCCATTGTGTGACGTGTCCGTTGTCATCAAATGTGACGTCAATAAAACCGAGGTATTTGCCTGACCAATACGCTTGTACTACCAATGTCTTCTCGCCGTTCTCGTTTGTGATCACCGTAGGGTAGGGCCCCTCTGGTTCATCATTCGAAGGAGGAGTACCTGAATAATTCGTATCAAGAGGCAATTCAGTCAATAATGCTATATATAACAGCGAGCGATGTCGTGCATGCATTTACCTTCTTCTTACATATCTCCGTCAGGTTTTGAACCAAATAAAATCTTGCAATAATATATATACACAATAATTCATAGACTCGTAAAATTTGTGGTTAAGACTACAAACTTACCAGTCTAAACGAATGCGTGGGTGTGTCTGACCACAAACTTACCTGTGTAAAGGAATGTGTGATATTTCTGACCACAAACTTACCTGGGTACAGAAATGTTGGTATATTTCTGAACACAAACTTACCTGTGTGCAGGAATGTGTGGTATGTCTGACCACAAACTTACCTGTGTGCAGGAATGTGTGATATTTCTGACCACAAACTTACCTGTGTGCAGGAATGTGTGATATTTCTGACCACAAACTTACCTGTGTGCAGGAATGTGTGGTATGTCTGACCACAAACTTACCTGTGTAAAGGAATGTGTGGTACGTCTGACCACAAACTTACCTGTGTACAGGAATGTGTGGGTATGACCGCCCACGATCACATCTAATCCCTCTACTTCCGCCGCCAGTTTCTTGTCATTCCCGTAACCATAGTGACCAAGACCAATGATTTTATCTACTCCTTGATTGGTTAGTTCCTGTACCTCTGCCCTCACTGAGGCGACAACGTCCTTGAACTTCACGGTTTTATCTGTAGTCAGAAAAAGTTTTTTTTTTTAGCTGTGACAGAAACAACAAAATGTAGAATGTAGGAAACAGGCTGTTTTTATCAACCTTCCGAGGTATTAATGGTCTTTAACATACAGAACGAACCATCAAATCAATGGAAGACATTGGTTTTCCCGAGTATATCGATTTAAACGACAATCAGCAAACCTGGATTGGAAATGAAAGATGTTTCCTCAGTGGTGTAGCCAATAACTCCTATTCTTTGTCCACTCACATCCAGGATGGTATGGCTGCCTATTTTCTCGCTAAGTTTTGGTTCTTCAGAAAGATCGAGATTACAACTGAGCACCGGAAATACTGACGTGACATTGTCTAAGAATGGCACCAACCCGTCGACCCCGTTATCAAACTCGTGGTTACCAACTGCCTGGAAATAAAATCCAAATAGAAAGTCAATTTAGTGAACGTTACATCAGAGTCACTTGATTCAGTAATATGGACGACACATGTCGTACAACGATTGTGAAATACATTATGTTTACTTTTATTATTCCATATCGAGAATTTACCGTTTTAGACAGATATAACCCCTTCATCTTCAACCAACGATAGTCAAGGAACCGAAATATTCTCCTGCACAATGTCGACAAGTAAATGTAAATTGATAAATGTTGATGGAGATGATGGGAAAGGATCTCATTTGGGAATTGATTCTCGTTAAGTATACCTGAATCAAACAATATCTATTTTTTTTATTGTAGTCCATGAAGCAGGTGACGCTTATCCATCCGGAACTCATAGACTTACTCTCTTGTGTATTTTCAGTACTAACATGTATGGCACGTTGGATACCTGGTAAACTTTCTGATAACTGTGTCAGAGGCATGACGACATCACACTGGGGCAGTGAATATATCTGTATCGTGAAAACTCGCAAAATCATTTTTAGTTTCTCTTTCAAATAAAAAAAATCCACATTAAAATGGCAGGTGTTAACGTGATTTACCGGGTTTTGCCATTTGCCTTATGCTAGACAATCGTTAATGTGATGTACCTGGTACGGACGTTTGTCGTATGCTAGACAGTCGTGAAGGTGATGTACCGGGTACGGACGTTTGTCGTATGCTAGACCGTCGTAAAGGTGATGTACCGGGTACGGACGTTTGTCGTGTGCTAGATAGGCGTAAAGGTGATGTACCGGGTACGGACGTTTGTCGTGTGCTTGACAGTCGTAAAGTCGTAAAGGTGATGTACCGGGTACGGACGTTTGTCGTGTGCTAGACAGTCGTAAAGGTGATGTACCGGGTACGGACGTTTGTCGTGTGCTAGACCGTCGTAAAGGTGATGTACCGGGTACGGACGTTTGTCGTGTGCTAGACCGTCGTAAAGGTGATGTACCGGATACGGACGTTTGTCGTGTGCTAGACAGTAGTAAAGGTGATGTACCGGGTACGGACGTTTGTCGTGTGCTAGACAGTCGTAAAGGTGATGTGTGACACTATCAAGTAGATCACTCTGTTGTTAAACCGGAAATGGTTATATGAACAGGAAGCAGTATTTTATTGTATATAATGTTGGTTGGAAATTTAAAATATGAAAATAATAATTTTCATGAATTTATTGTTGTTTAATTTAGCTTATAACAGGAATTGAGTGTTAAATATGTACATAGTATATTGCACCAAATATGACCTTTACCTGTCCAGCACTGCATAGCCAAGTAGGGACTTATGTAAACAATGGTAGCCAGAATTCATATAAACAAATGTGATGTGTATATATAAACAGTGCAGTACAGTTAGAGTAACGATGATTGTATAATTATAACGTAAAATATTTCAAGGTCATGAGAAAATAATAGTTTAGATAGTGAATTGTATATAGTTGCTTAGTACAGCATTATGAGTATGTAAGGTAAACATGACCGATTTAGCAGATGTTAGGTTCTGCGTAATTGTTAAGTATTTGATTATTATATATGTAAATAGTGACCAATATGCGGTGGGTCTGAAGACTGGTAGTACCAATCGTCATTCCAGACAATAGCTTCCTGGGATTGGGGAATGGACCAATCAACGGTCGTTGCACTAAATGTGCATCCCCAATCCATCAGCACTTATCCCATACACAATAACAAATGGCGCCAAGATTCTGCATTTTGTGTCCAAATCGGTATCATTTTGACAGAATCTTGATATGGTTGGGTCGCCAGGATCAACCATTGTTCTTGAGGAATTTCCACCTGCGGAGTTGTCCGACTTTTGGCTTCCCCTATAAATACTGGGCAGTTTTCGCTGCTCATTGCACTTGGATCTAGGGACGCCAAAGGGACAACTTCCGGTTGTGGGACTGACTCTACGGAAGCGTGATAGGGAGCGAGCCTTCTTGTGGACTTCACTGTGCTATATAAACAACAAGTAGAAAGGAATTTGGACTTGGCTTTTTCTTCGGGAAACACAACGCGAGCGGGGGCACAGTGGGGTTACAGATGTACCGGGTACGGACGTTTGTCGTGTGCTAGACAGTAGTAAAGGTGATGTACCGAGTAAGAACGTTTGTCGTGTGCTAGACAGTCGTAAAGGTGATGTACCAGGTACGGACGTTTGTCGTGTGCTAGACAGTCGTAAAGGTGATGTACCGGATACGGACGTTTATCGTGTGCTAGACAGTAGTAAAGGTGATGTACCGGGTACGGACGTTTGTCGTGTGCTAGACAGTAGTAAAGGTGATGTACCGGGTACGGACGTTTGTCGTGTGCTAGACAGTAGTAAAGGTGATGTACCGGGTACGGACGTTTGTCGTGTGCTAGACAGTAGTAAAGGTGATGTACCCGGTACGGACGTTTTGTTGACAGATTGGAATTATATTCAGTCCCCCATATGAAGACTAGTATTCAGAAGTGGACAGTTATTACTAGAGTAAATACAATAATATGGATGACTGTACTAAAGTGAATAAAACAATTTAACAGATACCAAATGATTAAGCTACATCATGCAGCTGTTTCGTCCTTCTAGGATTCATCAGTGATACTACATCATACAGCTGTTTCGTTCTTCAAAGAATCGTCAGTGATGCTACATCATACAGCTGTTTCGTCCTTCCAGGACTCGTCAGTGAACATTATTCAGCTGTTTCGTTCTTCTATGACTCGATGATGATGGGAGTACACTCGCCTCTTTACACAAGAAATGACATAACTTGCACTTCAAAACCGCTACTAGGAATCAAAACATGGTCTACATGTTATGGGAAACCGTCAGGTATATAGATCATAAGATAATTTTTTATCTGTTGGGTTAAATGGGTGATCTCAAGACTAGCATGGGAAATTATCAATGTTTGTACAGCTCGTTAGCTGATACTGACATAGAAACGTAACCAATGAGAACATGAATTATCGGTTATCACAAGTGGACCTCACTGTGTCTTCTTCAATTATTAGTACTGTGCCGGGTACGATTATAGACCCGTTAGTAAAACTTACTCGGTTTCTATGTAGCTGGAAAATTTTCTAAAATTTGATCTCCGTGAGTTCATGGGTCTTTGTTCAAGCCCTATCTCATTGACAAGAGAACGGATATGATAGCTATGACATGTCCCCTAGTTTCCCGATATAATAGGATGTGTTAGGATGTGTCCGTATAGGACTAGGACTCATTAGAGATGTTATTGGGATAATTAATGAGTAAAAAGGTAGTCTGAAATTAAAAGCAAATCAAAGGATGTTAAATATTTAAATACTAATGAACTTTGGATTGAGTTTTTGCAAATATCTGTTATTAATCTGTTTACTGATATTCTACATTGAATCTGTCATGTATAATCTAAATTGTTAAATCTAGTCCTAATATATGATACTAATATAACCTTATTCCTGAAGTGCTTAGCTACTCTAAATAACCTACATTAAAAGATCGCTTCCGTTTGTACTACCCAATTCAAAGTACCATCTGGCAGTAGTGATAGGTATATAAACAGTGTATACAAATCAGGAGGTTTGTGTGTAGGGGTATAAACATTAGTACGAGTTAACTTAGTGCATATGCATCCCATACAGCCGTACAGCTATGGAGGCTCAGTCGTGCTATGCATCCCATACGTCCCTATAGCTATGGAGGCTCAGTCGTGCTATGCATCTCATGCGTCACTACAGCGATGGCGGCTCATTCGTGCTATGCATCCCATACGTCTCTACATCTATGGAGGCTCAGTCGTGCTATACATCCCATACGTCCCTACAGCTATGGAGACTCAGTCGTACTATCCATCCCATACGTCCTTACAGCGATGGAGGCTCAGTCGTGCTATGCATCCCATACGCCCCTACAGCTGTGGAGGCTCAGTCGTGATATGCATTCCATAAATCTATACAGCTATGGAGGCTCAGTCTTGCTATGCATCTCATATGTCCCTACAGTAATGGAGGCTCAGTCGTGCCATGCATTCCATAAGTCTATACACTTATGGAGGCTCAGCCGTGCTATGCATCCCATACAGCAGATTTCCCGTCTTCAGTGTTACATTGTTACTTGGGGTAGTGCTGATACAAAATCTGATCGTCAGTCGTTCCAGAAGGATGGAGAAATCAGTCTCACAAGAAATCTGTATGTTAGTTCGGGTTAGGTAAGAAACAATGTGAGATTCTCTTCAAGAGGTTAAGGCAAAGTTGTAGCTCGATTAGTTGCTGTTTGTAGCTATGCCTGCACTGGTAAGCAGCTCTCATAATAACTGAGAGTTGAATAGCTGTGCGTGTTAACAACTTGCATGAAATAACTATTGATTTATTATCTGGCAGCCACGATTTATTTATAAAAAAAAGGCTGATGAAATTTTCCAAATTTCTAAAATCAATTAAGGGCTGAAGTGCGCTCCAATTTTATCGCTAAATTACAATTTTACTTTATCCTTTGCAGTTATAATCGTTAAAATATCACACTAGATTCCGCTCATTTGACAGAAATGTCGAGAAAGCGCCTGACTTACACACAAATAGTATTGACAGCTGCATAGTTACAACATGGTTACAATGTGTAGTGGTGCTGGATTTGTCAGATTTGTGTGAGTTAGTTTACAGTTAATTACTTTCTGTTAACGAACTTAACACAATAAAATGTTAGCACATCATTACTCTCTGGCGAATTAGTGCAATGATAGATCTGTGTATCCACATTGATTACTGTATACAGGGCCTGAAGTCAGAGAAACGACATCACCGTGCAATACTTCCAAACAACCAACAGTTAATGACAGTTGATAATCTAATTATAATAAGATATGTTATAACAGTATTACTATATTGTATCACGATGTAAATATTGAATGGAATCATTTTTCTATAGCTAACTGAAATTATTAAAAGTTGTTTTGTTGTCACACACATCATTTCATCCCTTTGCCAACACTGGTAATTATAAGGTACGGTATCTTTAGGAATTTGAAGTTGTGAAATGTTGAATGTATTTAAATTTTTACCGCAGTGGATTATTTTACTCTCTTTCCATGAAGAACTTGAGGAACTACTCTTTTTTTAGTGAAAAAATTGTCTTATGATAATGTCGCTCGTAATCCCTGACAAAAGATAAACAAATTCGAAGAGTAAATATGCTGCCCAAATTGTTTCTCATAAATAACCACGGAAGTTGTAAATCAGACAACAGTAAGGTGTCCCACCAAAACATATAGAAAGGAAACACTATGTTGTGACGTCATCAAGTTCGTGACTTGTCGTGTAGAACTACAAAAATGCCAGGTCGGCAATTTTCACATCGATGCAAAAGAAGCTAATGGTGACCAGCTTTATCTGTCTTGTTTCTGGATAACGAATTGATTCAGTTGTAAAGCTGAGAGGTTTACAGATTCTCTTGACCTGTCGGTATTTTCCTGTTTTATTGCGTTTTTTTTTTAATCGAATTGTCGTCACTTGTGTTATCGTAGCTCCTCTATGATATAATATTACTTTTTTCTTATGTAAATTGTCAACAAAACAATAAAATAGTTTAAAGAAGTTTGTGGTCTTAAATGCATTCTATTGCTTGGCAATATTGATCCATTAAACGCCCTCATTTAAAGGAGTATCCACTTTTATAGAAAAAACCGTCCTTGTTGAAATTATTGTACTTCATGTCACAAAAAGGTATTCATTGGAAAAGTGTGCAACTTTTAAATGTCCCTGTAGAGCAAGAAGAACGACTTAAAGCAAAATATTAGCATTTTAAGAAAAGAAAAAGACATTAACCTTTTCCTTCAATGCTGAGGAGCAAAATCCCTCTATGCATATTATTAGCTTCATGGCTGAGAGACAGCAGGATCAATTCCAAACCAGAATTAACAAGATGGTTTCCATAATATTCTTTTATCGTGGAAACGTTTCTATTTGTAATTGGGAAGACATTGAACTCATTTTTTTCCTGAAAGAAATTACACTGACGTTTGAAAGCCCTAATTATTATCTCCCTTCATGATAGCGGTCCCTACTCACCATAGCATCGTAGTGTAGTTCCTTCATAAACTTGGCGGCTACTAATCCCTTGTAATGACTGAACCATAACGTGCCCTGGTAGTTATCTCCGGCGTTCAACAACACGTGGTGGGGATACTTGGCTCTCAGTTCTTTCACCTTAGTAACCCGTCTGGAAATACCGCCATAGCAATGATCCTCCTCTTTTTCCTTCTGTTTACAATCGGAGGAGTACTTGTTCATTTCCTCCACGTGTGCGTGAATATCATTGGTATGTATGACAGCCAATTTAAACGAACATGTAACACCATGAAAAAGGCACATGGTCATAAAGACGAGAATGATATGTCGTAACACAGAAAGGCGCATCAGTTCCATAATCGGTTCAATAACGTTTCCGATAGTGTACAGATGGTTATATGATTCAGGAGAGTACTATGGCGACTTATGGTTACGCTGGTTATCTGTGCTAGAAGTATTGCTTAGTGTTGGTTTATACCTCCAAGTAAGGCATGTCTGTGTCAAACAGTAGTCTGCTGTTAAACGCTGACCTTCTCGCTTGCTACTGGTGTAATACCTAACTGAAGCTTCGATGATGCGCGCTCACGAGTTTGTTCCCCTCTATCATTCACCAAGTAACCTTGTCAATAATTACGTAGCTGTATTCATAGCAAGGTAACTTTCAACCATATGGAAACCAGGCTATCTCACCTGGTAACAAACCCGATTGTTTTCTGGGCACCTGATCCTTGGTTTACCGAGGGACGGCTTTTGTAAACTACGAAGAAGCATGATAGTTTAAAGAATAACGGTTCATGCGTCAGCTCCGGTCAAGTTTTTCAGCTGTTCTATAAAAACACAGTTTGAGCCTCATCGACTAGAGAAGTGAACAGCTGTTCTAAGCATCAGTCCACGATCAGATATGGAGTTTCAAAACATGATCGTTCAAAAGTATATTGGTACTCATTATACAGAGAATCAAAAATCGTTTTGTTGATTTCTAACAAATATTCACGATAACAAAAGTAAGACTTTTCGTACATATACATGTATGTTGTTTCCATGTAACTATACAGTTCAGAAGGCTCTTGATTTTCCAACTTTTATCAATCGATCACGATTACCACAGTTTGGTGTGAGCGTTTTTCTTCAATAGACCACACATTTAAAATCATAAATCAGTATCTGTATGTGATATCTTGTTGGTAGTATTTGACTGTACGTTACGTAATAATGATACCCCACAGTTACTATTATTTGTACAGTTCTTGACAACGGTGAATTTGAATGTAAACATCACGGTGAGTAATTTGTAAAAACATGCATTTTATAGAATTATTTATACAACTTAGAAGCTAACAATTTGTCCTTGTTGACACAGGAAACGCTGTCAATAAAACAAGTCACATTCATTACAGAGATCTTTTATTGCCTTCGTTTTTCTTGCCGTCACTTATTCACACACCATTCGAATCGTCTTTGTAGGAAAACATGTGTTAAAGGGTACTTCCTAGCGATTTCTTTCTGCTGGGTACTTTAAACACGGTCGATAAATTTATAATCATTCCTAGTCAATCGTCAGTATAAAATTGTATTTTAAAGTTACTGGACTTAGTCTTTGTGATCTATCTTGTCGTACTCGTATTAATTTGCCATCCCAGTTCCCAACCTTTGTACCCATCTTTCCCTTTGTCAATACCATTATAAAGTTATAGATAACAGGTGGTCGTCTGGGCGACAAAGGTCCCCTCCAGTCTTAATATACTATATAGGTGGCTGCTCATGTCCTCACAGTACATGTCGTTTTGTAACGATGTAGAGATAGTGACATTTGTATTTCATTCAAATTCACTCGCAGACAAGAATTAAATTCAGATCATGTATCATATATCAACATCTGTCAGCAGAATATGTACGGAAACAACAACAAAAAGTACCAAAAAGTCAACAGCATCAAAATTCAAACTCAAATTCAATAAAACTTGGGCAAAGTATGAACAAAAGAAATACTGACAAGGATATTTCTAAACAAAAGTACACGGAGAAAAACGTCAGGTGTCCCGGAAGAGTAAGCGTCTTCCGCTTCATCGGCGACACCCGCTATAAATATAGATTGGTCAATCCAAGTAAATAATGTCACGTTCCCAAATGAGAACACGGTAAACAACAATGGAACCAGCGGATATACTAACAAGCATTAAACACGTCCAAAGTTACATGCCACAATGAAATACTTCCCGACGATATACTTAGAACTACCTACATCTCTCGACACCCAATGCTGTGAGATTTTTTTCCAGCTGTCTTAATCTTGCATGAAGGTCTTGATCTTGAGAACAAGCCCTTGAATGTCGAATCAACAGCGACATGTAAACACCAAAAGGTTGGGAATACAAGAATGCTGCTTTCCAGAAACGGATAGAGAAATTGAAATCATCACCTTGATAATACAGCTTGGTGAAAACCTGTCTCTGTTGAGTTGAAGAAAAAAGAACATCGATTTGAAAAGATTGGATAATGTATAGGTAGGTTTTTCTACGATACCAAGCAAACGTTGTTCTTTTTCCATGCTAAAATGTCTACAAACAAGTCATTAGATGTCTTGTCTGTAGGCACAATAAAATACCTATCACGTAATATTCTGTCGCTTTCATTTTAGATTCCAAGCTGCATGTTTTTAAATAATGGTAGACTGAATGGATTTAATCAGCTCTGAAAGTTAACACAACGAGGCATGCCATTTTGGATGATGTTGTAGTCGCCAGTTACTCCGTGCCCTGATAGGACCTGAGTTATAGAATGATGTAGAACAAGGTCGTTTCGAAGGAGGAGTTCTTGGTTATCAACACTCAGTTGGTGCCGCGTTTGTAATCGAAAGGTTTGTACGAAATGGTCTTGGAGTAGCAAAGGAAATGACAGGAATATTTTTGTATTGGAAGCAAATTGGGTTTTAGCTTTGACGGATTTCTTGTGTAAAATATTACTGATCTCAGTAACATTTACTTCTTTATTTGAAAACGCAACTTTGGTGAATCGCCGAGTCGCTTGGGAATTACGGTAATCCGGATGGTCAGGCTTATGATATCTTATTTGTGCCGTATCATCAATAAACTTCATGAAGTCTTAAAGCTTGTTTTCATAGTTCAACTAAGAGTAATGTTAGCTTAATTAAAGTTTGTGTAAAACAGAGAAATGAATAACACAACATAGTTCGAATAAGGTGCACACCTAAATGTCCCTGAAAAGTCCCCGGAAAGTTTTCAAACTTGACAGAGTATCTTGTTGATTTAACTTGATTCTTCTGTCTGTGGCTAGGATTACATAAAACTACTGCATTCAGGACTTCACAAATTTTCAACAGACAGCAGAAGCTTAATTGAAATGCTATTTTCAAGATAATGGCCATGGCAGTCATTTTGGATTTCACCAACACTTGGTAAAGATCGTCCGAAGATCATTCCAGACAAGAATGGGCCAACTGTCACAGCTGGAACTCGGAAATAGGTAGAACATGCGTGTTGTTCAGGAAGACCATCATTGCTCGACCATGTTTAAAAAAAGAATACAATAGTAGCCATGTCAAAATTTGAACTTTGTAAACATCCTGTCCTTAACATCCTCACCATTGATCAATCTAGTGAAACTGGAGAAGTTGAGAATGCGCTTTTCAAGAAGGAAGCACTTTGGAGGATAGTTCGACCCGCAAGTAGCAGCACTTACTTAAAATCATGTTAGGACCATTCCAGAAACCCTCAACAAAAGTTTGGTATGTTTAATTCTGAGCTCGATAGAACGTATGGCGATAGAACGAATGGCGGACGACGAGACAAAATACAATGGTCATCCAGACCCTGCAGATCAGAAGATTTAGATATATCCAATAATGAAATATCCTTAACTTCAGTTAGATTCATTTTTCATATCATCGTGTCTACCTGCGATGGTTTCTTCAAAACACTTCGAACAGTCTGTTTCATATGATAATTTACACTCACATACAAGTCCAGCTGATTTTTAAACTGCTTGCTAAATTAGGATGTGCTAAATACAGGAAATGTCTTATTGTAAACTTCCAAATCTGTTTCTGTATGTGGTCTCATTAAACTACACCGATTGTTCACCGTGTGTATGTAACATTCTATAATCAATTATAATTCAATTAATCTTCTAATCCAACCAAGTAAATGTTATAGTATTACACATGTTTTAACAGATACCAGACCAGAGAGAATTGTGGCAAAATGGCTTTATTACAACATAAAATATACAATGTTTTACTGGCATGCTCAGCATGTATAACTGTAGGTAAATCTTCCATAAAACACTGACATATATAAGACCAAACATCTCCATAACATTCATGTACCAAGATTGTTCAAGCCTTTATACTGATCATATCATGTTTGTAAGAACAATTATGCAAGCTTACCATGGATAACACTTTCCAACCTACAGTGATTAAGATATGTATGTCTAGACCAACTTATGGGAGAAGAAATCAACGGAATTGTCATTTAAAGCAATAAATTATCACAGAAGTAAAATAAACGTATCAACCCAAACTACGAACTTATCACAGAAATCTGCTTTAATCAAAACACAGTTTTTTTCTGTGTACTCTCTTTTGCCAATACAGTAAATAAGATATTTTTAAAGGTAACCTTTCTCATGCACTGCATAAAATGAACATAATTATGGTCAGTGCTGATCTTATAAGCTTGACAATCATTGGTCCAAACAACATCTTTTTTTCTATCTCGGTATAAATAACTATAGCATAAAAACGAAACCAAGCATGGATTTCAAAATGATTCAAACTTAAAATATTTTATCTGTTCTTTGATTTTTAATCATCGTCTCATACGACAAAATTGTACTTAAGAAAAACAGACTTGCTTAAGGCTGAAATTTTGAATGTTTTGGTATGTATCTGCCTAAAACTCCAACAATACATCACATTTGGTAAAACTTTGCATTGACCATGACTACTAACTCTTTGTATTATAAAATCATGGATTTTCTCATGTTTTGCTCTTTTGCTAGTCTATTTCTGTTTTATGAATGAAACATTTTAAAAATGAGAATATCATTTTCATTATAAACATCCTCCTTCAAAATCAGTGAAATAATTTTGTTTTTGATGTTATGCACTTGGATTCAATGAGCAGTACTTGTATAGTCCAAGGCCAGATGATCTGGTTCCATATCGTGTAAATGTATTATATCAGTAATCACTCACGGTTTGCTGATAAAGTATATACAATAAATTTTAAAACTGTTCTGAACTGTTCTCCTCACGGTATGTTTTAGAAAGTATAATTCTGTCCCGCAGAAGCTTGAATAAGGTGTAGTAATTACAGAAGAGAACAAGCGCTATGGAGACTATATGATTCCACTCTGTGCTCTGTATGAGACAAAAGAACTGGTATCCAACTAGAAGCCAGGTGAGTACCAGTAGCCAGTTCACCACACGCATTGGCTGGTGGAATAAAAACTGAAATTCAGAACAAAAAGCAACTTTTAGCACGTAGATTAATAAAATGTGTGAAAGTGTGACCTCCATTTCCATTCAAGGTTCATCATATGATGCGTAACATATCATTTAAGTATAATTCCTGTCAGTGGTAGGTTTTATATTTCGTGTTAGGTGAAAATAGTGTATTTCATACTTTCATAGGTTTTTAAATATATACAGTGGTTAACATTGGATAAAAATATAAATTAGGGACTAACATGATATTTATACATTTCTCACATGACTGGTGATTTGCAAACAACATTACCCACATGGCTGGTGATTTACATACAACATTACCCACATGACTGGTGATTTACATACAACATTACCCACATGGCTGGTGATTTACATACAACATTACCCACATGGCTGGTGATTTACATACAACATTACCCACATGGCTGGTGATTTACATACAACATTACCAACATGACTGGTGATTTACATACAACATTACCCACATGGCTGGTGATTTACATACAACATTACCCACATGGCTGGTGATTTACATACAACATTACCAACATGACTGGTGATTTACATACAACATTACCCACATGGCTGGTGATTTACATACAACATTACCCACATGACTGGTGATTTACATACAACATTACCCACATGGCTGGTGATTTACATACAACATTACCCACATGACTGGTGATTTACATACAACATTACCCACATGACTGGTGATTTACATACAACATTACCCACATGACTGGTGATTTACATACATTACCCACATGGCTGGTGATTTACATACAACATTACCCACATGACTGGTGATTTACATACAACATTACCCACATGGCTGGTGATTTACATACAACATTACCCACATGGCTGGTGATTTACATACAACATTACCCACATGGCTGGTGATTTACATACAACATTACCCACATGGCTGGTGATTTACATACAACATTACCCACATGACTGGTGATTTACATACATTACCCACATGACTGGTGATTTACATACAACATTACCCACATGGCTGGTGATTTACATACAACATTACCCACATGGCTGGTGATTTACATACATTACCCACATTGCTGGTGATTTACATACAACATTACCCACATGACTGGTGATTTACATACAACATTACCCACATGGCTGGTGATTTACATACAACATTACCCACATGATTGGTGATTTACATACATTACCCACATGGCTGGTGATTTACATACAACATTACCCACATGACTGGTGATTTACATACAACATTACCCACATGATTGGTGATTTACATACAACATTACCCACATGACTGGTGATTTACATACAACATTACCCACATGGCTGGTGATTTACATACAACATTACCCACATGGCTGGTGATTTACATACAACATTACCCACATGACTGGTGTTTTACATACAACATTACCCACATGGCTGGTGATTTACATACATTTCTCACATGACTGGTGATTTGCAAACAACATTACCCACATGGCTGGTGATTTACATACAACATTACCCACATGGCTGGTGATTTACATACAACATTACCCACATGACTGGTGATTTACATACAACATTACCCACATGGCTGGTGATTTACATACAACATTACCCACATGACTGGTGATTTACATACAACATTACCCACATGGCTGGTGATTTACATACAACATTACCCACATGACTGGTGATTTACATACATTACCCACATGACTGGTGATTTACATACATTACCCACATGGCTGGTGATTTACATACAACATTACCCACATGGCTGGTGATTTACATACATTACCCACATTGCTGGTGATTTACATACAACATTACCCACATGACTGGTGATTTACATACAACATTACCCACATGGCTGGTGATTTACATACAACATTACCCACATGATTGGTGATTTACATACATTACCCACATGGCTGGTGATTTACATACAACATTACCCACATGACTGGTGATTTACATACAACATTACCCACATGATTGGTGATTTACATACAACATTACCCACATGACTGGTGATTTACATACAACATTACCCACATGGCTGGTGATTTACATACAACATTACCCACATGGCTGGTGATTTACATACAACATTACCCACATGACTGGTGATTTACATACAACATTACCCACATGGCTGGTGATTTACATACATTTCTCACATGACTGGTGATTTGCAAACAACATTACCCACATGGCTGGTGATTTACATACAACATTACCCACATGGCTGGTGATTTACATACAACATTACCCACATGACTGGTGATTTACATACAACATTACCCACATGGCTGGTGATTTACATACAACATTACCCACATGACTGGTGATTTACATACAACATTACCCACATGACTGGTGATTTACATACAACATTACCCACATGGCTGGTGATTTACATACAACATTACCCACATGGCTGGTGATTTACATACAACATTACCCACATGACTGGTGATTTACATACAACATTACCCACATGGCTGGTGATTTACATACAACATTACCCACATGACTGGTGATTTACATACAACATTACCCACATGGCTGATGATTTACATACAACATTACTCACATGGCTGGTGATTTACATACAACATTACCCACATGACTGGTGATTTACATACATTACCCACATTGCTGGTGATTTACATACAACAAAACAATCCGGAGTATATATCTGATATAAACTGGCTGAGAAAATTGTCACCCTCGACTCTTCATGTTTTTTAAATACTTACATAAAATCGACCATGCATTGTATTTCCTGGTTCAGCTGTCACATTTATACCCTCAGCCTTAAATAAACCACGCACATGTTTTACAAGGGCACCTTGTGGCCAAACGGTCAGCTCAGACCACCTGTAAACAGTAACAAAGTCTAGAAATGAGAGAAGGATATTTGTAATTTCATTTGTTACAACTACTTTGATGCTTTTTTGTGAGTTTGCTGTCTTGGCACACCCAGACTAAAACAACTGTCATATTACTTGCAGAGATGTTACTTTATTTTTTTTTCTATATGTGAAATATTGTGGAATGTGATATGTACATGTACAAGACCACTGAATAGCTGATATTTAGAGGTAATTTTTCTTCACACTTTCTCCTTTTTAAATCTCTCAGTGATTTTATTGCAGGTTTCTAAATATTGTTTTCTAAAATAGATTTTACATTGCATGTCTACCTATTCATCAATGCATTGACCATATTTTCAAAATGTGTTTATTTTGAATGAACTGAAGTAAATGTGATTAATCTATGATGGAGCAATAAATTCAAAGCTCTGACTAATAGGTCAACAGAAGTAAATGTGATTGATCTATGATGGAGCAATAAATTCAAAGCTCTGACTAATAGGTCAACAGAAGTAAATGTGATTGATCTATGATGGAGCAATAAACTCAAAGCTCTGACTAATAGGTCAACAGAAGTAAATGTGATTGATCTATGATGGAGCAATAAACTCGAAGCTCTGACTAATAGGTCAACAGAAGTAAATGTGATTGGTCTATGATGGAGCAATAAACTCAAAGCTCTGACTAATAGGTCAACAGAAGTAAATGTGATTGATCTATGATGGAGCAATAAACTCAAAGCTCTGACTAATAGGTCAACAGAAGTAAATGCGATTAATCTATGATGGAGCAATAAATTCAAAGCTCTGACTAATAGGTCAACAGAAGTAAATGTGATTGATCTATGATGGAGCAATAAACTCAAAGCTCTCATTAATAGGTCAACAGAAGTAAATGTGATTGATCTATGATGGAGCAATAAACTCAGAGCTCTGACTAATAGGTCAACAGAAGTAAATGTGATTGATCTATGATGGAGCAATAAACTCAGAGCTCTGACTAATAGGTCAACAGAAGTAAATGTGATTGATCTATGATGGAGCAATAAACTCAGAGCTCTGACTAATAGGTCAACAGAAGTAAATGTGATTGATCTATGATGGAGCAATAAACTCAGAGCTCTGACTAATAGGTCAACAGAAGTAAATGTGATTGATCTATGATGGAGCAATAAACTCAGAGCTCTGACTAATAGGTCAACAGAAGTAAATGTGATTGATCTATGATGGAGCAATAAACTCAGAGCTCTGACTAATAGGTCAACAGAAGTAAATGTGATTGATCTATGATGGAGCAATAAACTCAGAGCTCTGACTAATAGGTCAACAGAAGTAAATGTGATTGATCTATGATGGAGCAATAAACTCAGAGCTCTGACTAATAGGTCAACAGAAGTAAATGTGATTGATCTATGATGGAGCAATAAACTCAGAGCTCTGACTAATAGGTCAACAGAAGTAAATGTGATTGATCTATGATGGAGCAATAAACTCAGAGCTCTGAATAATAGGTCAACAGAAGTAAATGTGATTGATCTATGATGGAGCAATAAACTCAAAGCTCTGACTAATAGGTCAACAGAAGTAAATGTGATTGATCTATAATGGAGCAATAAACTCAGAGCTCTGACTACTAGGTCAGCTTCCATTAAAATGTCAGATCTACAGTAAAGACCATTCATAATCTTAAAAGTCCTAGGTACAATGTCTTAAAAAGAACATTTTTCTTTTTTATTGGAGGTAAAAAATACATATCTGATTGATCATCTCCTTGATTATCATCATATACATGTAGTAATCACCAGTCTAAGAATCTTAGTGCTAAAAGTACTGAAGTTAAAGCAGTCAGATAAAATTGTAAACAACACCTGATCCCCAAAGTACTGGCAGTGAGATGTAAAGAGCTTTTCTCAGAACTGCTATTTGATATTCTGTTCAATAACTGTTTAGAGAATTTATCTCATGTTTTTGTCTACGTAGTCCAAGTAGGCTTAAACACCCAAAATGAATTAACTTTCTTTTACAACGGATTTAATCTTGATCAATTAAAAACACTTACGCATTGTAAGGCACATGTGCATGTCTGCCTTCGACCTTCTGCCAGCGTCCGAGGTGTAGAGCAGATTTATGGAGCAGGTCCAGGTATTTAGGGGGAAGGAAGTGTACAATCAACATAAGGAATACGCTAAGCCATGTCATACAGACGTGTTGTCCTACCCACCAGGTGTCGTAGTATAGGGTGTTCTGTAATACATAGATAGGACATAGACACAAAGCCATGTCATACAGACGTGTTGTCCTACCCACCAGGTGTCGTAGTATAGAACTTTATGTTATGTATGACACACTTTACGGTTTAAACAGCATTTAAACAAAAAGTCTTATCACTATCTCACACATTAATGATCAGTTTACACAAAAAAGAACAAAGATATCTGCATCAAAATCAAAATGTATAGCGATGTCAGACTTGTGGGGTGATGAATTTTGTCATAGTAACATCAATATGTATGTTTAACTACAGTAAAATACAGAAGTACCTTAAAATCCAGTCTGCAGTATAGAAGATTGGAAGCTTACAGCATATATTTGCAGACTGACAACTAATCACCTGTCAATACTTGGCCTGGATCCCAATAAACTTTCCATCAATTATTATTCATTCAAATGAAATCTATAAATCACACCTTCCAACTGTGTCCACATCATATTTTTGCCTTCATAGACCAAAGTATGCTGGTGAGTTATAAATGAATATATGCATGTCTGAATAAGGAACATCAACTTTAATTTGATATTTCTCAATAAAGTTTGAATCATTTGACAGTTGGTATACTATTATCACTACTCCCAAGTGCACAACCTATCTATGGAATGTGATCCATCATATTTTAGCGAACACTTATCAAAGATGTAAATGTATTCAGCATGCAAGAGTGTATTGCCATTTCAAACAAGAGGTTTACAGGCCTTCATGGTCATCTGACTATACTATACAGGGTTTTCCATAATTCTGTAAGTAGTAGGCTGTGTAGTGAAAGTAGGAGGCTGGCCTGCTGTGTAATTGTAGTTGTGTACGGAACATTATTACGGAACTGGATTGGTGTAGGCGGCCAAATGATCAAAGTAGCCGGTCAAATTGGCCGGCAACCAGCTTTTATGGAAAACCCTGCTATACATACAACTACAGCTTACATAGAGGACATTGGTTGGTCAATAAAAACAATTTTTGCAAATTGAAATCATATTCTTTATACATGCACTACAGAAATGTCATTATGCCAGACATATTGCTTGTTGTAAAAACATGCTACAGACCCAACATCAAGACCCTTGGCCTTTTGGTTATTGAAAAGAAGTCACTTGAATTGAAAATTTACGCATGGCGGACAGCGGGCGATGGTGGATGAAACACAGTGGCTATAGCTCATCCTGACCCTTCGGGTCAGATGACCTAATAAAAATTATCATGTTTTTTTTCTACAGAAAACAAAAAAGTACAATGAAATCAATTTGACAGGAAATTCAATTCACATGCAAGCACAAGATAGAAAACAAAAATTTAACTTCCACCTAAAATCTACACGGAGTATTGCTTGGTTTATCCGAGGTGGGGTCGCCCTGAAGTACTTGGTGGCTGTATCACTTTACAACAAATCCAAGGCTTGTCACATGTTATCCAGAACAATCTGGGTCAAGTGTCTTGTCCAAGATCACAACCACATTAACTCAAACCAGTCTGTTTCTCAGCTCCACATAAAATACACAAACCACAACAGGTTGAGAGCTTCCACACACATACCTGGAATCTTTACCTGAAATTATGCAGACCAACACCCTACTGACCGAATTCATGTCTGTTACAGTCTCTCTCACTTATACATATATAGTGAATTCTTTAACTATTAAAGATAATTTTATAACTAATGTGATTTCTATAATAGAGTAAATTCCATGTCTGATACAGTCCCTAACTCTAACCCTTACCCTAAACATAAATATGGTGAATTCTTTAACGATTAAAGATAATTTTATAACTAATGTGATTTCTATAATAGAGTAAATGACTGGTACAGTGAATTATGTTTCTGAGGTTGATACATCTTAACCTGACGTAGTGAATTCCTATTACAGACAAATCTATATTTCTTGTAGTAAATGGAAACACCTTTTCATCATCATGTAGGTAAAACATAAAAAAACACCAGGAGTTGTGGAATATTGCCATAAAAATGAGATTACTTTTTATCATTGATGAGCTGACCAACAATGGTGAAACATTTTCATGTACAATTTATACTGATAACTGTTTTTTTATTTCTGTTTTTAACTTGCAACAATACCGAAAACTGACGCAAACCAAAACCTGGTCAGTTTAGAACTTCATTTTATGATACTTTATATTTGTATGTACTAAGCGTGAAATATAATATGAATCCTGTTGATCTGACATTGATTCAGAAAGGGATGTGATGTAAAACAAGAACTCTTCCAAATGTTTTAATCAATAAAACATAACTTCACGTCCAGTTAAAACCTAAGAGAAGAAATATCAGAAAAGACCAATAACTCTTCCAAAAATTGTCAAAGAAAATGTCATTCAAGAGAGCACTACTTTATATCCTGACTATGTACCCTTCTAATATAAAAGTGGTCAAAAACTCAGAGAGATCATTGGATGAAACTAAAGCTTTGAACAAAACAAAAGGAAATTTTTTGTAAAATATAGAACTCTATTTCATGGTGATTAAGCCAACCAAGTCTCATAAAAATTGGTTAAAATAACAGAGAAGCTCTCTGGACAAACAGAAGTTTTGATGGACAAATTCATGGAAGGATGCACAAAGCAGCAAGTATACTCCTCTGAAATTATACAGGAGCATAACTAGAACTGGAACCTTGAGTAACTACTAAAACAATATACTGTATCAAACAAATACAAAATAATTACACAAATACCTTAAGTAATCACAAGATTTGTACACTGAAAAAACTGTTTAAACACAAGTCTAAGACAATTTACAACAGAGCTATGGTGTAGCAATCACAACATCCATATTATAATCACTTACCCAGCAGGTGTCACAATGGTTTTGGACATGCTAACGGAAGGTTAGTTTTAAAAAGCATAATATTATATAAATATATGTGGCGTACAAGAAAACACTGTTCATAAGACCTTGTTCATATGTTTAAGTATAAGAAGACACAAAAATTTCAAGACATACAGTTTAGAATGTGACCTATTATGCAAGAAATACTTAAAACACAGGGACAAACAATCATATTTTTTCATTATTTGGCATATACTTTATCTGATGCTATAATTAGATACTGACAGGTGTTATTCACTTTATCTTGGACAATTCCTTTCATCATTAACAAAAAACCTTCTAATTTTGTTTTGAAAATCAAAGCCATTTAATATCAATAAGTTCAGATAGGCATCGATAGACTAAATCATTAAGTTATACGACAAGAATTGATGACTATAAAATCAGTCTTTTTGTGCATCTGATAATAAAAGCTTCCAAATCTATATCACGGAGAAATTCTTCTAGCCGGAGGGAAAAATGTTAAGATCAGAGGATTTCTTCCTAAAAAGATATCCAGCTTGGAGAAGGAATGAATAGATGAGACAGTTTCCCTTCTAAAGTGAAAATTCACCACCAACAGTCATTAATTTATCCTCCATAGACCCCAGAATATAGCATAAATATTTCAATATTCATAAGGATATTGTATCCAAGAGGAAATAGAGCATACAATTTCGAAAAAAAAAGAAAACAAGTCCAGTAATTTAATCTATAAAAGTTGCAGACATGCTGTGTAAAGCTACATGGTTTTGTATTACAATGTTATTAATGGTCGTGCATGTAACTGGTAATGTATAAGATAGATACAACACAAACTCGCCATACATTATAGTTCATTACATTGTAGAGTATGTCGTGAAATGTGTTGTTGCACAGTCAGTGCCATATGATCATATATCACATTCTTACCTGGGCAAAACAGAGGGGCACAAATGTCATGTAGTATGCTGTTAATAAGGAGTTGAATAAAACTTGTTTAATTCTGCCATTGAAGTCGTTTTTGAAGGTTTCTACTTCCGACCTGATGACATCTGGGGTGAGGACACAGCTATGTGTGAGAAGGGCTTCTGCCTCCAGGGTATCTCGGCCCTTATTTTTCAATGAGCTTGTTTTGTCCTGAACTGGTACTGGCCATACCAAAGACTTATGATACAATGGTTTAATGGAGGGCCCAAACAACAACACATATGTTACAATTCTGTTAAAAAAAGAGAGAACAGTTTTGAATCAGCAAATATTTATATACTGTATCAGGTAGTATCACATTAAACATTACCATAATGAAAAAGTGTAATAAGTTATGTTTTCAATAAAGCTTATAAATGTATGGTTATTGGTTCTAAATAGGAAAACAGTAGTGTAAACCCACACAAATTTTCTAACTTAACTTCGGACTCAAAATCATATATTTTAGCAAAATTGGGAACAATCTTCATCATTTCACAGCCATATATTTGTTGACCTCAAATAGGTAACATTTTAGTGTTAGTAGTTTTGCCTTAACTGCTCTTGTAATTTATGTTGCAAAAATTTGAATTTTTAACTAACCACAGGTTACTGCTGTCTAATCTTTGAGCAACTGAGGCCAGACAGAAATAACATGAATACCTGGTGTAGATCAATAGGGATTAACACTAATTCACAATACACTTACTTTGTACCATATCTCATCGCTATACAACATTGTTTTATACATTAAAGACATCACTTAATTTAATCTTATTACAGTACTGTTAACACAACTTTCCTTATTTTCCAATTTCTGATGAAATTCCAAATAATGCATTTTGTCTTCAAATATAAAATTTCTAACAATTCAGTTAATATGTGCTGCTTTTGTTTTCTTTGCACCGATTATAAAAGGAAGGAACAACAACATGTATTTATCCTAAATATCAACTTGACAAGTAATGTCAATTATTGCAAACATTTTCAGGCCTTATGGCTATCTTCAGATGATTATTAGATACACACAACATAATAAAATCAATATTTAAAATGGCACAGACGGTCTTCTAAATTAGCCCACTAATATCATCAACTACTACACAAAGTCATGAGAAGACTGAACTTATATAGATTTGAAAAATCAACTTTTCTCACTGTCTGGATAAATATATTGAAAACAACTTGTCCAACAAAAAGTTTGATATGCTTATAGATAGCTGTTTGTTGTTTTGATTTCAATGTATATGTATAATAATACTTACACTGCTATTTACAATTCCTTTGACACTTTTTTCAAACAATTATTGCAAGATTAAGTAAAACAGATTAAAGTTGAATACTGAATTTTTCATTTCATAGATTCTTATTACCGGAACAGGCCTTTTACAGTCAATCAATAATACATTTAGGGAACTGTAGAGATCATTCTGATCAGTGTCATTTGAAAACATAGATAAAAAAAAACCATTTTTGAACATGTCAGATCAACCAAGTTACTTAAAGCAGGCAGAGTATTTTTAAAGGTATATTAATTCAGACTTTATTCATTCTCAAGACAAGGTTTTTAGAGGAGTGTATCTAGATGAACATTTTTGTTAAATATCTATTAAAAAGCTTGAAGTTCTTTTAAACAAATTCAACTTCATCTTTTGATGAGAATTACCTTTTCTACAGATCTCAACCAAACTCAAAGATCATGTGAATCCAAACAATAAAACATTCTCTGTAAATGAAAAATATTACAAAGGAAAAAGAATAACCGTAATAGAGTATCTCATAAAATATAGATATTGTTTTTTAACACTCATGCTTCCTCTTTTCTTTGTAAGAATGGTAAAGTTTAATACTTACGGACAACAAAGAAATAGACAGTAGAAAAGTGAATGTTTCACTATGACGTTATACGCTGTATATATTAAGAAAATAGTCACAAGAAACATCAGGACAATCTTCAGTAACTGCACCAGCCAAAATAAAACACTTTTACTGGACCTTGGTCCAAAAACCTGTAATGTAAAATCAAACTTCACTTTTCACTTTATGTTAGATATCTATTCACAGAATATACAATGACTAAAACTTTCTATATTGTTCACCATGCGTTGGCAATCACTGAAGGCCCCAAACAAGTGTGATATTGTATGTATTTTAAATGACCAGTATTATATAAAAATACATCCATAAAATAAAGGATTATTTGTACCAAATTCATCAGTAAACTTTATCAAATATTACACTGGCAATCTTGGTAAACTGCATTCTGTGATTGGTACATCAAATGTCAACAACAGAGGTCATCTTATCATAGGAAAGGATGCAGATTAAATGCTGGTGTAGTTTATACTGGTTGAAATTGCGAAAATCGCTAAAAACCTGCTCTGCAGCTTATACTCGGTGTGGTATATAGGCCATGAAATACCGTAATTACATAACAAACCACCCCCACTAAATTAAGGTAAGAACAGCAACAATCAAAGGAAACATTCAAAAGAATACTTCTGTCATTGCCTTTTCTTTCTTTGTTTGTTTTTTTTAAATAATAAAACATGTTTACCTCTTGAACAAAACACCAAACCAGTCTCCTACTCATAAGGGCACACAAAAACAGCACCAGGTATGGATCAATTAGGTAGAAATTCTGAAGGAAGATATAAAGACAGTCAAAAATAGGTTAATTTCAAATATTTCATACAGCATTTCTAGTACAGCATAAGAAAGGTAGTATCTCTAGCTCTTTCAGCACTAAGTTTTAAATTTTGAAAAATAGAAAAAAAAATAGAAGAGAATGTTTCACAATTTGAATCTCTGTGATCTTGTCCTTGCAAACCTATCAAAAATTAAACTCTCGCTAGGTTGGTAACAAGTCAGCAGTCATGTGCTTCAAACATTTTACTTACAAGGGCATAATTCGCATGGCTGTGAGGAAGCCACCAGACAGTCTTGTACAGGTTAATATACTGAAGTCCCATGACAATCACACCAAACATGTACAACATAGCCTCAAATGAAATGTTGCTGTCTCCAGGGATCTCTGGCAAATGTGAATGCTTTGGTAGCACCACCATTGATGCTAAGGGAATCATATTGGTATCTCTCTCCTCTATACTACTGGAAAATTAATTTGAGTGACATTTAAATACAACTGTGAACATAAATATACTTTATTGTATTAAATAAATGCTTACAGATTTTTGAACCAATTCTCTCTTACAATACAATGCAATATTGAATTGTATTGTTGATTCTGAATGCAGACTCTGCTGTTTTTAATGTCATATTTCATATAATCATGCCATTGATAACTAATGGTATTAAATAAATTGAAATTTGAAAAAAAAATCATACAGTATAGTGGTTTGATGGAGATGATTTAATTTCCTGGTGATAATGCGAGCTAATTTTAACAATATTTACATTCTGGATTTGATGTTAACATAATCACAAATATACACTTACCCATGATGTATAACTGATAATTATAAAAAACGATTGTTGTGTTTTTTATGATAAATTTTGACATCAACGAATTGAAATAAATCACCTGGTCTGATAAATCAATCAATGAATTAATTTCATGCATACATCAAACGGAACCAATGAGGAATGACAACGTTGACGCGCGAGAATAATTAATTAGTGATCACCTTCCGTTTCCAGTTTTGTGTGTATTATTAGAAAAAGATGATGATTGTATTCTGGATAGTATCCGACGTCCACCAGGCATCGTAGCTGACAACATCCATATAAACTAAACTTTGATCAAAAGCTAACATATTTTTCCATTCTGATTAAATTTGCAACCGGAAGTTTAAAGTCGATTTTAAACCTGAACAAAAGTCAGGTCAGTGTAATCCGGAAATTGTTCCTTCGAAGATGGGGAGAATGGTATGTAAGACAAAATAATGAGACGTCTATGTCTGACAACTATAGGCCTAAAGGACACGTGCGTTAGATGTAGACATTTTGTACAGTACGCTATATTTGAACAATGTTTGTAGTATAAATGACATATTGTGATTAAATCGGCGAAGATACTGTAAACCCGGCTGTGAATATTGATTCGCTTTTAAATTTTGTTCAAAAGCCTCCAGGCGAATAAATGTTCTAGCTGAAGAGTTGAAGCTAGAATCGCGAAAGACAATTTACACCAGAAAAAACAGAATTAGAAACTTTTTTAAGTTGAAACTTTTTACATTTTACAAGGCTCTTCACCATGCTATCTTAAGAATTTTATTCGTGTAAAACCTTCCGATTCATCCTTTCAGATATTCTAAAATTTTAGATCTACAAAGTGGCAAGAGAGTTGTGTATATGTAACGGAGGTCATTATTTATTTCGATGCCTCCGCTAGGAATCGAACCTGAGACCCCTGGCTTACTAGTCTGCACTCAACCAATCGAGCTGAAGAGAAATTCTCTCTAGCCAAGTGGTATATTGCGTCTAGTATTTTACCATGGTCACATATAGTACACATATTTTTAGGCATCGTGCCGCAAGGTGTTTGTAACTCTACCACATGGACAACCTGTCTTCTTTTACTGAATTGTGATGAGGCAGCAGAAAAGCTGACGGATGTGTAGCTTGCTGATAATTTCATCTCTTTCTTGCTTATCTTGTTGTAGGTCACATGTATGCATTATATGTATATCATAGCCTTTGGTTCAAATAGAAATGTTTGAAGTGTTCCTTAGCTTTTTAGTAGATTAGCAACACATTTAATATTAGTGCTGATAATTTATTTTGCTTAATCTAATTTGTTTTGCTTAATCTAATTTATTCTGCTTAATCTTATTTATTTTGCTTAATCTTTGTTTTCTATCCCCATTATCCTTATTAGTCTGTTGTTGTATTGTGTGTATACTCTAATAGGTTTGTTTCTTAGCTATTGTAAGTAATGATGTGTGGCCATACATTATTTTAATGAACCAGTACCGTTCTATATGCTTTTGTATGTGTGTTATCTTGTTGCATGTTGCTTCAAAATGTTTTACAAATGTTTACAGTCGGTTGTAAGCATTAATCTCTACCCACACTTCAACCAGAACGTCCTTCATATCTACCAGCTTTACAACCAGAACGTCCTTCATCTCTACCCACACTACAACCAGATCGTCCTCCATCTCTTCCCACACTACAACCAGAACGTCCTTCATCTCTACAAACATTACAACCAGAACGTCCTTTATCTCTACCCATACTACAACCAGAACGTCCTCCATCTCTACCACCTCATCAACCAGAACGTCCTTTATCTCTACCCACACTAAATCCAGAACGTCCTTCATCTCTACCCACACTACAACCAGAACGTCCTCCATCTCTACCCACACTACAACCAGATCGTCCTCCATCTCTTCCCACACTACAACCAGAACGTCCTTCATCTCTACCCACACTACAACCAGAACGTCCTCCATCTCTACCCACACTACAACCAGATCGTCCTCCATCTCTACCAACACTACAACCAGAACGTCCTTCATCTCTACCCGTACTACAACCAGAACGTCCTTCATCTCTACCCACACTACATACAGAACGTCCTTCATCTCTACACACGCTACAACCAGAACGTCCTTCATTTCTACCCACACTACAACCAGAACGTCCTCCATCTCTACCCACACTACAACCAGAACGTCCTTTATCTCTACCCACACTACAACCAGAACGTCCTTCATCTCTACCCGTACTACAACCAGAACGTCCTTCATCTCTACCCACACTACATACAGAACGTCCTTCATCTCTACACACGCTACAACCAGAACGTCCTTCATTTCTACCCGTACTACAACCAGAACGTCCTTCATCTCTACCCACACTACAACCAGATCGTCCTCCATCTCTTCCCACACTACAACCAGAACGTCCTCCATCTCTACCAGCTCTTCAACAAGAGCGTCCTTTATCTCTACCCACACTACATCCAGAACATCCTTCATCTCTACCCACACTACAACCAGAACGTCCTCCATCTCTTCACACACTACAACCAGAACGTCCTTTATCTCTACCCACACTACCACCAGAATGTCCTTCATCTCTTCACACACTACAACCAGAACGTCCTTTATCTCTACCCACACTACAACCAGAACGTCCTCCTCTCTACCCACACTACATCCAGAACGTCCTTCATCTCTACCCACACTACAACCAGAACGTCCTCCTCTCTACCCACACTACATCCAGAACGTCCTTCATCTCTACCCACACTTCAACCAGAACGTCCTTTATCTCTACCCACACTACAACCAGAACGTCCTCCTCTCTACCCACACTACATCCAGATCGTCCTCCATCTCTACCCACACTACAACCAGAACGTCCTTTATCTCTACCCACACTACAACCAAAACGTCCTTCATCTCTACCCGTTCTACAACCAGAACGTCCTTCATGTCTACCCACACTATAACCAGAACGTCCTTCATCTTTACCCACACTACAACCAGATCGTCCTTCATCTCTACCCACACTACAACCAGAACGTCCTTCATGTCTACCCATACTACATCCAGAACGTCCTTCATGTCTACCCACACTATAACCAGAACGTCCTTCATCTCTACCCACACTACATCCAGAACGTCCTTCATGTCTACCCACACTACATCCAGAACGATCTTCATCTCTACCCACACTACAACCAGAACGTCCTTCATCTCTACCCACACTACAACCAGAACGTCTTTCATCTCTACCCACACTACAACCAGAACGTCCTTCATCTCTACCAGCTCTACAACCAGAACGTCCTTCATCTCTACCTACACTACAACCAGAACGTCCTTCATCTCTACCCACACTGCAACCAGAACGTCTTTCATCTCTACCAGCTCTACAACCAGAACGTCCTTCAGCTCTACCCACACTACATCCATAAAGTCCTTCATCTCTACCAGCTCTACAACCAGAACGTCCTTCATCTCTTTAGGTTTAGGTTTTGCGCTTTAGGTGTTTGTCCATTTGAAAATCACTTGCCAAGCTAGCACTTCGACATAAACTGACCAAATGACACAGCTGTTGATTACAAAACCTTCACGGAATTAAACTTTTTTACGACAATTGCGAGACAAATTATCAGTTTAGCTCATATCGATAATTCTTAGTGGTCCGGATGGAAGGGCGCGAGGGGTCTTACTGTGTAAGGAACCGGAGTACCCAGGTGTCAAAGAAAACCTTATAGATAATGAATTCATTGACATTATTGACAAGCATGACATAACTTGCCCTAGTGAATGTTAGATATCTGGTAAGTAATATAGAGGACCTTGATGATTATTGCAAGTATGTTTCCCTCTTTAAACAGGAAGAGGAGATGGAATGGTCATCAAAACCATTTTAAGAATAGGTTATCATTAATAAGAAATGTTAAAGACAGTATAATTTGGGTAAAAGTACGCCAGAATGAAAATTATATTCACATTGCTTTCTGTTACTTTCCTCCAGAAAATGGTGTTTTTTTAACATTAGTACAGAAGAAAATGATTTGTTTCAATGCTTATAAGATTAAAAATCTGTTTATAAAACATGTGGGATTTATAACAGGGAATCTCAATGCTAGACCGGGTCCCCGAGCTGACAGTATAAGTGACAGGGGACCTCAATGCTAGACCGGGTCCCCGAGCTGACAGTATAATTAGTGAAAGGGGAATCTCAATGCTAGACCGGGTCCCCGAGCTGACAGTATAATTAGTGAAAGGGGAATCTCAATGCTAGACCGGGTCCCCGAGCTGACAGTATAAGTGACAGGGGACCTCAATGCTAGACCGGGTCCCCGAGCTGACAGTATAATTAGTGAAAGGGGAATCTCAATGCTAGACCGGGTCCCCGAGCTGACAGTATGACAGTATAATTAGTGAAAGGGGAATCTCAATGCTAGACCGGTACCCCGAGCACACTGTATAATTACAGAAATGGGTATCTCAATGCTAGACCGGGTCCCCGAGCTGACAGTATAAGTGACAGGGGACCTCAATGCTAGACCGGGTCCCCGAGCTGACAGTATAATTAGTGAAAGGGGAATCTCAATGCTAGACCGGGTCCCCGAGTTGACAGTATAATTAGTGAAAGGGGAATCTCAATGCTAGACCGGGTCCCCGAGCTGACAGTATAATTATTGACAGGGGACCTCAATACTAGTCCGGGTCCCCGAGCTGACAGTATAAGTGACAGGGGACCTCAATGCTAGACCGGGTCCCCGAGCTGACAGTATAAGTGACAGGGGACCTCAATGCTAGACCGGGTCCCCGAGCTGACAGTATAATTATTGACAGGGGACCTCAATGCTAGACCGGGTCCCCGAGCTGACAGTATAAGTGACAGGGGACCTCAATGCTAGACCGGGTCCCCGAGCTGACAGTATAATTAGTGACAGGGGACCTCAATGCTAGACCGGGTCCCCAAGCTGACAGTATAAGTGACAGGGGACCTCAATGCTAGACCGGGTCCTCGAGCTGACAGTATAAGTGATACCTCGTGCGATGACGTCTACAATTTACTTCATGTTTTTGATTATCAATATGACGATGATAGCGATTTTATCGAACGTAATGATATGGATAAATCAGTGAATTCTTGTGGTAGAAAATTATACAAATCCACCGGGTTCAGAATAATGAATTGACGACATGCAGATGATCCAGCAGGTAGTTTTCCATTCCTCAATTCTGACGGTACAAGTCTAATTGATTATGTACTTGCTGAATGTGATATTTTTTCTGATGTTACAGCATTTAGTTCTGGTAGTTTTTCAACCACGTCATGTTGTTC